ATAATTAATAATAGCTTTTTTGCAAGTTTTATTTGTCTTTACTTATTATATTGCGTTAATAAATAAATTTATATTATAAAAAATAATGTTTTTTCCAATAATAATTATATCTTTTATTTTATATAATTTATTTAGGTTAGGGTAAAATACTTTTATATTTTTTATTTTAAAATTATTTAATTAAAATTTTTATTTGGTTGTAATTTATTATTTGCGTTGGTTATTATATATTTCTATAAAAAATTTATTAATTATAATTAATGTTAAGCCAAAATTTATTTAAAATGTAATAATTTATTTGGCAATTTATTATCGTTTTTCTTTATTAACGTTTAATAATGTTAGTGGGGTAAGTAATTAATTTTAGTTTTTATTACCGTTATTATTTGGTTTTATATTCTTTATTATATTATATATAAACGAGGATAATAATGTGGTTGGTAAATTGTAATATAATAAGATTAATAGGTTAATTTAACCTAGTTAATTTGGTTATAATAATAGTTAAAAAGGTTAGTTTTTATTAAGTATTATAGTTTTTTAATTTGGTATTTTTTGGTAATATGTTTAATATAGTTATTATGTTTTAATTTTTAATAAAACCAAAAGTTTTAATAAAGTTTTGTTTTATAAATTTTATAGTAATTATTATTTTTAAATTTATATTTACTTAATTAATTTTGGTGGTATATTTATTAATATTAATTGGTTTGTAAGTTATAATATTTATAATATATAAAGTTATTTATTGACGTTATTAAATAAGGTGGGATTTTTATCCGGTATAATTATATTTTATGTATATATTATAAGTAATGCTAAATTATTAATTAATGTTATAACGGAGTTAATAACCGATAATGTAAAGAATATTATTATTATTAGTAAGAGTTTAATAATTGGTTTAATATTCCTTTTATTGTTATTTTAAAAGATTTTTACAAATATAGGTTTGATTGGTAATATTATTGTTTAAAATGGTATTTGTATTAAAATTAATGGTTATTATGTTAATGTATATAATTTTAAAAATTCCCGTAGTTAAAAATTATTTTTTAATTAGTGTTTAAGGCTGGGTAAGATTATTTATAATTTTATTAGTATTGGTTTGGTAATTTAGGGTTATATTTATAAATTAATTAAGTTTTATAAAGGTTAAAATATTTTTGTAAAAAATAGCGAAATTATTTTTAGTGGAAATATAATTTTAATTAATTATATTAGGATTTTTGGAACCGATAATAGGATTTTTAACAATAATAATAGGATTTTTAATGTTAATTGTAAGATTTTTATTAACGGTAATAGTATTATTAATGGTGTTAAGACTTTTGGTAATAATAATGGTATTTTGGTTGGTAATATAATTGGTTTGTTTGCTGGTATTGGTATTATGCCTAATATATAATCTCGTATAAAGTCAAATGTTTTACAAAACTTATATAAATCGATAATTTATTTGGGATTATAATTTTTTAAGGGTTTAATAAAGTTTTATGTTTAATGACCTTGTAAAGGTTGTTAAAAACGTTGTTGTTTAAGGTGTTAAAAGTTTTTTGTATGTAAGAGAATTTATTATATATTGTTTTGTGGTAGTTTTTGTACTGCTAAAAGGGATAAGTTTTTTTTTAAAAAGGCTATTATTTTAAAAACGTTATCCGTATTCTTGCTCATTCTTTAGTTAAGGTATTAGGTAATCGGGGTAGGATTTGTGTGGAAAGTACTGGAATCTTTAAAAAGGTTACTTGGAATCCTTAGGAAAGTATGGTGTATTTTCCCAACTTAATCGAGAAGGTGATCTTTTGATTAAAGTAAAAGCACCGTATAGCAAAGGTAAAAATAATGTAAAATAAACTAATTTTAATTTTGATTAAAAACTTAATCGAGAATAACTGGCAATTATGTAAATGTAAATTGTAAAATTCGAAAGTATCGAAAGATTTAAAAGTATTGTTTAATAAATAATTATATTATATTTATTATCTTTTAATTATTTGATAGGGTTATAATATATTTTTAATAGTATTAAAATATTATATAAAGGTTTCGGCATTAATGATATAGTTTTTGAAAGGGTGGGTTCGTGGTGATTTTTTGTGTTTTAACCGTTATAACAAGCAAATTTAAAAAATAATAAAAAGAGAAATAAGAAAATGATATGGTATTTTTTATTAAATATAAAATATTATATTAGTGGCTTAAAAGCTACTTATTAAAGTGGAGCTACCAATTGTAAGGTTTTATTTAATATGAAATTTAATGAATTAAAAAGGAAAAAAAAAGATTTTTTTTATAAATTATTTTAATGATATGGTTAATGTATAAATAAAATAAATATGATAGCTTATTTAATAGCTTATGTAAGCTATTGTAGTAATAATGTTTATCACAAATAAATATAATATATTATTAATTTTAAATCATTTAAATTAAAATTATTTTATATATTATTATATTATATTAAATTATCGTAAATATAATATTTAATTATTTATTATTAAAATTTTTTTACAATAAACGCTCGGGTTTAAACCAGTTTTAAACCACATTTTATAAAATAATATACTTGTAATTTATAAATATAAATATATAAACCATATGTTAAATGGCGTAAATAAACGCAACCCGCGTTTTTACGAAATGTAGTTTAAATTTATTAAAATAAAAGGTAAACAATTTTATTTATATTTTACATATCTTGTAAAAGGTAACATTAATATGTAAGTATGTACTTTATTCGTGCTTACGTTTTGCGTAACTTTAAATCGGACTTGGGTCAGGTACGGTAAGGTACGGCATAAAAAAGTATAAGTGACCCGACTTATGTTTTACTCCCCACTTAACTTTACTTAACTTGTGTAAAAGCAATTTGTATAAAAAATTTAATATGACTTGATTTATGTAAAAGTTTAATAAATTTGTAAAATAAAACTTATTTAATTTATAAATTAATTTAATTATTTATAATTTAATTAATTAATATTTATTAAATATTTATTTTTTTATAAATTACGTTACGATTATAAATTATAAATTAAAGTATTAAAAAAAAAACGAAGTTTTAAAATTAAATATATAAATAAATAAAGTTTTATAATTTTTTTTAATTTTATATTAATTAATTAATATTTATTAAATATTTATTAAATATTTATTTTATTTGGTTTTTTATAACGGTTATTATAATATTTATTAAATATTTAATAAATATTTTATAATAATTTATAATTAAATCATTATTTATTATTAAATACGAAAAACGATGTTATAATTGTTATATAATAATTACATTTTATATATTATGTAATATTTTATAAAAATTCGTTAAATGGTAAAAGTTTATAAATTAAGTAAATTTTATTTTATAAGTTTACTGAATTTTTACATAAGTTAAGTTATGTTAAGTTTTTTACATAAACTGCTTTTACATAAGTAAAGTGGGGAGTGGGGCATAGGTCGGGTTACTTAGTTCCTTACGGCACAAAAAGTGTAATAAAAAAAATAACGTTACGACGAAAGGAAAAAAAAGATAGGATAGGGAATGCTACGTAGGTACCTAACGTATGTAAATTATGTAGTATGGAAAAAAGCAAAAAGTAAAAAAAGGTTACGGCATAAGGAATCCTTTTATACGTAGGTACCTACGTATAAAATATGCATCGGATGCAGTATAGATGCCATGTATTACCTTATATAAACGGACATGAAACACGGGCTGGCCCTAACAGCTGGAAGGCTCGAAGAGGGAGGTGGCGCAGTCCCGATTAGGTAAGTCGCTGAGCAGGTCGTCATTCGTGAAATTTAAATTTAATTTAAGGAACCCGGTGCAGCGGACGGATCTACTTATCCATCTCAAAAAAGGGTTGAAAAAAAAAAAAAAAAAAAAAAAAACCCCGTAAGCTTAAATAAATCTATATATTTATTTCCCGACTGCCTTTTGCGGAAAGACAGACTTGTCGCAGCCTTGCAGCACCCCGTTCCATCCCATCCATCGCCTTTCAAAACCGGAAGGGCGAGATGGCGTACATGTACATGCAGGAGGTGAGTGAGTATAGTAGGCTATCGTGTCGTGGGGGGGTCATGGTTCGGAGATATGGACCGGGGGGGTTTTTACAGTTTGGTGTGAGGCTCAAGGCTTTTAGTGGAAGACCTTATAAGTGCGCAGGGAATCGAACGGCATAGCTACGAAGCAAGTATACGATATGGGGGAGGATGGAGGTGAAGATGAAGATGGAGATGGATATGGATATGGGATCGCTCGGTGGACACTATAAAGCCAGATTCATCTCAGGGTGAGTATTTGCGAGAGCAGAGCAGACCAGAGCAGAGCAGCTTAGATCAGCCAGCCAGCCAGCCAGCCAGCCCATCTATCTCCATTTAGCTGTTCGCGTGTGCTATGTAGATTGCACACATGCACATTTAATATAAGTAAAGGTGGTTCAACGGAGCGTTCGTCTTGGCAGATGCTCGTTTCGGTTTCATGACGGGGTGAGCCAACGGTTGAGTCTGACCCTGCGCCGAATCCTTCTGCCCGATCCGTGGGCCGTCGACGCACGCACGATGCAAAAGACCAAATACCAAATACCACAAGCCACTCTCGGCTTTAGCGAGACCACGGGGGAGAAGGGGACGACGGTCTGGCCCAGGGGAGTAACTGACTGACTCTACGAGAGGATCTATTATTCTGTTGTTATTATATGTGTGATGGGTTAGGGAAGAAGGAATCTAATATTTTCCTTTTCTACTCCTTCTTCTTCTACTTCTACCCTCTACCTACCTCTTGTTTAGGTATATTACCTACGTCTTTCCTTAACATTGTGTTGTACATAATGAGTTTGTGGTGAAGCCCTCTTTTCCTCCAACCCTTTCTCGTTTATTGTCTCTCTCTTTTTTTTTTTTTTCGTTTCGCCCTCTCACTCTCTGTTATCCGATCGTTCGGTGGATGCTCCGGCCAGCAACCGACCATATATATACATTCTTTTTCGTTACAGTAGGCAACCATGCATAGCTTACTGCCTCTCGCCTTGACCTGCTGGTCGCTGCTGGCGCCGGTGACTGCTTCACCTCTTTCGGATTTGCTTATGCCTTGGGAACGACGCGATATTCAACCTGCGCCGCGGCCGATAAGGGCGAGGTCTATGATCAAGCGCGATGCCGATACCACCTTTAGTTTCGACCACGACTTTTCAGATGTGACTTTGTTTTCAGGGTATGTGATTCTTTTTAACTGCCTCTCTCCTATATCTCACTTATATAATTATATTTGCAAACATATATGCTAACCAGTAATAGTGCTTGGACCGCCGCAAAGGGAGTTGATATCTCGCTGGATCTATCCTGCAGCGAGTGCAGTACTTCCGGTACCATCAGGGCGTCTGCTGAATTCCCGGATGATCTCGGGGACTTCCTCCACGACATCAAAGACTTGAACCCGCTTAACGACGCCAGCTTGACGATTGGCTTCGAAGGAGTTGGTGCTACTATCGGCATAAGGCTGGCCGTCGACGGTGATGGCCAGTTCACCATCCCGCTATTCAAGTCCGAGACACCCCTCGGCATTTCAGTAAGTCTGGAAGCGGAGTAAAGCCTGTGATGTCAAGAGGCTCTGTAGACTAACAAGAGAACGAATATAGGGCCCTGGATTCGAAGTCGGTGTTACTTTCAACGCGGACCTCATCGTCAGTGTGACGGCCGAGATCTCAACCGAGACTGGTTTCGAAGTTACTATCCCTGATGGATCGTCTTATAAGATACCTCTCGACCCTAGCATCCCCAACACTGCCAACTTGTAAGTTTCTCCTACCTTCATCCCTTACCCCTGAACTATCAGATCAGACTGGGAAGCCCAAATCAAATTCGATAAGAATATAATTTCTAACCACCACCACAGCGACGGCGCCCAGACGACTCTTCTCCCCTTAACCGTTGACGCTCCCGCTGAGATCACCGTGGCGCTGCGTCTGCGTGTCCAGGCCGGTGTAGATCTACCCGGTAACAAGCTCTTCGATGCGCAGGCCATCGTCGGCGCGTTCCTGTACATCCCCGAGGTGACACTCACGGAAGAGTTCTCGCAACAATTCGACCGCAACGGCAGCATCACCGAGGCAGGCGAATGTCTGCTTCCCGCGTCCGCGGATATTAACATTAACGCAGGCGTGTTCGTCGACATCGGCGCGGACGTGGCCAACAACCCCGTTGTTGACTTCAACCCTACGCTCAGTACTACCGTCTTCACCGCGTCTACTAGCACTTGCTTCTTGACTGCCACCGGAACCCCCGAGCCTACTCCTGCGCTGGGAACGGGCAAGAAGCCCGTCGGCACGGGTATCCGCACTCGAACTAGAGCGTCGTCTAAGACGAAGGCGCCGGCCAAGCCCACCGTCACGAGAAAACCACTTGTTACTGGCACCGGCTCGACTTCTCTCGCACCTCCCGAGATGACGCCTCCAACCTCTGTCTTGGCCTGCCCCGTGCCCCTGGTTACCGAGAAACACACGACGACAGGCAGGTATACCATCACGGAGTGTGCCGCCCAAGTCATGAACTGCCCAGCTAGCTTGACTCAGATCGTCGTCGTCGACGACACCGCCACACTAACCACAACACACTGCCCTATCTCCGCAACCGGCGCTCCCTACGCCAACGCCACCACCCCTCTCCAGCGCGGCAACCCCATCCCGCTGAACAGCCTAACGGCACCAATCGTCAACACCCTATCCATCGACCCTCTAGTCGTCGTGCCCACCGCAACCAGCGTCCAGGCCACGCCTCGCGCCAAGAAGACCCCCGAGCCGGAGCAAGAGCCAGAGCCAACCCCAGCTCCAGCTCCAGCCCCAGCTCCTTCACCCGCCGAGCCCGCCCCCACGGAACCCGTAGCCCAGGACGATTCTGCCCCAGCTCCGGCTCTTCCCGCAGACGCGAACAACAACGCCGCCGTCCAGCCGTCTGTCATCTACAAGACCAAGACCGAGATCATAACTACAACCCGGTGCCCCGACGCGCACACCAAGCGCGCATCGCCATCGCTGCGGCGGCGTCGGGCTATCTACTAGTCTTTAGTCTCTAGCCTGCTCTGGCTCTAAGCCGAATGGTAGTCTAGGTTAGTCCATGGTACGTCCTGCTGAAACACGCGGATTGCCCAGACAGACTAGACTAGACTAGACTAGACAGATGCAAAAAAAAAAAAAAACAATCACCCCCTAAAAAGGGGTTAATATCTATTTGTGTAAAAAGTTGTCACGACCTACCTACCTAGGTCGTATGTAGTGTATAAGATATGACGATGAAAGGAAGGGAAGGGGGGTATTTTGTTTCTCTTTTTCCCACGAGAGATATATGGAATAGTTAGGTACCTAGATAGAGCGAGATACCATAGGCGAACAGACAAATGACGGGAAAGAGAAGCTCTAACCCAGCAGCTCGAGGCCGTCGCGAACGTACAGCGTTTTCTTCTTCTTGTATATAACTTTGCGCATTTGTAATTTTATTCAAAAGGACATAGATTCTTCGAGGACGAATATTGATTGACCATTGATTGTAGCGTCTTGTGAATTTGAAAAGTGCCAATGTCAATGTAAATTGCTCAGGGGGTGGGAGAATTGGTGGGTCTCGATTTTGGTGACTGGCCTTCCCTCATTTTTGACGAAAGAGTACCCAGGTATAAAAACCTCAAAAACACCACAAACTATCACGTACGACCATAGAATCTGGAAAACTCGGGATCCCGTCCGCTCTCCCCTAGATAAGCCCGATATCGCCGGATTAGTAGTTGGGTCGGTGACGACCAGCGAATCCCCGGTGTTGTACGTTTTGCCATTTTTGCCCTTTTTGCATCATGTTTTGCTGTAATGTAGATAGACGATAGACGATAGACGATAGACGATAAACCTATACGAAATTCCAGACGTCTTTAAACATCTCCAACATTATATTTATACCGCTCAATCAAGTGTCGACGGCTTTGTAACTATCGTAGTGTACATCGTAAATACAACGGCCAGACCGTGCCTATCTTATCCTTTCCCCATCCTAACCGTCAATAGGACATCTGTAGTCTGTCTCGCGACCAAACTCGTCCACTTCTCTGTGGTCTCCGTTCGCTGTCCGCTTCGCTTGTAGCGCGTCTAGACAAGCCTTGTGGTATATATGTCTGCAAGCTAAGACGACGAGTGGACCTAGGGGCTGGTCTTTTCGCCGTCCATAAGCGTCTCCATTCGACTCGAGAGCAGAGCCATGGATGTCCTGTTCACCGTTTGCCGTATGCCTATCTATTGAGCTGGGACCATCGCTTCGTTCCGTGCTTTTACCTTTCCCCTTTCCGTTATAGGATTCGGCCTCTTGCGGGAAATCGGCCTTACCCTTTCCGCGCGCGATAGACCGACTGAGTAAGGCGGCTTTCTTTTCCTCTCGCTTCTTGTTTTCGATAGCCTGCTTCTCCTCCCAGGCCTCGAAGACATTCCCGGAAACTCCAGGACCCCAAACTCGCTTCCCACAAGCCTCGCACGTGGACCCCCTAGGTCGCCATCCCCGTTGGCGGAGCTCCACCGCTTCTTTAACATTGACAAACAATTGCTGCTCGAGGAGCCTATTTGAAAGTTGTAGTATAGATTCCTCATATGCATAGGCCGAGAATATCGAAGTTAGAACAGCTCGCAGGTCGGCAAGGTTAGGGGAAGTGGCGGCTGCGCGAGTCAAGAAGGCTCGGAGGATCCGGAGGAACGTGAGACTACCTCCCGAGCTTGCTATGCGATTGGTAGGAAGAACACCATTCTGAGTGGATGTTGCAGTCATAAGCGCTGTGAATGTGTGCTGTACAAGTGAGCGCAGGAGTCCTACTAGCTTGTCGCTATCAAGGACCGGTGATGGAGAAGCAGTACTAGAGACTCTAGTTGGTTTAGATGGCGCAACGACAGATGATAAACGCCGCGTGATCTGGACTGTGGTGTCTATTAACTCAAGCCATAACGCTTCATCGGGGGAAAGTTCGATAGGCGATGGCGAGTTTCGTCGGCCGGCCGCATTGATCTTCTTAGTTGTTTTCATCTGTCCCTGGCATAGCCAGATACCAACATGCGTATATTTCTGCAGCCCTCTGAGCAGATCTTCGGCAGCTCCTTTGACGTCTATATCCTCAGAATGCTCATCTTCATTTGCCACTAATCCCTGAAGAGCCGACTCCAAAGTTTCCAAATGTTTAGTTAAGCGGCCCATAGCGTCTTGAACTTGCCCCTCCCGGGCCATAAGAATAACTACTGCGTCGATTACTCCTGTGTCTTCCATAGCCGGCAGTAATTTGTCTAGCCTAAGATTTGTAGCCTGTACGATGCCGACGTAATCTGAGACATGGGAAGGATCATACCGACACATGAGTTGTACATATTGTTCAATGAAATCCCGGTCTAGGGTCGCAGCTGGTTGTCTTGAGGTTTCGGAGTCAGGTTCAAGTAGAGCTCGGAGGTACGCAAACTGCAGTTCTGATCCCTCCTCAAGCGAGTTCAAGACGAATCTATGCAAGTTAGGTGCGTACGTAGCTAGGGTCTGGGCAGCTTGGATTGGGTCAAGCTCGGCTAAGTCCCGTGAGTTATTTTTAATAACATCGTGCACATCTTGAATCTGTTTCTTAGTGAGATTAGCTTGGGGGCGTAGGCACTCTGCGACGCATTCGAAAACGTCCATTTGGTCTTCCGGGTCCTCGAAGTATGTTTGTAATAGTTTCCCATACTGTTTGTCATTCCTGTATATCCGCTTTAGGATACGATAAAAACATGCCTTCTTGAATAGGGGTATCGTTGCTGATATGTCTGGTGGCTGGTATATAGAGAGTAGATATTCCGCACTCAACTGGGCATCTTCGGCGAGATCTATGCCAGGGTAGTTGCATAGCCCAGCCAAGACCTTGTCAAGGGTAGAACCTGGTATGAGAAGATATTGTGGGAATTTAGGAAGGTTTCGCGCGATAAACATATCCAGATATATAGTATCCTCTGGTGCAAAGTCGCTTGGATTCATGATCTCTAATAGGATGGACACGACATACTGGCGATCGACAGTCAAGCCGAAAATTTGCTCTTCTGGTAAGTCTCTTCCAGTGCCACCGTTGAGTTGTTTCTCCTGAGACTCGTTCAAGAAGGGATCTTCAAAGGCTTCGTTCATCGCGCTTAAAAAGCTCGGCGCATCATACTGTAGTATCATCCTGAGATACGGGAAAGATGGTTCTTCCGCTTGCTTTGGACGAGTGAGAAATACTTTGCTGCTGCCTTTAGGCCAACTTATGCTCTTCCCGGAAAAGAGAAACCAGTAAAGCTCTGCCTTGGCCCGGGAGGCCACTCCGTCTTCCATCCTACCACCCGTAGGATAGATCCTCCCAGTTAGCGTGTAAGAGAGATATGGGAACATCTTAAGGGCATTAACTCCAAATATCTCATCTTCCATTAGATCTCCAGAGTTTGTATATTCGGTGTTCTGCACTAGAGGTATCAACAGAGTAAGTAGGTCGATAAGAGGCGTGATGTAATCGGATAACGCCTGATTCCAGACGTATATAAGGGCATCATAAAGGCCATGCTGCTTGCAAAGCGAAGTTATCTGATCGATATCAAGGGTAGTAGTTTCCATATGACAAATAATCTCTTCTAGGCGGCTTTCCCAGCCTTTGCTGACATAGTGAGTAACCATGGCCTTGACGGCGGTTGGTGGCACAATTGATATCGTCTTTTCGAGGATATACGGTTCTAATACCTCCAAAAAGACACCTTCGACGTCGGCGTCTTCGTACCATTCGTACATCTCATCAAAGAGGAAGTCGAGGTCCCCTACGCTTTGACAGGCGATAAAACAGGTTTCTGCAAGTTGTCGTAGATGCTGATCATCTACTGAGGCCTTGTTCTTTTGCCGTTGACCAAATGCATATTTCAGAGATGCACTCATGATCTCCATTATCTTATCACGTACCATTCGATGCCTCAAGGCAGCATCTTCAGGAAGGCCGACTGTTAGCTTATTTGCATCCCCTGTGTAGTAAGTGGTTGCTAGCTGTATTGCACCAATGTAGTCGCCGTTCTCCATCAATGCTATTAATCGATCAGCCCAGTTCGATAACGCACCGATGGATACGTCATTGAATCCTAGCAGGAAGATGCGGCCCTTGTATGCCTTGAAACTCATGTAGAAAGCATCTGCGACAACACCATGCATTGATGTATCATCTTCATCAAGCTGCTCAACTAGATTGTGTAATTGGGCGGAAAAGAGATCAGCGTGATATATGTACTTATGGATGAGATCGAAAGCTTCCGTCATCCTCATCGAGCGGTCTTCAAGAACAATAAGTCTCTGCGAGATTGTCAGGACGGTCAAAACAGAGCGACTCAGCCACTGGACTGCTACAATTGATTCTTCGCACGTCCATCTACTACGCGCCTTGAATTTGAGGGCGGGAGGCTTATCTTTGCCATCCGTAGGTACCTCATCCACGTCAAGAACGGTGAGCACATTCGACCAGCAGTAGACCAGTTTGACTTTGGACATAGTGCTACCAGTGACAGGGTCGGGGACCTTCAATTTGACGGCAGGAAACCACGCCAAACAGCCGGTCATGGCACTGTGCGGTGCTACGTCTTTTGGTCTGGCCGATTTATGCTGAGTCTGCGCAATTGGTGTCGTCGAGACTATGACAAGTAGATAAGGGGTAAGCATTGCCGTGAGGCCCATGGTGTCTGTTGCTCGTTCCACATTCCCAAGCGGCAATGGAGAAAAGGCTAATACGGTGCTAGGCTTCAGGGGCTTCCCTGATGTGGGAGGCGGAGCATCAGGGTAGCGGCCCAATATCCTCACCGTCTTGACCGTCCGTCCAAGAGCGCCAGTACCTCGAGTCGCAAGGTGTGAAAATGCCATTCCGCGGTCGTCGGCGGAGACTAGGGCAGTGTGCCTAGTGCCTAGGAATCCTATATGGGTTATTGCTACATTAGGCATATGGCCATCCGTCGTCCGGTTTTGCAACTGGGTTGAGTCAAGGGGTGGAATATGGAGGAAGGGCCGAGACACTCGGCTAGTGTCCCACGTGAAGATGTCGCCGCTAGCATGACCGCTGCCTATCGTGGTGTGGTCTGCAGAGATAGCGATGGCGGTGATAGACCCGGATTCAACAGCTGTGACTAGTTAACAAATGGTTGTAAAAGGGGCTAAAAGCAGTACAAACCTTTCGTGCCTGGGCCGATAATCATCTTAAGATTCTGATTATAATCAAACATTAGGATTATGCCTTTGGAGGTGCCCAACACGATGGACGCAGAAATAGCTATACACGTAGGTGAACCAAAGTTACGCTTCCCAGCTTCGGAGAATACCTGTCCGTTTAGTTTCTTTAGCTTAGTCCATCGTACTACTTCCCAAGGGGGCGTGGGAGTTTCGGTTTCGCCGGATTCTAGTAAGAATTGGCTGCTCATGGATGCCTGTCTGCTATGTCCCGCAAGAAAAGCAGGCGACGACGGCCGCGGAGATAGCGCCGAAGGGGAGGCTATACGAGATTGGAATCGTCGGTCGAAGGGTCTAAATGAGGGCGTAGGACTGCTAAGCCCAGGGCGAGAAGCGAGAGAGGGCACTCTACTGCTCCCAAGGGAAGATATCATGGAGCCCTGAAGCTGTTAGCTAACCTATACTCTCTCCCTCTTCTTAGTAGAATCGTAGCAAGTATAAAAGCTTACTTGAACCGAAGGCGAATCGTCGGGTATGGAAAGCAACGAATCGATAGGGCTCCCGGCTCTTCTAGGTAGACCTTCGCTGGATCCTGCTTCCGAGACATCATCCCGATTTCGTAGAAGTTGACGATACCGGTTCGCGACAACCCCATTTCCAGTAGGCTGGTCGGACACAATGCTCCCTAGCTCTCCATCAACATCCTCTTCTAATTGCTCTTGTTCCACCTCACGTTCCGGCCTAATTGTCTCATCGTCGCTCGATACCCCCTCTCCATCAGGAGACAGATCTAGATGATCATCGTCCATGCTGGCAGCCCCATCGTCTTTCTCCGGGGAAGGCAAGCTCATCGAGACGTCCACATCGGGCGCATGACTTCAAATATGGTCGCTACTTCTTGTATTATTTTGCGCCGTGGCTTTTAGATAAGTCGGCTTCACGATCTCGTAGTTATCGAGACCACTCTTACTGCTGCGTACTATGCGTACCTAGTAAGCTCGAAGCTTTAGGTAAGTATTAGCTCTACGGCTCTATCGGACGTGGAAAATTAGACGGTGATTATCGATACAAAATCGCGGGGTGGAGGACCGTATGGCAGACGGGTTTCTCTTTAAGCTGTCTGTAGGAGTAGAGGAAGAAGTGAAGTAGTACAGGTGTTTTATCAGACGCTATTGCAGCTCCTCTCAAACCCATTCATTTACTGTACCTAGCTCAGCCTTACTATTAGCAGGCATAGTGAATGTAGGAACAGGGGGCTGCTAAGTTCAGTGAGGAACATCACCAATCATAAACAAGGTTCCACTAAAACCCGCTTAATGATAAGCGCCGCACGAGCCAACAAGACGGGGATCACAGGTGTAATCGATATCTTAGCTCATTTGACATCAGCATAGCCTTGCAAAAGGTACGGAATACATTTTTGTTTAGTACATTCTTATTCTATCGATTATTTATTAGTTACATACCATCAGACTTCCAAGATCTCAAGTCGTAATTGACTACAAATCCTAACTGCTAACATTAAATCTATTTGATTAGTTTCACTATGTCGTCCGTAGGGCCTCAATTGCCACCGCACCTTTCTAAGCGCAAGCGTACTCCAGAAGACGAATCAGCAGATTCTCCTGCCGCAAAGCTACGAGCTACAGAAGGAGCGCAAACCAACCAGGACGAAATAGATCTCGACAGCGATGATGATGATGATGATGGCTATGGTCCACCTGCTCCTCAGCCAGCAGCAAAAACATCTATAGGGCCTACCTTACCGCCCTCAAACACAGACGAGATCAAATTAGACGACAGCGACGACGATGACACCGGTCCATCTGCTCCACCGCCACCTACGAATACTCGACCATCTATAGGACCTACTCTCCCGCCCGCAAACAAAGATGAAATCCAATTAGAAGACAAAAACAACTCTTTCGACGACGAGGCCGCACCAGCACCACCTCCAGCCCCCCCATCCGCAAAACGCGTCCACGGCCCCGCGCCTCCACCCGCCCCCCTCTCCGAGCGACCAACCACATCCGCCAACTCAGACTCAGACTCAGACTCGGACGACGACGATGACTACGGCCCCGCCCTCCCAACATCAATCTCCCACATCCAACGCCAAACCCAAGCCCGCGCCGCCGAAGAAGCCGCTCGCGCAGCCGAAGCAGCCGCCGGCCCCCAGCGCGACGACTGGATGCTCGCGCCCCCAACCGCCAGCGGATACCGCGCGCCAGACCCAACCAAGCTCAAAAACCGCCGTTTCGCAAGCGGTCCGCGAGCGGCGTCCAGCGCCGCCGCGCCCGGCAGCGAAATCAGCAGCATATGGACCGAGACTCCCGAGCAGAAGCGCAAGCGCCTCGAGAACGCCGTCCTAGGGCGCAGCGACGACACCACGCAGGCGCGGACCACGAGCAGCAGCGGCGCCGCCCGAGGTGCGGGTAGTACAGCCGCCGCAGACGCTCCCCTATCGAAAGAAGCCCAAGAGCAGCAGGACCGCGTCCGCAGCTACACCGAGGCGACGCGCGGCCGCAGCCTGTACGAGGAACACCAGTCGTCGCGGCAAGGGCGCAAATTACAGGCCGACGAGGAGGAAGACGATCCGAGCAAGCGCGCCTTCGACCGCGAGAAAGATATGAAGCTCGGTGGGCGCATCGGCACCGCGCAGCGCCGGGAGTTGCTGAATCGCGCTGCGGATTTCGGCGGGAGGTTTGCGAAGGGGAAGTACCTCTAGGGGGGTTTGGTGGTTGTCTGCACATGATTGGGTATAGAGTATAGGTTTGAATTAAGGGAAGTGCCTGAAGTAAGAAGTGAAGGGGATAGAAGATGGAGAATAGGGATATATTTAAGTCAAATTATGAAGATACCCATATCCACGAACTAAGGGGCTGAGGGCAACAAGATCTTTCATGTATAGAATTGCATCTAAGCCAAGCTTATACTATAAAGAGTATGATACAACAATGCACTCGAGGCCTGATCTGCCACGAATCAAAATATGAATATGAATATAATCCATTCATCGCAATCTGCTTTCTAGCATTGCTCTCTTCCTAGCTTGCGTATTTGCTAGCTAACAGAGGTAGATAGGTACATACAAGGCTCACGCAGGGAGTCCTCCTATTTCGACAACACTCCCACCTCTCCTTTACTCCTTTGGCTCCGGGGAACACTGAAAAAAAGAGAATAGCAAACCCTCTTGCCTCCCTACAACGATACGATACGTATCTGCCCTCAACTAAAACTCCTCAAAAGGAAGGGGGAAACCCTGACGTTTATACTGGGAGAATACCTCGGAACACCGCCTACTCCCGCGAATCAATGCATTGCGACGCCCGACCATGTTTTTCAGTCCTTCGCCCTCAAAGGTTCGGGGTGCCGGCCGGGATCAACCTTGAACAAAAACCTAAAAGTAATGATGAAAGTCACTGATTTCCCCTCCGTCCGCAACGCAAATTCCTCAATAATTTCGTGCCCGCCGGCCTCCTACCGTATAGCCTCCGCGACTCTCTCCGGGTCGGCAGGTAAGCTGGGCGATGTGCTGATCTTCAGGCGGCTAGGTGTTGTTGTTGGTGGTGGTGGTGGTGGTGGTGGAAAAAGAAACTTATAGAAAGCAGATACAGGGGTATGCGGACTCATTTCGCGATGTCGTATACAGGATATGGTTGAAAAGACTATGAAACAATGCAATATTTATATATTCCTTGGATTAAGCCGATGTCTATGGATATTAAAATTCCTCAGTTGACCGCGGTCGTAGACGGTCGTACACCCGCTTCCAATTGTGACGGTGTGGTGTTCGCCCCGCCGTTGGCACCAGAAGCAGTCACCCCGCTTGCATCGGGGGCTTGCCCGTTACGATCCCTCCGCATCAGCTCATTCAGTCGGAATGGTGGGAAACGACCGCGAACTCTTGAAAAAATCCCGGCGTTCTCCGCTGCAGCTGGCTGAGGCTCAGGTTGAGGGTTATGACGACGATGATGATCTCGTGGGTGTTCTGAGCGATTTCTTTCCCATATCCGTGGTTGCCGGTTGTAATTCGCCGAATCCGAACCGACACCTCCGAAGCGACCCGCAATCATACCACGCGGAGCCCCCCGGAAGTTACTCCATGATGTGAATGTGCGCTGCGGAGACCTCGGCATATTCATTCGGCCATTGCTTCGGGATGGGTCGGTATTGTGAGATGTAGGATTTGCCGGATCACCGTCTGCAGGAGGCGGGCGTGGCTTAGGTGTATAGTAATCTGCCTTACAGAGGGGACACGACGCTCTCCGGTTGGTCAACCAAGGGTCGATGCAAACAGCGTGGAAAGCATGGCCGCAAGTCAATCCACGAATATCGTCGTTGTCTTCGAGTGTGTCGATACAGATTGCGCACGTATCGCCCTGAGTACCTACCAGTTCGGGAGGCAGAGCAGCGTCTATGTGTTCGTCATCATCATCCTCTTCGTCGATACTCGCACGATGATCATGGTCTTTCATTATTATACTTTCCGCGGTTTGCGCATGGGTAAGTGTGTTGTCACCAGCTGGGTTACTGTCGTGTGTGGTGTCCTGGCTCTCTTGGCTGGCGTGCGACCTTTCTCGATCCGTAGGGTTTGGGATAGGGCTGGGATTAGTGTGATCCTCGTTTGGTTCTTGTTCTTTGGACGCTATTTCCGGCACGATACCTTCAACGCTTCTTACGCTGTTGGCGCGGCTGGGCGGGGCAGAGACACCACCAGCAGTAGGCAACCCTTCGCTTGCACGTACTGAGACCCAAGCCTTGTATTTCATCATAGGAAATTTATCGTTGACTTCATCCATCGTCATCAACTTCTTTTCTCGACGTCGACGATGTGGTCTGGCGGGCATGTTCTCGAGGTTGATAGGTTCTCCATTTTCATCCAATCCTCGCAGCTGTCGATTGCGTGCATTGTAGCGAAAGCAGTACTTGACACCAACGATAATCCTATCCCAAATGTTAGATTGTGAAGCAGCAGCCGACGGCTATGCCGCTAGATATGGCTCACCAAAGGTTGGTAAAAACGACACCAAACCCCAAGGCCACAAAGAATAGCAGAGGGGAATTAGTTGACTGGCCACCATTATTCTGATCGCCGTTATTGGTGTTACCCGTAGAAGGCTCTGGAGTCGCGGGAGGCGAGGCTGTCGATGGTGTAGGAGTGCCAGATGCAGAACTAAAGACCGAGGACGTCGGGTCCGCTGACGAAGCGGCCTGTCGAACTTGATGTTCAATCGCTCTTGCGACAAAATGAGCGCCACCCGCCAAGACCTGGTTGAAATCGGCCATCTTCGCAAATGAGATGACTACAATTGAAACAAATATCGGAACTGCCGATTAATCGTTAAGCGAGGGGGTCATCGGCGAAAGGCCTCGACGAAGAATCGTATCAACACTGTCGTATCCTGAGCAAAGATGCCATTTACTGTCAAAATCGCCGGGTGGGGAATTGAATTGAAACACGATCTACGTCCTCTCTATTTTTCTTTGCGATTATGCCTTCGAGAAGGAAAAAAGGAAAAAAGCAAAATAGCAAATGATACCGATCGTCGCAATATCCGCGGGCGGGAGTGCCAAGGTACGGGTGAAGTTGGAAGTTGGCAGAAGATTAGAATAGTGGAATAGTGGAATAGTGGTCAAAGTTGTAATGTACGTTATTAGTTTAGGCCTTCAGCCAAGGGAAAAAGGGTGGAGAAAGAGGTGCGACCATAAAAAAAGGACAAGGGAACTTTGTGGATGGAGAAGCGCATAAGAAGGAAGGATTTGGGGGTAGAAAGTCTGACTGTTTAGTCCGTCAGGTCCTGTGATAGGTACACTGATACGTAGGTATGTAATAAACTCGCAGCTGCGCAAGCAGCCAACTTTGAGACGGAAGTGGGAAGTACATACATAGCAGACGCTGCAGACGGTCCTTGTCGGGGCTGGACGGGCTAGGCTTGCTGGGGCGGTTTTGGACGCTTCGGCTTCACTGATAGGTGGTGGTGGAACCGCAATTACCCAATCAAAAGGTTAGTCCCAGTACCTACTCTAGCAGTCTTGGAGCAGGAGCACTCATGTCTAAGCCAGACAAGGAAATAGAGACGTAGCTCGAGTCGACCCGTTTCGGCTCCTGATTTTAGACCTTGAATGAGATGTATCATTGTCCAAAACTGTCATTCAAATATTTGTCAAATCTACATACATACACTACACTATTTGCCTAAGTACCTAAGGTACCTACTCAGCGGTGCAGATCAGACGACGACACCTAAGCAAACAATGATTTTACGACATAGACGCCCGTATGCATATTGTCTTATTACATCATGAACCATTCACAGTAATCATGGTGGGAGCACAGGACAAATGATCCACAATGTGACTTGCAGAGACCCAGGGTTAGTGAGATTGTTATTGGTACAATTTACTAGTACAATCTACTAGGTACATAAAATTAAGTTTTAAACCGAGTGGTATCAAAACGCAAAATAGTTACCTAGCATCGTTTGCAAGATAAGATCGTTTATCTGATAAGAAGGGCTAGTTAGACTTTATTGCGGTTTCAGAATCTCGAAATTAAAACAGGTCGTAGGTACAAGGCTCTTCAAACCCCACGGTTTCGGTAATAGTGGCGGTTTTCAAATCTCCTTATGTATGGGAGTACTAATTTCACATTCCAAAACATATTATTGTTAGTTGCGCAGGCATTCTAGATCTCCAGGGAGATGTTAGATGGGCGCTTATGATACAGCCTGATGTATAATACACCCTCTTGTCCAACTAGTATTATAAACTAGGTAATAGCGCAAGACTAAGTGTCTCGAGGTCTATTCTACTATCCAATCTCTTGCGCCGCCGTTGCACTTTATAGACACCCTAACGCGAAAAAAGAACCTGGTTAGAAGAAAACGATCTTAGGCGTATTAGTGTGCTACAGCATAATACAGAATAGAATATGATTGCTGCACTTGACATTTCCTATCGAATTATCGTGTGTATAGTATTATATTATATTTAGACGCAAGCACCTAAAGTACCTCGTATCAAATTATAGATTGTATAGGCAAGTAAGATAGTTCGTTGGTTGATTGACAGTCATACCCTAAAGCTGCATTTCTGCATCAACCTTCGGGATTCCAAGACTACCGCTTTCTTAGTGGATATCGGGATCTAATTAAGGAAGTACAGATCTATCTAAGACCTCCCAATACAGGTACGTAAGTGTGGCAGAGCCCAAGTCATGCATTCGGGAATGATACCGCAATGACACAGTAAGAGACATCCTTCTTAAAGGGAACATCAACAGCCTAGATGACCAGCGTCGAATAGCATCGCATCGAACGATGATAAGAAAGCTAGTTTATCGACATAGCTCCCAGTTAAATTCACTGATAACTCATCACTGCTCACAGAGGTTCAGAATGATCAATGCACTGCGTCAAGAAGAGGCACGAATTACGTCTTCATGTTACTCCTGACTTCATCCAAAGTTCTAGGCTCAGCGCGGGCTTTGCGTTGCTGCTTAACTTAAATAGTGGACGTCAAAGATTTACTTCGACATGATTCGCTATTTTGGATACATACCAGTAGCATGTGCTTCGTGGCTGGCTGTTGGCGAACACGCGATAGGTAATGTCGTTCTAGTGATTCTCGGCCATCTTTATTGCGCCGATCGGATGCGGTTGCTGTCGCCGCTCCACGAATCATAGATACGGTACGCGGACAGCCTCAAACGCATACCCCCTTTCTATGTACATGAGTTAAACCAGCTCCGCCAAAAATGTTAGGGTGGTGGAATAGGTATACCTTTTAGACGAGGGGCTTTGAAGTTTTAGTCGTTATCAGATCTTAGAGGAGGTATTTTCTTCTAATAATTAGGTATATTCGCGATACTTCGTACTTCTCCTAGCTGTGGGGGTCAATTAGTGGCGAAGTAAGGCGTAAAGCTTACTGAAAACTTGTACACTACCTCACCGGCTAGTGCTTCTCTATCTCTACCTCATTCCTACATAGGGAATATGCGAGGCCATTCGGATAGCTCGGTTTGGCAGTGCCTCTTTGCTGGTGCCCAGAACTTGTCACGGCTGGCCGATTCGTGCCAAGTGTATGGTGTGTTTATTTGTCAACGGCTAAACCAATAGCACGTAGGGTAGCAACCGAAAAGCAATGAGGCTGATGAGAGTGCCAAGAATATCGTGGACAGAAACGAGAATTTAAAAGTACCACTCCGTCTAACTAAACTAATACACTTATCTTTTAGTGATATGTTCGAAGCAATTGGTATAAAACCGTTTTCCCACCATTCCGTAATCAAATTCCGTCGAGCTTTATTCACCGACATTAATTGTAAACGGCCACCTTCTATTATAGCTAATAGGTGTCATTAAAGGTGGACTGGCGGGGAGAACAATGGTATTGGTCTGTTAAGGTCGTATAGGTCGTCCATGAGGTCATTCTCGACAACAGGCGATTAATGTCGATCTTTTAAGGAGCTAATGTAGGATAGCCGCTTAAGTATCACATAGCGCGACTTGCATCGAATAAGGCCCATTAAATATGATTCTTCTAATTTTAATAAAAAAAAGTTAAAGGCTTAAGGCGTCCCGACCGTGTCCGAGAAGTATTTAGTTGTATGTAGTATAAGGAGAAGAAATTAGGGACATAACAGGTAAGGTTGCAACAAAGTGATAACAACTAGAGAATGCCTTCCCCCAGATTACGGAAGTTACCAGAGGTTTGATACCAAACCCCACTAAGTCGATTCTTCTTAGGCTCCACTAGCCCCGCGACCGTAAAACCTTTTGTTATGGATATACATATGCATGTATAGTCGATCGTGGCAGCTGACTGGCTGGTGTACTGTACTTTCCTAAATCTGGTAGACTAGTACGGAGGGAAGTGCTATCCTTCCATAACCCCCACCCCCCCGAGTTTCACCACCGGCTACCGTGTACCCGAACCCGATCATTTTCTCGTCTACACACACCTACACCTACCGTACCTACACCTACGCTATCTAAGCTTACTGAGATACTACCTAAGTAATCTATCCGCTTTTGGTATATCATCACCTATCACCTCATTCACACCACTCCTTAGGTTGTCCAATGGCGCCAACACAACTTCCAGCTTCCGGAAACCCTCTGTAAGTCTAAGCCATTTTCTTTCACCCGCCGTGGCTGAGCAGGCCTCGTCAGCCGTACCCGGCCTTCCGGAGCTACCTTACTGATCAGATGGAATTACTAGGGTCTTCTTTGACGTTACGCTCGGAGGTAAGCGTTTCCGAATCCATTCCCGCCCACGCTTTCTTTCCAGCAGCAGGCCAAGACCTGAATCTATAGTATCGCTTCAGTCTTAATATATATCACGTGATCCCATTGTCTACCTCATGAAGTATTCACATAGGGGCTAGGAGGCTTTCTTCATATTATTGTTTTCTCATACTGTACATTATCGCCGGTTCTGATCAGCAGCAGGTGAACCCCTCGGACGGATCACCTTTGAGCTCTTCAAGGATACTGTGCCTCGCACCGCGGAGAACTTTCGCCAGTTCTGCACCGGCGAGTCCAAGAACAGTCGAGGCCAGAGTCAGGGTTACAAGGGAAGCAAGTTCCACAGAATTGTACGTCTTCTACAGCTGCTATCAACATAATGACAAACTAACGAGTCACAGATTAGCAATTTCATGATTCAAGGCGGAGACTTTCTCAACGGCGATGGCACTGGCAGTACCGTAAGTTTCTAGGGAGGCACTGGTAGATCAAATGCTGATTTTCCTTTTAAGTGTATCTACGGCACTAAACAGTTCCAAGATGAAAATTTCGACTTGAAACACACCCAGAAGGGACTTCTCTCTATGGCTGTAAGTCCTCCTATCTTATCTTCCCCTATCCGTACTGACTGTAGATCAGAACTCGGGCCCGCATACCAATGGGTCTCAATTCTTCATCACCACTGTACCTACTCCCCACCTTGATGGGAAACACGTTGTCTTTGGTAAAGTTGTCGATGGCCTCGACGTCGTCGAGAAGATGGAAAAAACGAAGACTGGCAGACGTGGACGGGATATACCAGACATGGACGTGGTCATTGCCCAGTGCGGTGAGATGTAAAGGTCGCTATCTAGGATAATAAGGGCCCTTGTGCTGCCATAATAGCTTAAATAGTTAATAATCACAGCAAATAAGCATTGGCTAATATATAAATTGTAGTAATATGTATAGTCTGTTGACGTAGCGTACTGTGTATGTGAGTAGGATCTCAGTGCGGAGTAGATGTAGTCGGTAGCGAATGAAAAGAAGGCATTGGTCTTCGTATTTATATTCTAATCTACTATTCTATAAAACGAGTAGAATACGCATTGATTAATATCGCTAGAATGAATTAATAGTCATGGCGGCCTTTATTGCGACGTTTTCCCTTAGTGTACGAAGTATGGTACCTGAATATTATCCATCCATCGCCATATGCATATATTCGTAAGAGCCAGAGATTCTAAGATTAGCTCGCGGTATCTTCTACTCTTACCTGTTTCCTACCTTCTGATTACGTATTGGGAGGAGGGGGTTTCGAAGCCTTCTTTGGCTTTTATAAGATGACTGTTATCTTCTGTACTAGTTCTCAACACTAAAAAGCCGTATCCACACTAGATTTAGAGGGTTGTATTTAAAGTAGTAAGTGCTCTCAGGTGGTAAAGAGGGTAAAGAGATAAATTATTATTGTGGAAGGTTCTAAGTGCAATAGTAAAGACTCTAACTGACCTTGATGTTAGGCTACCATAATATAACCCTCAAGTAATATGCCTCTTTTTCGGGGTCCACCTCATGATACAATGTCCGAGTTTCTTTAAGGTACTCCCTGGACAGCCTAGTCGTGCGAGGAGATTTCTCTCGCTACATGATGTATGTTAAGCTGCCTCCAGAATTGGATTGGGCAATCATCGTCCCATTTGACTTGCCATAACTCATCACCAAGAATCAGGCTCCCTCCACCCATGTGACAGCCAATAGAGAAATAGTCCAAACAAGAGCCCTTTAGGATACCCAGGGTCTCAGCCCAGGTGCCGTCCAAAAGGTCCATAACATGTAGATCCAGGTGCTTGAAGACGGCCGGATTACAGCCATTTAAAAATCGGCTTAGACATCTCAGGTGGAAGAGACAAGATTCCAGCCGCATTTTCTTCAGGCTCGGGTAATCTCTTTGTGGAATCATCTGTTCGAAAACACATTCCGACGGATTTGGGAAGCGATTTAGATGGATCTCTTCGATACTTGAATTATCCAGCACAGCAAAGGTATAATGGTATATTGGTTGTCCATAGCAGAGCTCGCCGTACACATATTTGAACCTTCTCAAGCTCTGCATTGCTGCCGTTAAATTGGCCGAGTGCTCTTGACTTGGTACATCTATCTCTGGCCTATGTAATGAAACATCGATCCGAAGGCTGGTGAGCTGAACCCCAATTTCACGGAGAGTTAGTGGTAGATCAAAAACGATCTCGCAAGGTGGCGATGCTGGGTAGAATTCCTCCCCGTCATCCCATGGTGATGGTGAGGCCAACATCTTCATCATTTTACCATATTCCATCAAATCATAGTTGGAAGCTGGTTTGTAGGAGAATCCAGGGTCGCAGAATTCTAGTTCTCGGGCACCAGACATTCTGGCCATTCCCTCGGCCACATGCCTGGTGAAACGTCGTTGCTCTCGCAGAAGCTCTTGTTCTTCGTAAAGGGATCGGTAGATGTCGTGGCCCGACCGAGCCATGCGCTTGAACAGTCCCTCATCGTCACTTTGCCCTGGATGTTCCCATGCTTCAGCTATCTTCATCGCTTGGCGGCATCCTTCGCGCGTTCGGTTTAAGAAGATATCCGTGTATTGTCTAGAATGATGGTTCATTTCCCATTCCAAGTTACGGACGATACCTCGTATCTTGCCCGCATTGTATATTTCATAAGCACTCAGGTCTTCAACCAGAGAGCCATTATAGTAGTGTAGTAGGATACGTATTGACCGCACCCCGGGGGCTATGAGAGGATGTTGCGATATATCCTGGAATCGTTGAACAGAACGTAAGTTCATTTCGACGGTGACGGAATCCAGGAGTAGATGGGAGCTGGTGCTGCAGAATCTTTGGCAGGTGAGACGCACATTCCTGATAGCCTGGATCTTGTAGATTCGCATTTTCCTCTTGTCGGGATCCCAACAAGAGGCTTTAAGCTCCTCGAATACCATGAAGAGTAGTTCGCAAGGGAGATCGAGAATCCCTAAAGACTGGCTGACCGGATCCATGGTTTTAGGAAGGTTGTTTGACTTTTACCAGGAAAATGATCAAGACGATAACACGAGTACCCGAGACACAGGTAGTTGAGAGGCTGCTGCCAGGTATAATATGAGGCATCTTAACGAGAACATATATATGAGTCAGGCTTTAGGGTTTTTACCTTCGCTTATGAAGAAGCTTGTCTTGTCGCACTTTCCTCATAATGTACCTTCCATCGATGATACTCAATTCTAACGCCGTCGCGACTGCTTCAACTTCTAAAATCAAAATCTTATAGCAACCCTAAATCTGGGGGCCTAACCTATTTAGGTACATGTACCTACATCATGTACATACCTAATGTATGGAAGCTACATTAGGTACGGAAAGTATGTATTCTTTGTTTCGGATGCCTCGTCTGGAATCTTGTCAATACGATTATTGACTAGGTCATTGCCCTTCTTTCAACTACCTGTCGTAATGTCCAAAAGCGATAGGTACCTACCTTAACCCCCTTTGAAAACAACCCGGCTTTAAGTCATGTTTTCACTACTTCACCATCCTCAACCCTCTTTATTTTGATTCCTCGAAACTCACATTGATTACCTCTCAAGATGAGTTATCATCCTATATTTGATACCGTCGCGGTTGCTTTTCTCGCACCAATTGTTATAGGGCTTACATCCCCTTCATCACCACTGCGACGAATCTCCTTATTCGCCTTGGCCTATTTAACATTTCATTGTCTTTCAAGCTGCCCAGAGTATATCAAAAGGAGCACTTGGGCTGCAGCTTTAGGAGGATATACACTTTTCTCATTCTTGCATTACCTAGATGTTGCTGTACTCAGTGGTTGGAGCTTCGACGCTCGGGGTCCTACTAATGACTTAATAAATCGAAATGGACGGGTTCACAATTCAAAGAAATACCCAAAGTCGAGCGGATCACACCAATTAAACATAATATCTCGCCTGAAGTTCGGCTTCTCAACTTTCTTCTCATGGCGTTTTGTTAATACACCGTACCAGGTCGGGATCGTGCCCCGGCTAGACAAAACTTTGTATTCGTCTAGTCGCTTTCTTTTCTACACTGGCTGGACGATACTTGCTTGCTACCTAGTACTAGATGCAATGAACTCTTTGCGAGACAAGAATGTCACTACGAAATTCTGGCTGCTAGATAAAATTAACCCGTTTTCGAGAACCGGGGAAGTCTCGCTTAGAGAGAGATACTTCGCTACTATTGGACTAGGTGTAAGCCTCATATCATTCCAGCGTGGAGTGTACGCGATTGCGTCCTTTGTCTGTGTGGCTATGGGCCTAAGTTCTCCATGGGATTGGCCCCCCTTTAACGGACCTATCTTGACGTCGTTTAGTTTAAGATACATTTGGAGGTATGTGTGCAAGCCTTGGGCTCGTTATCAATGAGTTAACCAGTATCTAGCGTATTCTGGCCTCAGGCTAACAGCCATTGGCTGCATGCATTGGCGAATTACGTCGTGTATAACATCTTCCGGCTACGAAAAAGTGGCAGTCTGGTTCGATATATGCGTATATGCTTGATGTTCGCCATATCTGGAGTCATCCATATTGCCGTTGACTTCTCTTCGGGTACGTTACCTTAAGATAAACACTACCCTACCTGAGAATCATGACTAAAGAGGGTAAATATAGGAATACCGGTTTCTAAATCTGGGGCACTGCGTTTCTTCTTAATCCAGCCATTGGGTATTTTAATTGAAGATATAATCAGCGTTGCGCCTGGTATTGCCCTACTGCCGCAGATTGTGCAACGTTTCTTAAGCTTTATTTGGTTAAGTTTGTGGATGACATGGACAGCACCTGGTTATGTATACCCTATCATTTATAAAAGTGTATCAGGTGGCGGGTTGGTGCCTTTTAGTATTATAGGCTATCTTAAGCAAAAGCTTTAGCAAATATTCTCGCTCTCGTTTATAAATACAATAGCCCGATCAGAGGGTTTACAAAGGCATAACAATGTAGTTTGGGCAATATTTCATACAGTTAGATTATTTCGAAATTCTACGGTAGAGATCTTCAGAGCCTTCAAGCTCTAAACTATAACTAATTTCTTGATATTACTTTGGTAATCAAGACAAGATATCTTAACTAGAAATTCACAATAAGGATGTGTTTCCGCTAGAGCATAGTCTCCCCTCTGCGTCTGTATATATATGGGTTAGATTAGGTAATATTTCATCCCCGCCCTCTAACTCCTTCTCATTCATCTTCTTACTCTGAGTTAGGTACATAATCTACTGACAGGTAGCTGTGCTATACACCGATTTTATAGGTAGTTCATACGTTCTCATTAATTCAAACTAGCCATCACCAATTGTTACAATAAGACTCGGCGGCGGCACATCTAGGAAGGAAAATCAGCTTGTAGTTCTCATTACTGGCGCTGGTAGAGGTATGTCAACGTATGCCTATAACAGTGGTATTTAAGTTAATGAATGAATCAGGTATTGGAAATGCCTTAGCCCAGATTTATCTCTCACGTCCAAATTATACGGTGGTGGGGAGCATTCGCGACGAGAAAGCATTAGGCGTTGCTGAGTTGAAGGCGTCTCCAAAAGGAAGCGGATCTAAACTCCTCCTAGTCAAGATCGAGAGTTCCGTGCCTGGAGACGCAAACCGTGCAGCAGACGAAATTAAGGCAGCAGGCATTGACCATATCGATATCGTGATAGCAAATGCTGGAATTAGCCCGCCGATCGTATCGCTTGAGACAGTTAATCTTGAACATGTAGTCGGCGCGTTCAACATCAACGCTGTCGGTACTATTGCCCTGTACCAGGCTTGCCATCCGTTACTCGAAAAGTCTAGCAATGCTAAGTTCGTATCTATCAGCAGTGCTGCTGGCTCCATTAGCGCCATGGAACCTTATAACGCACACGTTGCGCCGGCATACTGTATTTCAAAAGCTGCTCTTAATTGGATTACCATGTATTAAGACATTGCATTTCCGCATAGAATACGGAGATAAATGGTGGCTAACTCATTATAGGGCAGCACACTGTGGTAACAAGTGGCTTACTGCCATCGCTGTGAACCCAGGGTCAGCATAATAAGCGTAGGATATCCTCGAGGGTAGGACTGACTTGACTCCAGACTTGTCGATACCGATATGGGAAAGGGAACGGCTGAGTATCTAGGCTTAGAGAGGGCACCTTATACTAAAAAGTATAGCGCCGAGAGAATCATAAGCTTGGTAAGTATCCCAATTTTGATTTTTACTTGGGCTAGCGCTTAACTTGGCTAGATTGACAACGCCAGTCGCGAGAATAGCTCTGGGAAGTTTCTCAATGCTATAGACAACAAGGAAATACCGTGGTGATAGGTAATACTGGGTAAAAAGGTAGATCTTACAGCGATTTACCATTCTTACACGGACATCCACCGTCCCCCTCCCCCCTCTCTAAAATTACCAACGTAGGCAATTATATGATTACTACCTATTTTAGCAGCATTTTGTTCTCACTTCTTTCTTACAAGCTCAGGTGTTGCCATAGAATGAATTAGTTTCTAATGGTAAATAGACTTCTGGGCCGGTAATTCTCATGATACCTTTGACGCCGAACAACTAACCTTTTTTATGTCGAAATGCCCAGCCCGATCCATCTTCCTCTAGACGAACCATTGCCTTCCCGGTGGCCTTTATTAACTCATCATTTGAATGATAGGATTCCTTTGCTAGAACTTCAACTAAAACTTCAACTAAGCTGTCAATATCAGACAATAGTAAGGCTAACGTTCCATTCCCCCAAGCTCTCTGACCAGGTTTTAATGACCTGTATGTATTGCCAGTGAAGAGGACTAAGCTGGCTAGAAGTATCGTAATGGGATAAGCGATCCAAGGCCAAGATATTCTAATATAAATATCATGTATCCAGACATTTCCGGTATAGACGCACGTCCGGGCTGGTTTGGTAGACGTATCGCATTCGCAGGGCTCTTAGCAATTCGGTTGCACCACGCGGGGCGATCATCAATTGTGTACTTCCAGGCCTGGAAGAAGGGAGGTTCACTAATGCCAACAAGTACCTCGGATATCGGTGCTCCATTCTCGTACATCAATTCGGAGGTAATTTCTCTTGCTGAAATTGAGTCTATCACTGAAAGCATAGTGACATTCAGTAGATTATCTCCCTGTTGTAACCTCAACGATGGATAGCTTAGAGTGGCCGCGGAAAAATTACGCCCCATTATATTGAAACCTGGGACGTCGCTGAATGCACCTCCTTTTTTTGATGGGTCTGTCCAAACCCTCGCTGATGAGACTTCTTCGGCAAGTGCTACTGTCTGTTTATGTTGACCTGAATCTACACTGACAGTAAGGCCCTGCATACAATACCAAAAGTCTGATAAAGGGCGTTCGGAGAAAGTTGCGGCTATTATAGCTAGGCCAATGACGCCTGCTGAAGACAGAAGCGAGGCAAAAAGTCGGTATTTCCAGACTCCGAGTGCCCACAACCACGAGGGTTTATCGGTGGTGTCGAATTCTTGCAAGCTATCGTTTTCTAGCCACTCATCGTGCGGACGGTAGATGCGGGTGGAAAGAGGCCGCTCTAACAGCGGCAGTGATACAGGAATTTGTTGTGAGCATCGGTCACTGGGTTCAGAATCGTTGATACTTGACCCAATTAGCGTCTGCTCTGATGGGGAAGACATTGGAATAGCGCTGAGGTATAGTAAAAGTGCTGTATAGGGACTTATTGATTTCGAACTATATATATTCCGATGAGAGAAGAAGTAGGGGGGAATTCGTTTCTTGAAGGGGACTGGGGGAAGTTTAAAACCTCCTATCGGAAACACAACTGCTTTTTTAGTATTTCAAGCTTGGTCTCATCCTTGGACCTTGTACGATCTTCGAAAAAGCTTACGTTGTGCAATGTTGGCGTAGATAGGTTTCGGTAAGCGCCAATGTCGTTAAACCAAAGTCCTTGGTATTTTCCTATTCATTACCTGAGCACTTAAATTAGAATATCTTACGATGTCCTAGGTACTAGGTGGAGCACTTTGGGGACGATGTCTTAGACAGTGGTATGACAAAAGGCCACTCTGCGGGTAGCACGTAAACCTAAGCCTTACGGTGCACCGGCACATAGGTCTCATGGATACCTCATTTATACGAGTACCCGGGTTAGTGATACTGATATAGCGAGGGTGCTACTGTTATACCACTACTCATATTTGTATTTTTTAAATTCTTAGGCATAGGAATATCGCAACTCTAGTAGGATCGGGTGACTGGTATGCTCTAGCATTACCCCTTTTTGGGTATTCAAGATTTTACGTTAATTCGTCTATCAGAACATCTGTCTTTTTGCTTATCTAAATAGTAGCTTTTTCGATCGTCTGTCCCTTGAATCCCTCTAGGCCCTCGCCGCCCTATGTATCCGGTTAGAATGTTTCTACGGTCTTGATATGTATGGAGACTTACGTAGCTTGTGAGTGGGGAAACTTCGAGACCCCCATCGGCATCTCCATTCTTGACGGTTGCGCCAACGGCTTCAACCCACCGTCGACCTTGCTCTTTGATGTGTCTGCGGCTGGTTGTAGGGCTGTCCTCAGGCTCTTTCTCGAATGATCCGTCAGCCTTCTGGGCTGGGTCTGCATTCTTTAGCGGGGAGAACTCCTCTTCACGCTTGACCTCGAAGCAAGCAAACTCGTTCAAGTTTAGCCACTTGAAGTTGTCGAAGACGAATTGCTCCAACTTAATACCATTGGGTGTCTTGGGATCTACAGCTTCGCCCTTCTCGGTGTCAAAGAAGGGAATCTTCTTTCGGGCAACGTGCGGTGGTAAGCTATTCACAGCATCTCCCATGCTGTCCAAATATTCGAATGAGTAATAGTGGTTGACGATGTTGGCAGCGCGGAACTTGAGGATGCTGGGCTGCTTGGGGTCTACTGCTTGGCAGGTGGCATCGTCAACTTCTGAGTATTCGACCACGTCAGGCCTGCCATTCTTCTGCAGAATGAGACCGACCGACTCCTTGGCATCTCGCTTCCTCACAACCTTAGTGGCAATCTTAACCTTCTTTTCGGCGGCAAATCCAATGAAGATCGGATCCGCAACCCTGGCCAAACAGTTGTCAACACAGTACGCATGGACATGCTTGATATTGGGTCGCATTTTTTCGAGAACTCCTTCGTCTTGTAGAGCCTTGTATAGGCCGCCGTTGCCGTCAGGGGCAACTGCAAGTTTTCCCTTGCTTGCGAGCATAAACTTTCCGTCATTCGTGATGCAAGGGAGCACACCTTGCTCGAAGATGGTCACGTTCTTGGGGTCGAGGCCAAAATAAGGCTCGCCCTTGGCTCGGTTTGCGTTCTCCTCGGCGCTAAGCTCGTCTAGCTTTTCCTTCTTGAAGAACTTCTCAGTCGGCCCACGTGTGGGACCACTGGTCATGATAAACCATGGAATCACAGCCTTACTAGGGTCTGCGGCCCGCGCAGCAGCCAGCTTTTGGATTTTTAAGATTCGTTCGGCTTGGATCTGGAAGAGGGATTTATGGGAGGGAAGTTTGATATCGAAGGCTCCCTTTGGGGCCTTGCTTCCCAGGCGAGTACCCTGACCGCCAGCCAGTAAAACCACGGCAACCTCGCCCTTCCCAATCAGCTCTAGACCGAGATCATACCACCTTTGAATATCCTCCGGCTTCGAATCGTAAATGCTAGCGGTTGCGGACTCGGGAAGCGGCTCAAGGACGGTCTGTCCCTCCTCTGTCGGTGGGTTCAGAGCAAGGTCTCGTAGCTTGTGAACTCTGGCGGGATCGATCTTTTGGAGCTGTTCGAAGAGAGCTTTCTGCTCGGGCTGGCTTAGGGAATCGAAGTAGGTGAATACGTGGCCCTGGCCGGCCTTTTCGTATACGGACTTGAGGTTCTGGACCTCGGCAGGAGTGAATTCTGGCATGGTGATCTTGAGTGGTGTTAGGAGTCGTAAGGATGAATAAAGGTTATAGAAAAAGAGGAAAGCAGGTAGGAAATATACCAATCGCTTGCCAAGAAACAGCCTAGAATCCTAAAGCTAGTGCTGACTTTATGGAAGAAGCAGATGCTTGAGGTTGAGAAGTCAAGAAAAAAGAAGAATAAGTACCTAAATACATAAGGGATCCCCCTAGGATACGAATAAGCTGTAAGAGCTGAGGGGCTGAGGGGCAGGAACAAGGGATCCTAGTGTATATCTGCATGTACATTAGCGTACATTACACTTAACCACCCACTAAAGAGGCTAGATAACCCGGCATAACATGCTGTCATATATCACATGACACATGCAGACTTAGTGGGGTTGAGGGGAATTTAACAGCTTCAGCTTTTCGCATTGCCCCTCCATTTAAGCGTGTTAGTGCATTAGTGACACCATCACCCAGCATCTCCTGTTTTTCTCCCGCCCTCCTATTCATCTCGATTATCTGGTTGGATACTTGTATCTCGCATCTCACCGCTTCGACAAGCCATGCGGCGACGCAGCCACCTCCTATTCGCTACGTTGTTCAAAGTCACATTTCGTATAACTAGCCTAGAGACTGCATAGTGTCCGTTTGCTGTATATATTTGTACATAGATTGGCGGGCTGACGACGTGTGATATATGTGATATTGCAATCGTAGTTGCACCTGGCATTTTCCCGAAAATGTGTTTTTTACCCTATATGAACATACGTAATATATCGAGTTGTAAATTGAATTCGCAGGAGACTAGCGGTACCTGACTTGCCGTATCCGATCTGCAGGTGTGCCCGCAGTTTTGGAAGCTCTGGGTCGCGTCGCTGCCGGCTCCTGCAACAATCCCTGACAAGTCCTTCCGATCTGGCATTCGATACGAGGACCTGGATAGGAATGATGGTCTTGGATTGACATCAACACGAAGGCTTCGGTGATGCCATCTGTTCAATTGACGTTTGCAATCAGTCTTAGACTTAGGTATACGAATTTGTAAGATGCTACATAGTATACAAAGTAGGTACCTAAAGTACCTTAATCCGTACCTTCTGTAAGATTAGTACATGTACGAAGTACCTTTTATCGATTATCACATAACTCGGTAATTACATAAGACCCTAGCAGATCTACTATGTTCATACGGCAAGTCAAGAGTGGGCGACTACCCCGGGAATCTAACTAATAGAGTGACAATGTATCTAGTATCTGCCTTCTCTTTCCCTGACGTGAAGATTTACAGCAGTTTAACTTAACATAGACCAAACTTTTCAAGGCTCTCACTTTCAGGTGCTTCCACAAAAACGTAACTACTTCTATAATTTTAACCAATTTGGCCACCCACGGGAGCAATTAGTAGGCTCATATTCGTCATAAACCGGCATGATGGCGGCTGATGAAGATAATCAAGAGATAGACAATTCACTTGGAGAGACAAGCTTTGAAGGCCGTCTTCAATTGAGGAATTTCATGTTTAAGGGGTCAAGCCAAAACTCATCGTCTATATCACCACGCCGAAGCCAGAGCTTACTGACACCTCAGTCTGCCGCCTCATCTCAGAGCTCACCCTCACTATCATCAGAAGCGCCGCCCAAATCAAAGAAGCGCAAAACGCCCTCGGGGGTATCAGACGCAGATGAGAGTAGCAGCAAAAGTACACCCCCAGCCTCAGCCTCACCCTCTCCAAAAAAGCCATCTCGAGGACCGTCTTCATACGCCCCGCCCTCAATATACGCACACTTACCCCTACTCCCAGACGCCATCGCGCCAAACCTATTAATCTTCTTCATCGGGTTGAATCCCGGCCTCCAGACAGCGCGCGTCGGGCACGCATACGCGCACCCATCAAACCTCTTCTGGAAGCTGCTCTACTCGTCCGGGATCACGCCGGTCCGATGTCATGCGTACGAGGACCAAACCATGCCGGCGCGGTACGCGCTCGGCCACACTAACATTGTGGCCCGCCCGTCGCGCAACGGCGCCGAGCTGAGCAAGGCCGAGATGGACGAGGGCGTTGCTATTCTCGAGGACAAGTGTCGCCGGTGGCGGCCCGAGGTCGCGTGTATCACGGGCAAGAGTATCTGGGAAAGTGTGTTTCGTGTGCGCCATGGACGGGCTATGAAGAAGGGCGAGTTTAAGTATGGGTGGCAGGAGGAGAGGATGGGTGTTATTGAGGGACATGGGGAGGAGGAACCTTGGGAGGGGACGAGGGTGTTTGTAGCGACTAGTACGAGTGGACTTGCGGCTACGTTGAGGCCAGAGGAAAAGGAGAGGATATGGAAGATCTTGGGAGATTGGTGCGTGAAGAGGCGGAAGGAAAGAGAGGATGCTTCTACCGAGGATAGTAAGGATCCTAAGACATCAGATCCGGCATAGAAGGGAGAATGTCTCGCTATTTGCTATTCTTACTGCTGATGGGGACTATGATATATAGCGATGCATGGCGAATTGTTCCATGAGAGATACCCCTGAACATATATCGAGAAACTCGATCTAGCTAAGGGCTACAGCTACCAGCTGTACCTAAATGCTTATTTATAATATATCACTTAATAAAACATGGTCATATTAGGTAAGTAAAATGTTATTGTTGTTTGTCTAGGAGAAAACCTCTAACTTCATGTCTGCGGTTAGCATAGCTCGTAGATCCACAAGGCTACTTCCTACTGCCTCACATCATGCAGTAGCCATATGGTCATAAACTTTACCCCGACCCACCCCCAACCGACCCTCTCTTTCTAGACAAAACCAGAACGCCTATAGGGATATCAACCATTGATTTCGAGGCGTTGCCGCAAATCTTATCTCATGGCGGTCATGCGTGAAAGAACGTACGAAGTCATATATACAAAAAGCGTAGGCTATAAATCAAAACAAAACCTTCGTCATTACGAAAGGCATACGATGGCAATTGCCGTCGTCACGACTGGCCACCAGCCTACGGCGCGAGCTAGTGTTTGCAAGCCGGCGCCCGCATCCTCGGTGCCATCGGTTGTGCCATTGGGCAAAGTGCCGAGGATGTAGATGGTTTTCTCGTGCGTAGTTTCGTTCTCAGCTACCGTAACAAGCGATTTGTTCAGGTTTTGATAGCTGCCGTCTCCGATAACCGAGTTGAAATACGTCTGGTTGCCATTGTCGTCGCAGCCGCATACGCCGTAGTAGTCGCATATGCACGTAACAGGCTTGGTTTCGTTCTGGTTGGTCGTGCTGTTGTGGTAATAGTAACGGTTCGCGTAGGGATACGCGTATGCGTTGTAGGCCAAGCTCAGGCCTACGAAGCCAAGGGTCCCGATCGCGGCGCCGCCGAGGACGAAGGGCAAGATGCCTGAGGGGCTTCTGACGCCGGACGCATACGGCTGTTTTGCACCACCGCCATAGTAAGACCCGCCTCCGTAACTAGGTCGGACGCCGCTAGAAGAAGAGCCTCCGGAGCTACCTGTAATGGGATTGTTAGCTTATATGCGTCCCTGACGAATACACTGCCATATATAAAATACCTGAGGAACCTGAACCACCGCGACCGCCGGACGAACCTGAAGAACCACCTGAAGAACCACCTGAAGAGCCACCGCTAGAGCCACCGCTAGAGCCGCCACTGCCGCCTCTACCACCACCTCCTCCACCGCCTTTGCGCTTCCACAGGTCTTCACTCTGCGCAAACGTCTCCGGATCCCGTTGTTCTATCGGAATATCCGGTGTCGCTACATCTAACGCGACATCTTCAACACTATGAATGGCTGCGGCGTTGATGCCTTGGCCGAGGGCGACTAGGCCGAAGAGGAAATGTGAAGTCTTCATGAGAGTCGCGTTTGTTATGGGTATCGATAGTATCAATTGTAAACAATTAGTTAAGCAATGAGGTCAAAGCTTTCCGGTAGGATATTGAGGTACAGCAATGTTTGGATTTAGCTAGGGATTTAGCGAGATGCCGATGATGGAGGATCTAGATGAAATCGGAAATAACCAAGAAAAAGGCGAAAACTTGGAATATATGTAACTAGATTGATGCACGGTTGATGTAGGTATGACTCTTGATAGTTCTCTTTTGGGCACGTATGATCCAAACTGCGGTGCCAAGCAAATCTTGGCAAACTACTACACACGATAGTGCGGCAGTTCAACAACTGGGAGGTGGCGGGCGTGGCCAATTTTTAACTTTCTTTAGCTCCTAGGTTAGGCGGGTTGGTTCATCATTGCCTCTTTGTTCTCTCGTGACGTCTACTGTTTAACAGAATCGAGTTAAGCCTTTGTCTAAGCCTCCTGTTCATGACTTCAATAGATTCACTTCTAGAATTGCTCTAGAAGGGATCTGGCTGACTCCTGCAGTAAGATAGTAATAACATTTCGATGATATGATTTCAATACCCAATTGAAACGATAGAGTCCGAGCACGATGTCAAATCATCAAGGATATTCAATTTATAGCCTATCATGTGTAAGCATGTAAGTGGTACAACGACTTACAGCAGAACTGGAACCTGATTTGGAATACTTTATCCATTTAAGGGCTATGCCACTTATGTAATAACTCTGTCAAGAGTCCACTACATCAGGTACCTGTTAGTGCAACTTAAACTGAGCCCGATCTGAAAGTGACATCACATTCCCCGATTGGCAAGATACACTAATTACATGTATCTAGGTTCGGTACACAATAATCTCCGGACCACCTGCTCAGCCTTACAGTTGTCAGCATCAACCTTAGCAGCATTTGGGAAACCAATAGGAAACCAAAGTTGACGCCTCGTACCGCCACTTATTAATATCATTAAACACAACAACATCAGTGTATCGCCCCACTCCGCGAAGTTCACCTTGACCATGACGGACCTCCCGGGATCTGATCGAACTCTTCTTGAGAGGCTAAATGCCCTTAAGCCTAGCACTGTCAATCTGAGCCCGTCATCAAAGTAGGGCAACCTTGTATAACTTCTATTTTACATGAGACTCTAAGTTCGCTAAGCGTGTCTAGGTCAATTGCAGCATCTACTATAGAGTCAGCTAAGCCTTTATCCAAAGAAGATGCTCTCACAGAAAGGCTAAAGAGTCTTCGAAACCAAAATGATAGTAACATCCATACCATTTCCGGCTCAGGGATAAGTCGTAGAGACGACGGGACTATCACTTCGCCATCTTCAAATCCACCACCACAGCCACCTCCTAATCCCGAAAGTTCGGGCACGGGCGTAGACGCAACACAAACTTCATCTACAGAAGATGCGAACGAAGATGAAGATCCACTATTCTACACTGACGACCAGACGCTCGAAGAGCTTCTTGCAGACCTCGAATCCGACCAGCAATGGCTCGAAGAGGTACTAGCTGAAGACGAGCATCGCAAGGTAACCGCACTTCTCGAGGAACTTGGGGATGCTACCAAAACCAGCCAAGATCCAGAAAAGGGTCCGGAGACTAAGAAATCTCGTATCGAGAACGAAGGTGAAGACAGTAGCGACGATGACTCCGAGGGTGAACGGATGACTCGTGAAGCCGACGATATTCTCGCCCAAACAGCTGACGAGGTAGAATACGATCAGGCCAATGAGTCTCCATCTCAGCCTGGTTCTTCACCCACTTCACCAAGCCACACCGCAAAACCAGGTACCGAAGGCGGTAAGGCAGCAAATGAAAGTACACAAGCACAAGGGTTCGATGAAAGCGACCCCTTTAACTTACCTACGGTTCCGTCAGATCTCCAGGACCAACACCAACCAGATCATCCCGAAGCGTCGCAGAACGACACCGACTTTGCAGCATCCATCACGTCTCGCATGGCTGCGCTCAACGTTGATACACCTGTTGGTCCGGATCTGCCTTCAGTACCAGCAGACATCGATTCTTTAGGCCTCCCTTCGGCGCCTACCTTCGCACCGGCTGATCGACCTGCCCCGGGGCTCATCAAGCGGTTTGGTTTCACAGACGAGGACCAGAAGACGTGGTGCGTCGTATGTTTAGAGGACGGCGCCATTCGCTGTCTAGACTGCGACGGCGACGTCTACTGCGCGAGGTGTTGGAAGGAGATGCATGTTGGTCCTAGCGCCGGGTATGATGAGCGCGGACACCGCTGGGAGAAGTATGTCAGACGCTGACGATCCATAATTGGTTCCTTTACGGTTAGGTTGGATTGACATTGTAGTTTTTGAGTTGTAACTATATCTAGATACCCAGCGCTGTGACCTATATTCCCTTTCCCTTGATGCCATTCCCGAAAACGAGATACTACCTATCTGAGAGATCTGCTGGTTCAGTGCTTAGCCACGGAGGCCTCGATGGACTCGAGTCGGATTAATTATTTTAACGTGACAATACATACATCCATGGGGTGATCATCTCGCAACTATTTCCTTATACGGGTAAACAAGTAGATAATGTAGTTCTTGGCATCAGCAAGCTGGATAACGAGGGTGAGTACGCCTTGACAACGGTAAATTCTGCCTTACACATCGGGTATATTAAGTCATCTTAGCTCGGGATCTAATGGATGATACATCAGAATTGGGTTGTGTATGGACAGAAAGGATGATGGGTAAACTGGTTCGAACTTTTAAAATCTGACAGTATACACTAGAACTCTAAACCCAGTCATAAGACAATTCACGCAACACTATAGTATAGCCCAACACACTCTCAGAGTTCATAGCACAATATGTACTTACTAGCGAACAATGCTCGCCAGTCATCCAGTTTTACATTCACAAGAAGTCCTAGAGTAAGCCCCTTCTCAAAACCTAGATGGGCGCAATACCTCCTGAGAGGAGCCCCCTTAAAGCCATCATCTACTTGTTCAACAAGACAAATATTCACAATGGTTTGTACATGCATAAATACCGTATGCTACACGTATATCAGTAGGAAGAAATATCATATTCCCTATTTCTAACATTCCCTACCTAACCTATCCGCACCACGCCCCAATTTGTAGTAGTAGTAGCAGAACCTCAGTATCACAAGTATCACAACGCCGTCAAGTCAAGTCCAGTCCAGTCCAGTCCATTTTGCTCGTTTGCCCGCAAGCTAATACCCGTACTCCGTACACACGTATCCCTTGTATTTTGACAACCTCACAATAAAGCTAGATAGATGTAATGTCCTTCATGTATGAACCCATTCATTCCATTGCATACCTAGAACGCGGTGAAGGGAAGACCGGCTACTATTTTAAAATCAAACTGTTTAAACAAGTCTTCCCACTCGGCATGATATAGATAGACAACATATCCATTATCACACCGTAAGCCATCCATAGCTAAACGACTTAGAGTAACTAGGTACCTAAGGTAAGCTACGCTCCAGAGCCGTAACCAGAACCATTTCCACCTGCTCCGTTCCCGCGCTTCGGCCGGCCGGTAATATCTTGCCAGGTAGCACCGAAACGGCGCCCGGTACTCGCCAGCAGACCTTCTTCCTCATCAGCCTCGGCTTCCTCGTCGATCTCGCTGAGGTTGAGCCTTGGGGCGCGGAATAGGCTTGTCAGGAACACGAGCAGGAAGACGCCGAGGAAGGCAAACTGCGCCCAGAAGGCGATAGCACCGAACACGGGCCAGTTAAGCGTGATGCGGTTAAGGAACGTTGACATAACAGTTGGCGTGCACACAGATTGCGGCTCCACCGACCACCGCCCGCGCGACGCGCTGCCCGCCCACTCCGAGCACGGCTTAACAGCTTCGGGGGCGTCGGTGCAGTCGGGCCGTCCGAGAGGGTGTTTCGGCGGTAGATCGCAGAATGTCTGGGTGCCGTAGCTCGCGTACTGCGGTGCTACCATCATAGCTATAGCGTAGTTGATACCTAGCATGATAAGTGCCAGCATGACTGTCGCGATGAGTAGAGCCTGCGGCGCCGTGCGACCCTTGCTAATCCGGAAGATGCGTAGCCATAAGAACCGGATACCGATAGCGGCTAGGCCCGACACGGAGCTGCTGAAGAATAGTAGGATTAGGAGCGCCATGAGCACGTAGTCCACGGGGAATGCACGGGCCGTTTGTACGAAAAGCCAGTTGACGGGCTGGAATACGTTGATATGCGCTAGGATGTATCCGCAGTGTTCCTTGCAGACCGAGTTGGCGGCCTTGTCGATGCCTGTGATTAGCATGGAGACCCAGATCAGTAGTGCGAGCACGATAAGTAGGACTCCTCCGATGAGCTTCAGCGGTCTGAAAACTGCGCAGATCTTTGACCATGCCCTGACGATGAAACCCTTGCCTTCGCCCTGCGCCTCGGCAGCAAGCCTTTCGCGACGCACCAGAGTCCGTTCTTCGCGAACAAGGGCCTCTAGTTCACGCCTGTCCTTGGTTGGCATTCCATCTGATCGACCAGCACTGCGCAATTCTAACTGTCTCTGGCGCTCCCTATTCTGCTCGAGCTGGGATGCAGTGTTTTCGGAGAGCTGCGGCGCGGAAACGGAGGGTGCGGACTTGATGAAGGAGACGGGGAAAAGTGCGAGACCAGCACCGGTGTAGAGAACATATAGTAGGGTTCCCAGCGTAACCAGTAGACCGACACCGAACGTCAGCGCTTTCTCTCCATGGTTCTCGTCGAGGAGCTTCTTGAAGAAGTCGAGATCGAGGTGTTTGCCATCGCCGTGGGCGCCGGCAGCAGGAACGAAGAAACCGACGAGGAATATGATGACGATCAAGAGTATGAAAGCAATGGTATATTTGAAAGCTCCCCAGAGACGCGAGCCGAATGTCTGGTTGCCTTCCTGCTCCTCGACTTCGTCATATTCCTCATACCAGAAGTAAGAGAAAGGAATGATCAGCAGGCAGAGCAGGGCATCGAAGCTGTAGAGGGAATAATAAACGATCTTGAGTGTAAGGAGGATGTTGTTGACGCGTTCGGGGGTAGCCCAGTCCTTCTTAGCGCCGAGGGCCGTGGACGTAGTCGAGGAGACGAGGGCGATGTCGACAGGGAGGAGGAAGACAGTCGCGAAGAGGGAGGTAAAGCTGACAATGGCGACGATGGTAACGATCGCAGATCGGTCGCGTGGGGTCTGCCATATAAAAGTGGTGATGCTAGCAGCAATTAAGGCCAATAAAATTGCAACGGCGTAAGTCACCCAGATAAGGGAAGTCTGGACATAGCCTTGGGCAGCCATTTTCGACGATGCTAGAAGTAGAACAATACTTTATGGTCTCGATGCTACTAATAGAAAGGATTGAGAATTAGAATGGAAAATAATAATTGAGCATTGGAGAAGGGAAGCTTGACGGAGGCAAATTTACCCCGCGTTCATAGAAGCTTGAATGTTGGAATGCCAGCGTTGTTGTTGATGATGATGATGCTGGAAGCTTTGCTCGAGCTTCCGTTGTCATGACGTATTCCTTAAGTTTCGATGTTCCTCGACTTTTACATAAACTTGAAAAATCGATATTTTCTGTCTAGACGAATATATCCCAGCATTTATGTAGCGTTAGAATGATATATTAATAGACGGCGTTATAGTTATGGATAGTTACATAACATAGAGTTGAGGCCCTGGCTGAGGACACAGACTGGTCCTTATCAACTTCGAAACTCTACGACACACCTCTATTTGCTTTGATGCTCCTGAATGACTATATAAATGGTAGGATAGCCCGCCGTAATTGAAAAGCGATTGCAAACATGTCACATACTATACCTGCAAGCAGTCAATCCCCTAAGTCCACGACGACAAATCTGAGACATCTTTTCTCTTATTCTTCAAGGGTCAGGATGCAAACTCCTTTCTAGTGTAATAATATCCTCATACTATACATAGTCTCCTAGGGATTTTTACCCTTAGCTACATTTCCCTAATGGCTAACAGCCTTTCTCTTCCCGAGTCGCTTGGGCGCAATATAAATCAACAACCTACATCCCTACTACTAAATCAACCACTCGATATCTTAATTGAGCTACATGATTATCTTTCACCTGAGGCTTCTGTAGCCCTAGCCCTGAGCTGTAAATCAGCATACCTCACATATTTCTTTAATGCGAAAAAACTCGATCGTCAGGAATTAGAGAACCTTCAAATCTTACTAGAAGGGGAATCTTAGCCGGGACTTTTATGTACGGAGTTACACCGGTACTTGTATTCTTAGGTGTTCCTCGACATGCTGAAAAGTGCCTTGGATCTGTGGGCTTGTTTAGTCCAAGGGGAGGGCTTAACCTTAATCGTCCCGAAATCGAAATGCTACTTTTAGGAAAGGCTGGGCAATCAATTCTGAAGCTTGAATTATTGAGGGCGAGATATTTCTACATGTTTCGCACTAGCTTGTATTGTATGAAAAATTTGAGACTGGCCGCTTGCTGCTACACATCAATCTACACTTGATCGAAAGGACGAGTCAAACCTCGGACGCCGTACACAAACTCATGTGTTATCGCTCGAGGATGATGATAGATATTTTAGAAATATTATAGAGAATTACAATAGCATCCCTAGCTCACGTTTTATTTGCTTGACAGACTTTATAACTACTGGTAGTCGGTATATAATGGGTAAAAAATATCAAGAACATGAAGTGTGGCGTATTACCATCGAGTTTTAACACTAACTTAGTTACTGTCGCTGGCCGTTAGACTAGAAATGGCAAAAATTAGTAACGGGATCCTCAAATGATCTCATTACAAGGAAACAGTGTAAAAGGTCTTATCACAAACCAGGAGCCGACAAGAGGCGATGGGATATGGGCACTTAAGTATCAGCGAAAATATTAAGCCTGTAGGGTCGCGGTGAAGGGGACTTAGGTAACAATGTTGCGTGCCCAGACGATAAAAGACTTATTTTATTTTTACATCGGAATTTTCGTTAATTATAATTTCGAGTACCCGGTCAATATGGATCAAGGTTGAGTTATCCTTACCCTGAACCAACTCCAAAGGGGTCCTAGGAGCGAGACTCTGATTGGACAGATTATATGTAAGATTATGGAAATGAAGAAACCAACCTGGGTAAGATTTTGAGAACCTCTAAAAATGGTTGAAATGGATTAATATATAAATCATCTAAAAATAGCCCTTGAAATGGCCAGTTCTTGTATTAAACATCTAACTTTGGGATAACTGACCTCTCCGATCGGGAGCATTAAGCGCTGGACCGCTGACTCCGCATTCTCTCGAAAGATGGCTTCCGAGTACAAGAGCCATTGGCAGAAAATATACCAAGACTTACAGGGGGGACGGCGGCCAAAATGTAACCCTATCAGTCAGCTTCTGTATGGATTACCAGGGGTCATTTTATTTTATTTCTATGAACACTATCAACATGGCACCCAAGTTTCCTTCATCGTGTAGCCCTCTAGAAATCTCATCATCCAATCCGTTCGCTTCGCTTTCTCTGTATAATATTTTACGATCTGCTTGGCGCAGTCATTGACGAGTCAGAAGAGCCCTACTACTTGAGCTTTAGGTCCTTGGCCTAGACGCTTCGCCTTCCAGCCTTGTCGACCGTCTCAAGGATGTCCCACACTTTTCAGCGCATGCGATCCTCGTTTAGTAGGACGACACAGAGCGAGCAACGAGAGGATAGTGTCACTGGGCTCTCTCTCGGGGATAGGAAACTAGTCAGCGAATCCCACGTAGTTAATCAATATACCCTAAATAAATGACTAAGTTTAATACCGCAGACATCTACAAACCGACGACCCTTTGAAATATTATATAATGGTCCAACGGGTGCTACCGCTGGGGAGGTTGAAATCGAGTAAGTCCCCATCTGTCTCTATAGATTCGCTCAACTGACTGCCCTGACTAGTATAATCGCGGTTCATGGTCTGGGTTCTAATGTAGACTGGTCGTGGACCTGGAAAGGCGAGGGTGGGAAACCGCCATATGTCCACTGGTTGAAAGATCCCGAAATGCTTCCTGCTGTAGTGCCAAATGCGCGAATCATGACTTATAGTTACGAATCGAGATGGCACTCTAAAGCTCCTAAAATTCGCCTTGAGCTCTGCGGTGAGGAGTTAATTCACAGTTTGCACAATTTTCGTACTGATGTCTCGGATCGCCCCTTGATCTTTATCGCACATAGTCTCGGTGGTTTGGTCGTGTTACACGTAAGTCAATAGGACCTCTTGCACGTGTCGTATCTGATTAAATGTGGTTTTGACGTTGTAGGGCTTACTATATGCCGACCGTGATAAAAGATACGGATACCTACCCGAACGGACGATTGGGTTCGCGGCTCTCGGGACACCATTCAGGGGCACGAAGATGCAAAGTGTCGCCGCAATGTCCGCGTGGCTTATGAGTTTTGCAGGTTCCAACCGCGGCATTATTACAGATTTAGGTCGTCACAATAAACATCTGGAAGACAAAGTACATGCTTTTGGCCAACTTCGGGAAAGGTTGAACTTACCTATATGGTGTTTTATTGAAACAAACGATACGGACTATGGGAAGAGATTCGGTATTCCAGGTCTGATTCGAGGAAGGGTATGTTCTTACGACAGGTTAATGAAGAGTGCGCCAAACTGAATATTACATAGGTGGTGGGCGAAACTTCTGCCCATGTCCCTGGCTGGAAGCGATCCAACCTATATTCAGACCACTTGAAGCTGAACAAGTTCTCGGGTCCGGATGACCGTTCTTTTCTAACCGTTTCGGGTGAGATTTGTAACATGTACACCAATTGGAAGAACTCGTTAGAGAAACGAAAGTTTGGTGAGTTTCTAGAAGAGATTGACAGGATTATGCTAATTTCCGGAATATCAGAGAGTAAGAGCGGCAGAGAAACCCGTAAGTCACCTAGCCCTGGATAAAGAAAATTTTCATACCTAATAATGTCTTTTGATCTATATAGCGAAGCCCGCGTTACCGACTCCCGGAAGCTTCGATGTCGATAAGACTCATTCCGATAGCTTCGAGCAGAAGGCAGCGAATTTTATAAACAGATCTGGTCTCTTACGCAGAATGACCGAAGAGATTGGTACAACTCCGCATTTCCGATCTATTTTGTGTCTATACGGAATAGCAGGATGTGGCAAGTCGTTAATGGCTCGTCACTTTGCGAGGTCAAAAGACTTTACTGCTCGCTTTGAGCTTCCCGGAAAATCAGAAATCGATTTCAACATAACGCTAGCTAGGTTCGCAGAGGATATACCCGGTCTCGTTCCACCATCGTATCCAGTAGATTTAACGTGGGACCTCTCAGCGACCGGGGAATCCCGCGAGCTTCAAGACCGAAAACAGAAAAATATAGACGCTATCATTCAATGGTTTAACGCAAAAGGTAATACTAAGTGGTTTATCCTCATAGATGACGTTTATCTTGAGGATCTCAACAAATCTGTGGTTGGCGGGAGTAAACACTGGGTTCAGTACTTTGTTGAGAGAATTCACCAGGGGACCATTATAATAACCTCTCAGAGTTGGGATCTCGCACAAATATATCCAAGCATCCACGTAGACGGCTTAGAAGATTTTGAAAGCCTACATCTAATAGAAAAGGTTCTTGGTCTTCGAGAAGGATCGGGGGACAGCAGTATGCCACATGATTCCTAATACGATCTTATATACTCACAAAATTCTAGGTTACCTCAAATTGACGAAACTCCTCGACAACCATGCGTTGTCAGTTGATAGCGCAGCCCGGTATATGAAACAGTATAGAACAGATGTTGAAGGCTATATTAGTATTTGGCAGTCCCAAGACGAGAGTATTCTTGACGACTCCAAGCTTGGCCTAAATCGGACACTTACTAAAACTATAAGCTTAGCCATCGAGAGGCTCGAATTAGAGGCCCGGGGTTTTCTCCTGGTCTGCACCTTTTTGGATCCTGGGTGTATTTGGGCCGAGCTATTCCTGGATCTGCCCCATGGTAAGTTTAACTATCTTGTGTGGCAACTTGGGGCATTGTCCTTGATTAAACAAGCACCGAATCGAGAATTTGGAAAAGGCGGCATCGCCATTCATCCCGCGGTCCACAAAGTATTATTTTCGCTTGCGATTCAGAGGAGCGATGTGGAATTGTACATCAATTCTGCAATCTTTAATGTCGCACGAGCGGTACCGAATGATCATAACGAAAAGGCTGCGGAAGAACAGCGCCGGATTCTCCCCCACGTAATGCAGTGTAAGGAGAATTTGGAAATCCTCAAGAGCTACGGCCTAAATATTCGCCGTGGGATCTTACCAGGTCTTAATAATCTTGGACTACTACTTCAGCGAAGAGGTCAATTGGACGACGCAGCAAGAATCTATGCTTGGGCCCTAAGAACTCATGAAGAACTGTCACTTATGGACCACTTAGAGGATGAAGAGGGAACTGTCTCCACTGACGGTGAAACCCAAGAGGTGAATACTTTGCCTTATCAGGATGCAGATTACTATATTATCCTTAACAACTTGGGCACAATATACAAGGATAGGAGTGAGTTCGAGCACGCGGAGACATGCTTCAAAAAAATACGCGAGTCTATTGATAGTACCCCCGCGCAACCACACCTAGGAGACTCTTCAAATTCTATCTTGGATATCAATCTTGCGCTCGTCCTTATACAACGAGGCAGACTTGATGAAGCTGAAACTTTATTGGGTAGAGCAAAGAAGCACTACAGAGGGCTATCAGAAGAGTATGCCAGAGTGCAAGAGCTCCAAATAGAAAGACATCTGGGTACTATTCTAAAACTACGAGGCGAACTTAATGACGCATCGGAAATTTTAAGCTTCGTATCATTTAGACTACAAGCTACATTAGGGAGCTCCTTAGAGTCTGCACTTGCTGAAAAGGAACTTGGCTCTGTTTTCCTTCTCCAAAATACTACAGAAAGCCTAGATGAGGCCAGTAAATGCTTCAAAGAAGCTGAGAAGTATATTGGAGAACATTGTGCAGCAGACGGTATGATTGCTCTCGACCTGCGGTGGCACCGACTTTCGGTCCGCATGGCACAGTGCTGCAAACACCAAGATGTTGACGAGACGGCTGTGCAACAGGCCTGTGATGACTTCGAAGAATTCATCCAATATCTTGAAAACTCCCTGCCTAGGAATAACGCAACAACCCTCCACAGTATGCGTACATATGGCACCTGGTTGATAAGATTGAATAGATTCTACGATGGGCGAAGGAAAATTCAACGGGCGATCGAGGGCTACGAGCTTCGGAATAGCGATCCACTACAGGCTGGGTTTGCAAACAAGGACCTTGCCGATGGGTATTTCGTGCATTGGTCCAAAGATCGACACAATCTTCACGATGTCGAAATGGCGAAGAAGTACTACTTGAAAGCGGAGAATATATTTGCATCTCTGAAGTCAAGATTTGCCAATGAATTCGTAGAGGATATTCAGGGTAAATTGAAAGCAATTCAGCGATGGATAGATCCAGCTTCAGAGGCTCAGGAACAGCAAGAGGCACCGAGAGTATCAATGTCTACAGGTCACAATGAAGAAGTCGATAATGTTGCCGAAGAGGTGATATCATTGTAGGCCAATCGCAATCTACACGACGGACTATAAAGACAATATACGAAAGGCCGTATCACTAGCTAAAACCAAGAGGTGCATCTAGTACGCATAGCCAAGCCAAAACCCTCAAATCACGAAGCAGTATGATATAGGGACTTCCTACTAATTTCTAGGCTTGTATACTCCAGCGTATATCTATAAAAAAAATTAGTTTGTTGGCTCTCCTGAGTAGATTACTCCACAAAATACTATCCTAGTCGCCCCCCTATCCATACGATCGTATCATTCTGATAAGCCAAGACTGTTAACCGAACACCGGTATCTTATATTGGACTAAAAGGGGTATGAAAAGACGAATTGAAAGTTATGAAAACGGGACGTAGCAAGAGGTACGTGATGAGATTAGAAAAGGACTGGTCTAGTAGAGCGGCTATGAATAACATTAGTAAAGAAATAAAATAGTGTTGAAAAATTAATAACTTATTCGCAAATAATTCCCTAACAACCATATCGCTTAAAGTCCCCCAAGAAGCATGTTCATTGATGTCCCGTAAAATTACATTTCTTGTACAGCGGTGCGAGCCGGAATAAGGTAGTACTTGATGTGTATTTAAGGAACAATATGATACTTAAAAATGAAATATATTATATTACTCTTGTATGAAGCCAGTATCCTCGTCACCTATAATCGTTTCTCGAAACAATGTCCGAATAATTGGATCAAATTATGTAGACTTTTGAATTTCTCTTGTCCGTTTGGTTTTGTAAACGAAATAATTGACCAGGTCATTCTAGACCGAAGTATTAGATTAGATTTAACCACCATCCTCTAGTCCGTTGGAACTTTCGCACAAGGCCGAGTTGTCATCACTCAAAAGCTGGGGTGAAATAGAGGAATGCTCAGCATCCACCGTTTTAAGTACATTCATGACGATTTCGTTCTCCTTGTCCGCGCCGCTAACCGCGAGGGTATTTCTCTGCCCCTCTGGATCTATCGTAGTCCCGCTATTGAGTAAGCATGTGTCGCTTACTTCGGCGCAATCAGTCATGCTCCTTAAACTTTTCCGCTTTTGCTTTGGTGGTTCATCACGTCCGGTACGAGGTCGATTGGGGCTCTGCCAGGACTTGAACAGGCTGGATTGGCTGTGTGGGCTTCTGCCGGCTCTTAGCATCGACCGGAGAGCCTTGATGGTCTGTGACTCTAAGATATGGAGACGTATGAAGCCCACGAATCCCGGGGTGGAGCAGATTATGAGAGTCACATTCATCTGCACGAGACTGGGGAGATTGTTCATGTCACCTTAGCGTATTTTCTTCATCGCGATAGGTAAAGAGGGAGTTGAAGGTAAATAGAAGGCTTACCCGCATATCATCAAAACTCCAGTGTTGTATGTGCTATCGAAGTTGTGGCTCTGCAGTGCCTTTATTCTATATGCAAGCGTTAAGATACTGACGGCGATACCACTGGAGAACATTAGTTATAAATACCCAAAGAAGCATCGTCTACAGCGTCATTTCTTACAGTAACGCTATGAAAAATATGGCCGAGACCTGCAGCTTTTTCTTCTTCGATAGGTTTAGCTTAAAGATAATAGGTAGTGGCAAGATGAAGATATAGATGTCGATCAAGATATCTAATGTACCCCAGAGAAGTGACCATCGTAGGATCCACATGGTTATAATGCCGTCAGTGTCGTCAGGATGATCCCGAGTTTTCTCGTTAGCATAGCCATAAGACAATATGCATATGGTCCAAACTGTAATTATGAGACTAATAGCCATGCCGATCCATATAGCTATACCTATCGAGCGAGATATGGTAAAGAGCTGGTAGAACAGTAGTAAAGTAGCGGCTCTACCAGGAAAGGTACTGAAGGTCGCGGTCATCTCCCAGGCATATGCTATCTAGAGGTGGTAAATTGTGATGTTAGTAATCTCTAGGCTAAGACATAAAGGTAAGGGTATGACAGTTGCTCACCTTTCCGAAGTTATCATTGATCCAGCATAAAGGCATGTTCCATATATGCCGGAAGTATTTGGCATCTAGGGGTGGGAAGGTTATCGACTGAATAAGAATGCATAATACAATATGTCATACAGATAATCATCAAAACTACTGTGGCAGTATTGGATATAATGGCAACAAATACGAAGACTGGTCGATGTTCATTAACACTGTTTCGTGTAAGTGATAGGCTAGGTACCTAGATAACTCACAATCACCCGCTGTCAACTTTCGGAAGTTGACGTAGAGCCTACCAAGGCTGAAGACCACCGCGATAGTCGTTAAGATAACACCGAGGGAGATTGTCAAAGACTTCAGGTCTGCGTTGTCAAGGTCAGAAGATTGTCCAGGGGGAGGGATACCAGTCGGTATTTTGCAAAGGTCGGTTTCCGGTGGTAACTGATTCGAAGGGGAATCCATTGATTACTCGATAGGAAGACTTATTGTAGGCACTGATGGAACTTGATAGTTAATAGTGCATTTATTAAGGGGTTGAATTCGATGTTTACCTACTGAAATGCGACGACCGATGCATTTATCCTAGGGTTTGTACAAGAGCCTCACGTATGTTACTCCTCTTTGCAAAGTAATGTTACGGCCGACCTTATTTCCGATACCCTAAAGTAACCGTACAAACAAGTCCTACCGCGTTCCATCAAGGCATCCACCATCCACGGTGGAGCAGCCTCATCACTTACTTTCCACGCATCGTATATACTTCTATGATTTAAACTGTCAAAAGACTTTTGTAGATATTCGTCAGCGGTCGTGACTATTAGAGTCCGTTTTCTTGATACCAGAAAGGCATTTTAGTTGAAGTGTGGAACTGTATCCCTAGGTTAGATGATTCCATTAGTAAAATCTGTAGATATTCTTTCCCCTGTGTTCTGATTGGACGAAGAAATAATCCACCTCCAGTGATGGTCGCAATATTAGACCTCTATACTACTCAATGTTACATTCGCTCCTCAGCTGTCAGTTGAGGGGAGGTCAATTGGGGCCCGTTTTCTCCTTCTAGGTAGGTAGTTAAGAATATGCTTAAGTAGGCAACTTTAGGAGACAAATTGTGCTGATATAAGACGTAGGGTTTCATGCTCGTATTATTACATTTCTTCGCGGTGTAAATCCCGTGCGTCCAATTAATATATCAATACTACCAATGGGAGTCGTATAAAAACTCGTCGATATGCATACTTCTCTCCTCTCCCGTTGAGAACGGGAAGTATTGGCTGTAAGTTGTCGTACTCTGATTATTATATTCTACAGGTCAATATCTCCTATGATAAGTCATCTTCTACCCCCTCATAAATTACCTTGTTAGGAATACCGATAGGCTCATTAACAGCCGCAATGCTGCATCTGACCGTCTCTGTCAGGCCGATTGGGGACCGAGCCATCGTTATCAACCTAGGCATACAACAATGAGATACCAGTGCAGCCTCGTACCATAGTTCCTACACGAGTTAGGTAGGTACCTAACTCATATGAGTACATAAAATACAAATCACTTTTTAATACATTGGTATGCGCCGACTGTTTCGGTACTCCTTCATAAAGTAACTTGTAATGACTTGTCCCCATTCGCCCCTCAAAGATTGAGGCTCAACTTACGAATCTCTATTAGAGTATCTTCGCAATTCAGTTAGTACCACACTCCAAAGTCCATTTATGGCCTGCCTGTTTCTGGCGTGACATGATACGCTGTGAGGTATTCATACTTCTTTCCGGTCACTATTGACCTCATTGAGAATATCTTCAACTCCCGCAAACGAGAATTCTTCAAGTGTTTCCCTCCATAAGACACTCCGTAAATGATCGCCTTCGGATGAATAAACAATTGGTGCCATCCTAAATACCCATGTAAATATTAAAGAGTCATATCACCAAAGGTAGTTAGGTGTCACTTACGGCTTTAGCTTCTGAAGTCCTAAATATTGTCCGTGTGTTTCTTCGCCATGCTTCACAGCCGCATCAACTACCATACGAGCGCCAACTGCCGCCGTATAACCAATTCTTCTCCTAAATACCTCTACAATCTTTCCCATGAGCGAGCGAGCAGTCTCACGATTGATTTCCGAGTCATAAACCATCATCGGCGTCGCCATGTTGATCACAGCGACGGATGAAGGTACGCGTTTGGCTAGCTCGACCAAGAATAATTGTCCCAATAGCTTCGATACAAAAGTGCGGTTCAACATGTCCACTTTACCAGGTTTATCAAAAGAGGATAATAGGGGTTCTTCGTTTCTCTCGTCTAATTTTGCCCAAGCGGCTGTATCGGACGACGTGATGGTAATACGGCCTGGCTGTTCTGCTAATGGCCTCTTTGATTTGACCACGGGAAGAAGTAGAATGGCTAAGAGAGCTGTTGAAAGATAATTTATCTGTATAGTCTCCTCATGGCCGGTGCTCGGATTGATCCTCGCCTCCGTCGCCATAATACCGGCGTTAAGAATCACAATGTCCAGACGCTCGAGGCCCTTGGTTCGCTCTACGAAGGAGCAAATCGAGTCATACGATGCATAGTCTAGCTCCCATACCTCAATAGTACCTGGATTGAGGTTTATATCCTTAGACAACTCGGTAGCCGCAGCTTGGCCTTTGGAGACATTTCGGACGGCAAGAACAAGTTTGCTCAGCCCTAGGTCCAGAAGTTGACGACTACATTCGAGGCCAATTCCGACGTTAGATCCCGTTACGATTGCTGTTTTCCCACCAAGGTCGATCCCACGAACCTCGGCCGGCGTTTGCGTAAGTTGGCGATAGAAGTAGTTCAATACGCTCCCCTCCTTCTCCGGGGAAACATCGAAAGTGACGACCATGCTCGGCGTTTTCTTAGTGAGAATGAAACGACGATGTCATGGAAAAGAAGGAGTTATCCTTAAGAGTTTGTTAAGTGCTAATAGATCTAACAAGGGATACGCTCATAGTTACCTAAGTATTGAAGGTGGGGTTGAAGTAAGGGGTAATTGAATATATTCTACAATATGTCTAACCTAGTCCAATATTAACTACTATATTTCAATCGAGTTTCTACGCTAGGGTTCATATAATAGCCACCCATTCATCCTTCATGGCGCCCTTCCAGAACTCCGGTCGATCCCAAAACTCACACAATCCTACACGACGATACATGTTGTGCGGTGCCTTAGTCTCGGTTCCTTCATCACGATGTACAGGGGTGAGGCATATACAGACGAGGGATTTAGGCCTTCCACCAGGGAAAGCGGGATACCCAAAGTTTGGCGGCGGTATCACGCCGATACGAGCAACAACTAAACAATAAATGTCGTCTCCGGAATCCTCCCAAGTACCTAGAGCCTGTGATTCTGGCAAGGCGGCTCCGATGTCCTGAAATGCTTTAACTATCAATTGAACCGCTTGCCACCTAGACTCAGTCTCCCCATCTATTATGGGTTGCAATAAGTCATATAAGAAATTTCGAGGCATGTTACTGTAGGTCTATCATAAAAGAATCTGTGGGTGGAATTAGAGATTAGTGGTATTGAACGTCGAAGCCATGATATCGACTATTAAATCTCATAGCACGACATGAAGGAAACATACTAGACATATGGTCAATTATCAAAGTCTCGGACTGGTTCTCGTGGATTATGAAAATCGCGGGAGACCATAACCTCTCACTTGGTAATAGTATAATCTTGGGTGTTATTCCGAACTTTGTAGACTTCACCGAACTGCGGCCCGCCCATCTACCAGTTTTATGAACCAAAGCATCCTGGAGACATCTGGGTAAGACTTGCCCCTGCTTCCACTAGCAATTTCACCATTTGGAGATCCAAGGCCCTGATAGCCTCGTGCTAGGGTACGATTCTAGCAGCCCCTGAGCGATGTGTATACTGGTCGTCACAGGACCTCTCTTCGCTTTCTGCATTGGTATTTGTACCATTTTCAATAAGAAAATTAACTTTTTTATAACGGGAAGAAGTATAATCGAAGCATTGGTTAGGAGTTTCATGTGGCATAGCTTCGTGTAGCAGAGCTTCGTGTAGCGGTGTTCTCCCGAGTGCGTTGTATAGATTGATCCGAGCACCGCTCTCCAGCAAGAGAGCTGCCGCATCGTAATGTCGATACCACAAAGATTTATGGAGCGGCGTGTTATAATTTGCCCAAGAACGATAAGGATCAGAACTAATAAGCACGCAACCCCCAGTAGGACGTGGGCGGTCAATCTCGAGTTCTTTCCATTGGACGTTAGGATCTAGACCTTGCTCCAGTGCCCTTTTCACATCGTCCATGCTAGACACTCTTGTAGGGAATAGACAAGTCTGTGTTGTGAAGGGGAATAAAATAATAATCCAGACAAAGTCGGGGAAATATGCCTCGAGACATCTTTTAAGGAGCAACTGCGCCACGTTGGGGGTTACACGCCAATAACAACTGTATTTCGCGTAAGAAGGTTTCTCCAGAAATATATATATTATATAGTATGGAAAACCCTTGAGAATCGTCGTTAAAATAAGCTCTCCCCGTTCTTTAAGGCTTACTATTATATATTAGGTACTTGGCTACGACTCGGCGTACTTCGGTATTCTTGGCAAGCTTGGTCATTGTATAAGAGATCGTGTACTGCGTCGCTTGGCGGTTTACATTTCCACAAATCCCACCCATGTGATACCAAGAGGTACATTTGCAATCCTACAAGATAGGACTTTAGGAGACGTAGGTAACGTCTTTGAGAAAGGTTAGGTAGATAATCTTTAAATTTAATATTATTTACTTCCTAGAAATAACCTAACTATTATTAATCTCAATAACCGGCCCGGAATACACTTTCCGCGCCCAGACGGCGTAGTATATCACAGACCAGATCAGCGTCGCTCCAACCATCAGAGCGCTCATGTTCATACTTTCGGCAGTGGGGTTGATATGAGTCGGCCAGAAACTGAAGAACAACATGACTGCAAGAAATGCACAGCCAAATGCATTGACGATAGTTCCAAATGGTTCTGGGATTTTCATAGGGCCCCACGATAGGTTTTCGTGGTTGGTGTTGGTCAACGCCGTGTTCTCCCGGTTATACGGGCGGATACCGCCAGTCAATCGGCGCCAGAGGAGAAGACTGTTTCCGATGAGGTATGCGCCATCTAAGCCGTTTACAGTCAAGGAAACGATGTCGTTGAATGCTACCGAGGACCCCAGCGTGATAAGGGCGAGAAGGTAGGAGATGATAGTCGTAAGAACGATTGCAATTACCGGAATAGACGTTTTAGGTTCAACCTTGGATTCGATGTTAGCCTGGTAACTGACTTTATACTAGTGACGATACTCACCTTGCTAATGTAAAACCAACCCGGCAGACCCCTATCTCGCGCGAAGGACCACGTCATTCGGGAGGCAGTAGCCATTAGGGATACCATAGCGAAAAGATTCAAGACTACAAGGATCGAAGCCATGGTCTGAGCGCCCTGTCGCGACCCTACGCCCTCTTGGAATATCGCCATGAAGGGGTATTTAGTGGGTGTCTTTAGAGCAGAATCTATGTCGCCGATGCAGAATAATAAAGCAAGGAGACTGCCAAACCCTAGGGTACCGTTCAAGAGAACGGTAAAAATCATTGCTCGTGGGACAATGACGGATGCATTCTGAATCTCTTCAGACATCTATAGAAAATTGTTAGTGGACCTGAATAGGGGGGAGTTATTCAAGCGTGCTTACGTGCACAGCACCATCCGCGCCTATTTTCCTGTTAGCCAAGCAATATACTTTCGACGCATGAGAAGGAGTAATAACATACCGAGGAAGTTGAACACAGCCGCTATCATGCCAAGCATGAAAGAAAGACCTTGCGTCGGCCACCCTCCTCCATTCGAGAACGACGTAAAGACTTCTTCGGCACTCTTATGAGGGCTCAAGTAGACCAGCGGCACGAGAATAGCGAAGAATCCAAGGATGTGGAGGATCAAGACTAGGCCTTCTACCTTTGGCAGGGCACTACTAACAACCGTGTTGATGAACACCGCAAATGCGACGGAGGCATACAGTAGGAGGAGTTTCTGCCAAGGTAGCGGTACGTAGTCCGGATTTCCCATCACGGCGACGCCTTGGATGAGACCGGCAGCAAGATAACCCAGACTCGCGACAGCAGCTTGCCAGCCGATGACCGTCAACCAGCCTTATACATCTTAGCCTAGGCTTCGCAGTGAATAAGTGCATAGGTATTCAGACATACCGATGAAGTAACTCGTGAACTTGCGCCAATTGTTCGGCGCCAACATGTATACCCAGTGATATTGACCTCCTGACGTCGGCGCCCTGCGTAGAGTATTAGTTATTTTCGAGCCTTGATTGTGAAAGGTGATGCGCTTACATCGATGCCAGTTCACCCATAGTTGCGAAGACGCAGAGAGTGCCAATCCAGACGATTATGAATCCGTATATAGACCCTGCGGAACCACCATTCTCGTATGCTTGAAGGAAAAGCCTATGAAAATGGTTAAGTCTTGGTAAAGAATAATGCGCATGGTGGAGGGAGAAACATACACCAGCTCTCCTTCCCAAGTATTCATAACCGTGCAGCTGAATCCGAGGATGGACATGAGGGCAAAGTTGCGCTATAAGACGAAATATTAATAATCGCTTATTAGTGCTAATGGAAGTAAATATCACGCATTACCTTCAGCACGGGGACTTTCCCAAGTCGAGCAAGAATTTGGTTGTCGCGATCGATAATCGACTTCTTCCCTCCTCCCGTCGTCTCCGTCGGCTCGATATTGAGCTCGGTAGACGTCGCCTCATTGTCGTCGCGCTTGGTCGACTTGAGCTCGTAGTCGTCCGCCATCTTAGCTTAGTTGTACTTCCTTCGCGTCCTACCCAGAGGGCGACAAAGCTTCGCAGGGCTCTAGTTCTTTGCGACGGCGTTCAATGGAAATAGAGGCATGGGATGGGAAGTGGGTAAGTAGTAGTGGTAGTAGTGGTAGTAGTAGTGATATTATGGGGGTATAGGTAATTAAGAATATGTTCAAGCTTGAAGAGAAGCGTGCATGTACTCTGAGCGGAAGGTTTCAGCCCCGGCTGAAACCGAGGGATTGAAATTATTGAAGCTTCCAGCAGGGCCGCAGCTTTCACATGCCCTGTTCTAGAATGCTTGCGACGTCGGGGGTTGGCGTACATATCGCGCCACAGTCGTCAGTAACGGCTGATACGTACAGAAGAAGCGTTTTCTTTCGAAAGGCACATATGGGCAAGGGAGTTTGCGAGATAACGGATACGACGTTTATTCTGCGCGACCTACTGGATTGGTCGAGTATCAATACCTTCGGTCGTTAGCCGGAAATGCTCTCTACATACCATGACCCCGGACGAGCTTCTGATGTGGATGACCGTGCATCGCATTGGAAGGATTCGCCCGGGTATGCTACTCGATTCGACAAACCACAGCCAACAGATGTCACGTAATAGAGATCCTACCCATCAAGTCCCTATCATATACCTAGTTCAAGTAAGCAGAATGATCTACTCTGCCATACAATTTAGAGACGTATTCCTCTCCTATTATATTTTATATCACAGCTAAGATCTGCCTTTAAGTTCAGCTCGTTAGTTATTTCCAGTCTCGGATATTTCAATAACTGGCCATAGATATAGTGTGCAAAAAGGCCGCGATTTGCGCGAGAATCCGGTGGCGAAATCACAATGGGAATAGTATGATTCGGCCGTGAACCTCGCCGCATACAGGCATTAGTACATTAGTATGACAGGTAATAAGCCACCGCGGGTGTCATATATCACATGACATGTGGGGTACCCACATGTATATAAAGCTAGATCCTCCCTCCTGTAACTTAGCCATTACAACATGAACATCAAATACATACAATATTGTGATAATTGGTAGCACCTCAAGCAATACGATCAGAGGCTATTCTTGGAAACCATACAAGAATTGTTTTTCGGAAACCATACGAAAAATTGTAGGCTTACAATGATTATGGTTGAGATGAAGATGTATTAGAGAGGTTCCTCGAGGCATCTGCAAGATGCTAGCTCTAATAATACATGTAGATACGTATGTGGGGCTAATGTGGGTCCTTATCTATGATAGCGGGGATGAATGCGGGATGTCCCGCCGCCATCATGCGTTAGCGATATTGTAAGTACCGCCGCAGTTGAAGCTATCAACAAGGGGAAAAAGGTGAAATTTGATATTATCATAAGAGAGACATTACTCGGCGTATTTACAGATTCGTACCCCCTGGTGCAAATTAGCTATTCGCCCGCCGGGGTTGGTGAACTCGTAACCCCCCAGCTCTTAACTTGCTTAATGAGCTTCGCCTGGCTAGAGCGGCTGCTGGCATCCCAATCAGGCGTGGTGTGCGCCGTTCCAACGGTAATCGAAGTAGTTACTTGGGAGTTTGCGATTCCGAGGTTTCCCAACTCGTGCGATGTAGAATGCGTAGATTTAGATGCGCCGGAGCCATCTTGCTTTCGTCCGTACCCGTACGACTTTCCCGTAATATTCCCACGGCGACGAAGATCGTCGCTTCGGATCATTCCAGATTCTAGACTGTCGAGGAACGGTTTTAGATATGGGGCGCTGGCAGTCATGATGCCCAGGTTTTGGGTCAGTGTCATCGCAACACCAATGAGCCAGTATGCAAATGTAGCGTCTTGATGGTTAGATACCGTTTGAGACTCTATCATCTGCCAAATCAGCGCGGCGATAGTCCTGAAGTCTATGTTAGTGTATGATTCTGAGATGCGATCCTTCTAGAGACTTACAAGATTCGAGTCGCAAAGCACGATATGACCGTAATCTTGCGCTTTAAATGAGTCTGTAGTTTCCATACGACCACAAATGGCAACCATATTAGAAAGAAATCGAGCACGATATTGACCACGTTGATATAATCCCACATTGCATCTTGATCTATGCATTCGTCCCCAAGAATTTCCCACGTCTTCGGCGTATCGCATTGGAATATTAATACTAATGTCGAGGTCAACGCCCAGGCAAGCGTAGCCCCCGTGAGTATCCACGTTAGGATCCTGTGGAAATTGATGGGCGATATAACTCTTATGAAAAAGATAACGGAGAGTTTAGAGAAAGCCTGGCTCGCTACGAAAAGAACATTCGCCGCATAATAAGACTAGGTAGTTAGATGTTAGCGCTTGAAGTTGCCAATCTGACCTATGAAAGGGCTCCCGCACCTTTTGAAAGGATATAATGTTGTCATTAGAGAGGGTATCTTGGTGTCGTCCCAGCCCATTCCCAACCGCGATAGATGCCGCTATCGTTTGCGCAATACTAAATACCTAGCGAAATTAGAATACCATATAATGTTATTATAATCTTGATAGAGGCGACTCACCAGCGACGCTACAATCATCGTGTCGTCCCAATGGAACGACTTTGAGACCCCCCATTTCGTTGACAGCCTAGTGCAGACCAGGAGAAAGCTGCAAATGATGAAGAACCATGATACCAGGTTAACCACCGACCCGTGGTTATCGGGACTGTCGTGCAGGGAGACGTTCGTATCGGAGGAGTTCATTGAGCCGTGATCATGGTCCTCTATTGTCGTCTCTCGCCTACTCGGGTATATCACATACTAGTACGAAATAGCGGTGCGATCAAAAGATAACCAAGATGATTTAGGCAGGATAAACTTTCGGTGGGCTGGTTATTGTAATTAATTCAGCAGTAGGCTGAGTGAGTGCCGTGCAGGTCTGCTACAGAAGGATTCAGGCGATCCAAAGAGAGCGGGCGACCCAAACGTCTTCTAACACGAGCCGAGGGGTCAGCTCCTGTGCTGGATGTAGATCATATTAGATGGCTGGCATTTCAGGCGGGCGATGCGTACAGCTAGATTACAAGAAGCAGGCATAATCCCGGGAGAAGAGAGAGAGAAAAGGAAAGAAGCGTTACATTGAACACACGTTTTCTCGAGGACGATGCATGTGCGAGAAAATACCACGAGAGGAAGGTTGCCTGTCACCTTGGCTGCTACCAAAATGCAAGCCGAGGGAGCCGTTATAGGGTGCTTTAGGTGCTAAGCATTAAGCTAAGCATTGGGGATGTAACGCTTACAGGACTTCTATCCACCGTATACATGCAGATATGTAGGTAAGATGTAACCTTCATAAGTAGGCGCAAAGACTTATCATTGGTCGCATTTCGAATATTGTAGCGTTACTTACGTTTGTCGAATAATAACGTCAGTTGATTTATTCTATTCCGAACGCGATTGGATAGCCGGCTTTAATCTACCTGAGTACCTGTACATCATGAGCGAGATTATAGTACGGTACGGTATACGGAAGAGAATACGACACGTGACGGTGTCCTACATCGGATCGGCCGCTATTATTCTTGTTGGAGGGGAATGAATGAGAAGGCTTTATCTCGAGTTTGATATTCAGCTTCAACTTGTCTTCACTCCGGTTTCCGGTTTCTCACCCCATACCCTCTCGCTGCTTCCATTCGCCATGTCTTTGAAGCTCCACGAACTTACAAACGATGAGGACTTCAAGGCGATAAACGCTACAGAGCACGAGGCCTACAGTAACCCGTTCAATGGCGTCTTCGAACTTACCAAAGGCACCTCGCCGGAGGAGGCTTGCGCCCGTCAACTAGTCTGGCATAAAATCCAGCCTGGTAGTCATTGGGTCTATGTTACCGACGAAAGTACTGGTGAAGTGATTGGGGGTACGCGATATATTATTTACGAGACAAATCCATACGCGGTCGAACAACCCGTACGAAAGGCGTCTTGGCTACCTGAAGGTGCGTAGCAGAAAGAGTCAAGAGAGTGGAAAGACATGCAGGTACTGAACGAGGATATTCACCAGGTCCTCTAAGACAGGTTGGAGATCATCTCCTCGCCTGCCTAGGAAAACATCGCCCAGTCCTGATGAACAAGCCGCACATACGTACGTTTCACTTATATCTCTTGGCTTCGTGTGGCCGCTTACCACTCGGGGAATTATATACAGTGATATCACTATGTTTCGTGCATTCAGCGCACAGGAACCGGGGTGCCGCAAGCTTGATGCTGGAGTGGGGGACGCGAAAAGCAGATGAACTCGGCCTGGAATCTTTCGTCGAATCTACCGAGATGGCTCGCCGCACGTACGAAAAGCAAGGGTTTTACGTTATTGGCGATTTCTACCTAGACGCCCAGGAAGAGAATCCAAGCAAAGAATTCATTGCGGAGAGAGAAAGGCTCGAGTGTCCTATCCATGGGTTCATTATGAAGAGGGATGCAAGGGATGCGAGGGATGCTAAATCTACCCAATAGAATATAGACATAGAATTACAGATATCTGTTGCTTGATTAAAATTGAACATGCCATGCTAGTTCTTCCCACCCCAAGTCCCGCAACTTGAGAATTACATGGATGTATCGAATCCATGTAATAATGCACATCAGCAACTCCTGCAAACAGAAAATGACATCTCGTAAACTGAAGGGTCTCGGGAGAATCCAACTACGGAGACTGGCCAATCAGGGCTTGAGCCGGGCTTAGCGTATACCCTTTTCGGAATGCGGCATGATGCATCAGCCAATCAGAGCTTTGTATCGTAATAAGAAGCCTATCTGGAGCCATCTCACAGCTTATCTACATGTTAAAAGATACCCTGGCCGTTTGTTTGAAGATCTTCTAACGGAGAGATACCTGCGTCGCGATTTGTGGCTTAAGGTGGTAGATACATAGGTAAAATGTGGTAGAAGACTATCACGCAACCAGTTCCCCTAAAGTAGGTTGAACATTTGAATGCTGCAGCCGAGACTTTCTTCCTTGGCATACATTTCACATTTTGTTACTTCTATGTAGCTACACGCGTTAACACTAGGTAATCATTCTACAATGGTCGAATCTAGCGACCTATCCCCCGACGATGTCAAGTCGGCCAAGTTAGTAGAAGCCTCAAACGCAACCGAAAAAGCCCCCTCCCCCTCAATTTCGTCCAGGCCGATTGACGTGGATCGGGAAGGATCAGAAGCCGGGCAAGGGGGCCTTGTTGACTTCGGCGACGAGACAGACTTATCAAATCCTCAAAATTGGTCCCCGAAGCTCAAATGGTCGCTAATTGTTTTGGTCTCTCTGTTGGATTTCGCAGTGCAAGTCTTTGCCCGATCTTATCTGCACAAGTTGGTTTTCTAACGTGGCTCTTCAGATCTCTAGCGACGATCATCTGCGCGCCAGTCGCACCCCAGATCTTGGCCGAGTTTAGCGAGACCAACGACTTCTACATAACCTTCATTGTCTCGGTTTGGGAACTTGGCGAAATCTTCGGACCGCTCATCGTCGCACCTCTCTCTGAGCTCTACGGACGATTGTATATTTACCATGCCGGCAATATCCTCTCCATTATATTCTCGGCCGCTTGTGCCTTGAGTACTAATATCCAGATGTTGGTAGCATTCCGCTTCCTGAATGGCTTGGCAGTTGTGTCTACGGCGCTCAACCCCAGCATTGTTGGTGATCTCTTCCGGGTTGAGCAGCGAGGAAGCGCAATGTCAATAGTAGGTCTTGCTACGATGCTGGGGCCCGTCGTCGGTCCTATTATAGGAGGTTATCTTGGCGGCGCAGTGGGATGGCGATGGTGTTTCTGGCTCATCACCATTCTATGCGGCTTTCTCGAGATAGGTTTTTTGCTCTTGTTACGTGAAACTTATTCCGTACAGATCCTCAAGGGCAAAGCACAGCGGCTTCGTAAGGAAACGAATAACCCTAACATAAGGTCTAAGTACGAAACAGAGCACACGGCGCTACAGCTGCTTCAAAATGCGTGTGTACGACCTTTGCTACTACTTTTCACGTCACCCATTTTATTCCTAATGTCCCTGTATGTTGCTGTGGTTTATGGATATCTCTACCTCGTTATGACAACCATCACATCTGTCTTCGAATCCGTTTACAATTTCTCATCAACCGTAGTCGGCCTCAGCTTTCTGGGACTTGGTGAGTTGCAGCTTAGAGTCGAACTGTCATAGTTTTTGCTAACCTCTACGTAGGTATTGGCTGTGTAATTGGCGTTTTCTTTTGTCGAGCCACGCTCGATCTTTGGGTTCGTCGTCAGGCCAAATCCGGACAAGTTCAACCTGAACAGCGTCTTCCACCCGTTATATTCGGCGGGTTTATTCTTCCTGTTGGCCTGTTCATGTACGGTTGGACAGCCGAGGTTCACACGCACTTCTTGGCGCCAATAATCGCTACCGGGATCCTGGGTATGGGTCTTGTTTCCACCACGATTCCGGTGCGAAGCTACCTAGTCGACGCATTTGGAATATACGCTGCAAGCGCAATTGCCGGGTGTGCTGTATTGAGAAATCTTGGTGGAACATTTGTTCCACTCGCAGGGCCACCATTATATCAAAAGCTAGGGCTCGGCTGGGGCAACTCGGTGTTGGGTTTTATTGCGTTAGCCTTCATACCCGTCCCGCTGCTCTTGATGAGATATGGTCAAGCATTGAGATCAAGGGACAAACGAAAATTCGCGGCATAAGAGAAAGTCAAGATATCCCGTCATAAGTTTTAGTTCAATCTCTTAGTCTAGACGTAGAGCTTTTGGTACACGCCTCTATTAAATATCGATATATACCTTGTATATATACTTTAGGTACCTACTATCTTTGTGCTCACCTTTGACTAAGGCTATTTCACTATGCTCTATAATCTTACTTAGAAGACACTATATGCGGGGATAAAATAAGGTTGGAAATAACCCTACAGCTGTCACTTTCGGGGTCTTCATACAGACGAGACGGCATATCCAAACACAGTTTATCAAAGGTTTAAGCCGCACTATGTCTATATACCGGTGCTATTTAGTGTTCTGAACAGTATTGTAGGCTTGATGGATAAGCACTAAAACACTTCAACAGGGCCTCCAACATGCAGCGGGTGTGGCGTTTGCGGATTACTACAGTGCTGACCTCCATTACATATCTCCTCCCCCCATACCTACCTAGTCAGATGATTACCGACGTTGCGTTGCATCGCGTCGGTGTGTGGCACGGCCCGGAAGGATCGTGCACAGACATGGTATAATACAAATGGAGCACTATGTACCTGTTCTTCTAGAGCATTGGCTGTCACTTTTGCTTTTGCATAACTCGTACGTATTCTAATTTGCCTTCTGTAATGTCGGGGATTTAGTGTTTTTACGAGTAAGGATCTGTTGTTTCGCCTTTTGTTACTTGATCAAGCTCTATTAGATCTGTTAGATCTCAGTTCGATGGGTCAATCCTGAAGGTTCCTAACGGCGATCAGATTTTGCGCTCTAGAACAACAGGCATCGTGCCGATGGCACAGCACAATGCATCTCGCAACTTATAACGTCCCACAGTCATAAGAAGTCTTTCGACTCCGGTTGTGAACGATCGGCAACACCCACGGCATTTCTTTTTGGGCTGCAGGCGCCACAACTGAGGGATAGCAGCGTACTCCAAGAATTTGGACTGGGGGTGAGAGTCGGCGTGTATCACATTTAAACAATAGCAAGTAAGGGCATCTTTCCGGGCATAAGCTTCCCGGCGGGGTGTTATCCTTTGATGATGACCGAACATATGCTGTACCACCCAATATATAGAGCCCAGCAAGCATCGACGAGAAACTAAAGCTAGCACCCATCCCTTATGGTTGAGACAATACGTCAGGCCACCATAATAAACTCCGAAGGCAAATATATGAGGTTTTCAGTTGGATAGAGCACAATTTAACCCGTCGATAGCCGACTATGGTATGGGTTCAAACTTCAAGGTAAGACGAGGTATGAGAGGAGGGATATATGGTAGAACTGGGGTATCGTATTAGATGCGATATTTCATCATATATCCGAACTTAAGTAGTTAGTGAACAAGCTTGATTTAGCATGCGTAGAGCTATACCTCAATCAACCCAGCTGAATTTCTTCTCTTCAATAGGCTTCCAGTCCTTACCCTTTCCAAAATACTTCCGTGCCTTTTCCAACTCAGGGGTACCCTCCTGACAGAACCTAAATCTCGGAAGCTGGCTTGGCTGATTGTCCTCGAAGGTGCCGTTTCCATAGCGGTAGCAGCTCGGATAAGTCTGCGTCCATTTCTCTAATGCATCCCAGTTGCGACACTTGTGCGTTTGATATACAGCCGAATTATGAGGAGTCGAAACGTTTGTGGCGCGGAGCGTGTCGTCCGCTTGGCACTTAATATCCGCAAGCAGCTGGTCTAAGCAGTGCACTACGTGTCCGTTCGATATCGATGGAGGGTTTCCCATTCGGTAGTCCCTGAAAGCTCGATAAACTTGTTTCTGCGAGGAGTTTTAGCATGTAATTGGCTGAAGCGGTCTGGGTCCCATACGATGCAATGTAAGCTGTGATAAGCGTTCACGAAATAGAGAGATTTGCTGGAATCCCAAGGAAAGGTTGCGCCTTCATCCAAGCCCTTCTCTGCCGCCCATAACTTAGGTACGGCGACGACACCCGGGTCGAAGTCCAGGCTATCCCAAAGGCGATCCCGTACATCATCGTCAGAGTCTGTGTAGGCGCCTTTCTGGTTCCAAAATACATCTACTTCGCCTTCTTTTAACCCGGCTAGAGGAAGAGGTAAGTAAAGTTCCTTCATGTTCCTGAGAGAGGTAAGAACCATACCATATTTTGTTCGATATGTCCCAGACTCGCACCGAGCATTATGTGAGAGTAATACCTTGTAGAGGCTGATCTGCAAGATATTCAAAGAAAGTGAGAGGACAATGAGTATTATTAGAACTATGTTAAACCGATTTGACCGTTTGGTGTCTTTTGCTGTACTCGTAGGATGTTGGTTTTCGAGGCCTTGGGTTTCTTCACTTATTTCTTCGCCCATCAAGGGCTTATACTCATGTTTTTCGGTCATTGTAGCTGAAGAGCACTAGCCTGGGCACGATTTTTGTTCGCTATATCGAAGAAACAACAAACAAAAGAAATGAAGGGAAACCTTTTAGCATCAAGTAAATGTAAAGAAGATGGAGCAAGTCGGTAAGTCCTATCGTGCGAGTATAGACATCAAGAATCTCCCAATGGAACGGTTGCGGATGATCCTTCCGTATAAGGTGTCCAGGGTGTCATCGGCACTGGGCTTGCATAAGGCGGGATCCAGATATATTAGGGAATCACATGGTAGCACAGATATGCGCCGCCGTCACATTGAAGAATAAACCACATAACAATCGCCAACCATATGCCAAGGCAGACAGCGGAATGTTCCTTTCGATGTGACGGCGGCATTTCCTCGTAGCGCCTTCGTCTTGCATAGACACATCTATTCAACTCCGTCACAGCCAATAGTTTCATCTAGACAATTCACGCCCGTGGTTCATGGAGTAGTTGACCCGCCCCTGTACGGACAGTCACATATCACCTACTTTTGTTTATGCGAACCCGAGTTTTGGAAATTCTTCAGCATATATTGGCATCCTCCCGAACTGACGGTTAGCCAAGAACTCCAGGGCCACGGATACTAAAACAACCTCCAACTCGAAGATATCATACTGACATAACGCAATAATTTTGTGTTCGCGTACGAATTGCATCCCATATCAACATGTTTCTCGGCAAGCCTCTCCTACTGGCATATGCCATTATATCAGCAGCCACAGCGCTTCCATTCAGTAAGTTAAGCACTTGACACATAAAAAGTGGCAATCATGTTCAACCTTCGGGGACTAACCTTTTTTATAGAGGCAGCGATCGCTGAGAGCTCTCTCGTTACTAGGTGGGACGAGGTAGTTAATGAACCTCCATTTATTGCGAAGCGGGAAGAAGATATAGTCAATGAGCCACCAGCCATCGCCAAGCGGGGGGAATTGGTTAACGAACCTCCGGTAATTGCGAAGAGGGAGGACATAGTCAATGAGCCCCCGAATATCGCCAAGAAGGACGATGTGGTCAACGAACCTCCAAACATTGCTTAACTAGATGCTGTTGCTGAGAGTTTTATTTGATCTGGCAAAGGAACTTGTTTCGGCGGACATGGGCAGGGATACTAAGGCTTCGATACTATTACTGTATGTGCCTAATGCATTTACGTGGAAGTAGTATATTGAAATGGGAAATAGGTCGTCTCTTCCACTCCGCTCATGCATGACTTCCCATGATAAATCCAACTTCAATGTGGATTTGTGTTCGCTCTTGACACATGCTTTGCATATGCCCACTCAAGCCGCGTAGCCATGCAGATAACTAGTTCTACTAGACTTTTGATAAACCCGCTCACAGTGAAACCTGAATTACTTACGCTTCCTACGGAGATATTACCTAGTTTGAATTCGCTGGACAAGTAGTCATTGACTCGTGGTTAGAAGAGCCAGATCCTTTCCTTCAAAGAGTATAAAAAAAGCAAAAACAATAAGTTAAGCTGAGCTGTAGCCCTTTTATACTGACACGTGGTCCCAACAGCATGGGTGGATGATATACACACCGCTATGCGTTGGCAAGGTTCAATGTATGATGGAATACGCATCGTCCCAGATATAGTCAAGCGTGAACCGGATTCGGATAGCTAGGTATCTTGGGCACAACTAAGTAGCGCCTTACCGATAACTTATAATAGTATAAGTTATAACCGTGCTCTCGGGAGTGCCTTTATTACACTATAAAGTCACATTTAACTTGCGTACTCTGTTAAAAGGATATGATAGTGTCTCCGTTTCGGTAATATTAAGCTCAAAAGTAGACTTAATACCTCTTATTTGGGGTTCTACATATGTGAAAAATATACGGTAAAGCATAGGTACCTACCTACTATTCAAGTAGGTTGACACGTGTGCGACAACTGCTATAGGTATTACCTATGGTGTAGATAGCACCAAGGTAAGACTAAAATCGGATCTCTAAAGAAAAGCGCTTTAGGATTATGCATAGTACCCAGTTCTCCCGATCCATCGTTAATCTCGGGTCCAATGTTAACTTGCTCAAGTCTGCAGACACGTATACCTAGAGTCAATTATTTCTACTCTTGTGTGATCCTTCTTCTATACAATATCCTTATATACACCTTCTATCATAACCATCACTCCAGCCAGACAGGAGCAAGCTCCTTAATATACCGAGGATAAAAGTCCTCCGGGATCTTAGCGCTGTCCCTCTCCTTAAATGCATCATAGAACCTCCTCAGATTTCTCAACTCCGAATCTGCCACCAGATCAACCCCATACAGTTCCTTGGAGAACTGCAGAAACGAGAAAAATACACAGTCTGCTATAGTAACCTTCTCGGCTTCGGAACTATCTCCTTCAAATCGGCCCTCATAGTAAGGCTCGAGGAGTTTCATGCTCCTCCTTACGATAGCCATGCTCGATGCAACCGGGTTTGTAAGCTCCATCTCTAGGAAGAGTTTGCTGCCTTTATGACAAGCAAACCCGAACATAGATGTAGCTTCATCCGCCAACGCAAGAATCTCTCTTGTCGTTGCTCTATCACGCGCATTTCTTCCTCTCATAGAGGTCTTCGCAACGGCTGCAATATCCTTTTGCCAGTCTTCCTCAGGATTGTCGCATATGTCTTCGAAGTAATCCAGGATCGCCACTGATTGCTTGATGAAAGTTCCATCTGGCAAGGCTAGAATAGGCACGGTACCCTTGGGTTTTCCTGGCGCTATCATTTCAGCAGTAGGAGATATGGTCACCTGTGCGACTTTAATGTGTGGGGAGTTGAGGAGCCCCTTTTCATGAAGGTAGATGAGTATACGGCGGGGGTAGAGGCCCCATGTGAAGACAAAAAGTTCTAGGTGCGCCATATTTTCTTAAAATTCGACTGGCAATATAACAATATTCTAGATATTCTAAAGGAGAGGTTCTATTTGATCTTTAAATACTACTCTCCTCATCCATGCCTAGGCCAAAATGTCTATAAAGTGTCCGGGAAAAGTTTCCGCAGGCCGCTAACATATACGGTCGGTCACTTTTACGGGCTTGTCTTACTGCCAGAATGTTTCCGAAACTAGACTACCCTCGACACCCTAACATAGGTAATTATGCACGATGAGAACATTTTTATTCATGCCCGACTTTTAGGAGGGTTATTGTGCCAGGCCAAGTTAAGGATATTTCCTAATTAGGCAATTCGTCTGTGCACCCACTAGTGCCTTTTAGTTGTGGGTCCCAGGTATTGTAATAGGCTAAAATATGGAGCTAAGGTTTTAGCTGCATGACTAGTGTTAGACTAGTTTTAATTTGGAAATTTTTTGGGTAGTACGTACCTTTGATAAGACCTTTGATAAGACCTTTGATAAGACCTTTGATAAGCCGATAAGAGGATAAAGCTTTTGATAAGAGAGATAAAAGGATTGGGGAAAAAGGTGGCCTGTGCACCAGGTTAGGCTAAAAATTTAACCAATCACATTAGGTGGCCATATGCCAATACAAGGCCACATACAGGTCACATGTTCTTAAGTGCAAAACTAAACCCTTTCGGGACAACGCCATATGACTTCTACAGGAAGCCGGGTTCGAATCCCACACGTTCCTTTTTTTCTTATTTTAAAAAAAGATAGACGACAATACAATACATAGCCAGAGACATAGCCAGAGCATCGTGCCACCGCCGGGCCGCGCGAGGGAAGGCGCGGTCTGGCGTGGTGGCACGTGACCCTGTGGGATGAGCGGCTAAATTTCGGAAAACGATATAAGGGGATGGGGGATGGCATAAGGGGATGACATAAGGGATGACATAAGCCTTGCTAAAAGTCGGGCTCTTGTGGTCCCCACAGGGGGGGCCCTCGGTTTAGTTTAGGTACTCGGTGTATGCGATGTAAGATAGTATTGTTGTGGGACATAACAGTTCAACTCCTCTCTATAAGCACAGCAACACCGAATTAATTGCAATTTCGAAAGGAAAAAAAAACTACCGTACCGAAGGAGAACTAGTACAGTCTTACTGGCTTATTCTTAGAAACCTCTTAACTACCTATAAAGGGATTTGCCTTATACTACCTGAGTAACCACCTATAGAAGCGGAGAACCTCGGCATAGCTCCGCTCCGCTGGAGTCATCTCAGCAACGGCACCGAGTCCGAGGTCGGACGAGTCTATCTTCGGAACAAGTAATCCGGGCTACGTATACGGACTTATACATTTCAAATTTAACCGTCAGAATCTCAAGTTTGAACACTGAAAATCAGCATCTCCTTGTTCCGTACCGTACTAGTCGTATTAACCAACATAACATGGCCGAGACATCAGCAGCCCAACCCAAACTCCACGTCGAAGCCACCGAGGCCCGAAAGTTCATCGAGGGTATCCTCGCGGGGAACGGTGTGCCGGAGCCCAACGCTGCCATTGTAGCGCGATGTCTCGTGGCAGCGGACTTGCGGGGCGTCGATACGCACGGCATCAACCGGATCCCGTCGTACATGGCGCGAGTGCGCAACGGCGTACTAGACGCTACCGCGTCCCCAGACGTCTCGAAAGTCACACCTGTCGTCGCGCAGGTCGACGGGCGCAACGGCTTCGGATTCCTGGCGGCGGAGGTTGGGATGCGCACGGCCTGCGACATGGCGCGCGAGTTCGGCATCGGCATGGTCAGCGTCAAGCACTCGAACCACTTCGGCATGAGCGCCTGGATCGTCCAGCAGGCTATCGACGCGGGAATGATGAGTCTGGTCTTTACGAATTCGAGCCCCGCGCTGCCTGTGTTCGGCGGTAAGAGCAAGCTCATGGGTGTGTCGCCTATTGCTTGCGGTGCTCCTGGGGGGAAAGAGAAGCCGTTTATACTGGATATGGCGCCATCTGTGGCAGCCAGGGGTAAGATTTATAAGGCTAAGAGAAGAGGAGAGAAGATCCCTTTAGACTGGGCTTTAGATGCTGAAGGGAGACCAACGGATGATCCGGGCGCGGCTTTGGAGGGAGTTATGCTTCCTATGGGAGGACCTAAGGGCTCGGCATTGGCTATCATGATGGATGTATTCTCGGGGGTATTATCCGGTGAGAAAACCGTTGCGCAACATATTTACTCTAGCTTTCTTCTAATATTGACATATAGGCTCAGCATTCGCAGGCGGAGTTACAGGTCCATACGACCCAAGCAGAGCATCAGATGTCGGGCACTTCCTCGTGGCTATCAAGCCGGATCTATTCATGAGCCACGACGAGTTCCGGGAGAGGATGGACTTTCTATATCAACGTGTTGTTGGTTCGGATAAAGCCGCCGGTGTCGAACGGATATACTTCCCGGGAGAGATCGAGCAGTTGACGCAGGAGCAGAGAGAAAAGACGGGAATCCCGCTGGTGCAGGCTGAGGTCGATGCGTTAAATGAAGAGGCGAAGAAAATTGGAAAACCTCTTCTAGTTGTTAAAGATCAATGAACCCTTAGAAACCATAGGCGTTGTATTCTGGTTATATGGCATCTTTACCCGATTCATAAATGCACTACTTTCAATGGCGCCCCTGACGACGACCATCGATACACAGCTTACAATAGCATAGTAGACCTTCCTACATAATTTGTCATCATCCCGACCCTTCAGCACGTAAAAAGTCAAAATCCGCCCCCTGATCCGCCTCATTAACCGACCTCATATACAAGCCCCTATACCCTCTCATCTTCTCCCTCGCCTTCCAAGGGTGTTTTGAATCAGCCTTCTCCACCTCCGCGCGCCTAGCCTTCCTCCTACGCTCAATTTCCTCATCGCCAATTTCAACTTGCAAAAGTCGCTTCTCTACGTCGCACGTAATCACATCGCCATCCCTCACGATCCCCAACACAGACTCCGGGTTCGCCGCTTCGGGTGAGACATGTAGTACGATGGTACCACCAGCAGTACCGCTCATCCGTCCATCCGAAACTCGCAACATGTCCGTGACTCCGCGCGCTGCTAGTTTCCGTGGGATCGGTACTAGCCCGGCCTCCGGCATACCTGGGTTGCCCACCGGTCCAATATTCTGTAGCACTAGCACGCTCTCGGGCGTGACCTCTAAATTCTCATCATCGATACGTGCGGCTAGGTCCGCGGACCCGGCAAATACTACGGCTTTCCCAGAATGCTTTAGGAGCCGGCGGTCTTTGGACGCGCTCGCTTTCATGACGGCGCCCCCGGGTGCGAGGTTACCGCGTAACACGACCAGCGAGGAGGCCGGATAAAGAGGGGTGTCGAAGGGTTGGATACAACGTAGTTCTTGCGGCACCGATATTGAGCGCTCACTGTCTAGTGCTTCACCCAGCGTCTTCCCGGAGACCGTCAGTGCGTTTAAGTGTAGGAGTGGTCTCAGTTCCCGTAGCAGCGCAGCCATGCCTCCTGAATTGTGGAAGTCGGTCATGTAGTAAGAACCACTAGGTTTCAAGTCTACGAGGAGAGGAGTGCGGCGTCCGATCTCGTCGAAGGTATCAAGAGTGATTGTTCCCGCAACGTCAGGGTGCCGATTAATAATAGCCATTAAGTGCACCACAGCGTTTGTAGAGCCACCAATGGCTTGTAGTACAGTAATGGCGTTGAGGAACGACTCTCGCGTTAGTAAAGCCTGCGGTTTCAACTTATCGCCGGCTGAAATAATTTTCACAGCGGTAGCACCCGTCTCTTCCGCAATTCGTAGGCGAGCAGACGATACGGCTGGTGCTGTTGCCCCTTTAAATGGCATGAGGCCGAGTCCGACTAGTATACACGCCACTATAAACCAGGTATTCAGTTAGGAAGCAAATAGCGAAAAGGGGCAATAAACAATCTTGAAAAATCCTCACTTGTACTCGCCGTGCCCATAACTCCACACGTGCCAGCCTATTTTCCATCTTCAGCACATCTCCTCTAACAAAGATCCATAGAACTTACCGTCGGCGCAAGCTCTTCATTCAGCGCCGCAATCTCCTCGATATCAATAACACCAGCCCGAAAGCTCGCCCAGTTATTCCGGCAGTCAGTACACGCCCCGATCCGGACTCCCTTATGGCTACCCGGCATCATCGGCCCCGTGACAAGATGCAAGATCGGCTTGTTTGCCGATATCCCGCCCATGAGCTGCGCCGGCGTCGTCTTATCGCATCCTATTGTTCTGTTCAGCAACTACGCCTCAAACAAAATCATCAATACACTCACCTCCCACCAACACCACCGCATCAACCGGCTGCGCCCTAATCATCTCCTCGGTGTCCATACTCATCAGATTCCTAAGGTACATGCTCGTCGGCGCCGCAAACGACTCATGCAAACTAATCGTCGGGAAATCCACCGCCAGCCCCCCCGCAAGTTGCACTCCTCTTCGCACCGCATCTATAAGCTGCGGCACGTTGGCATGGCACGGGTTGAACCCGGAGAAGGTGTTCACGATACCAACAATCGGCCGCGACAGTGCGTCCTCCGAATACCCCAGCGCCTTGATGAACACTTTGCGCAGGAACAGCGAGAAGTGCGCGTCCCCGTACGACGTCAGTCCCTGCCGCATCCCCTGCCGTGAGTCGATCGCCTGTGACAAGTCATAGTCCCCGTTGAGCTCCGCATCCGCTTGGGACTTGTCTTTGTCGTTTCGAGTACTTGATGACATGGTTGTTAAGTCAATAATAGAAGAGAAAGTATATATAGAATGTGTTGTGTATAAGTTGAAATCATAACCTAATAGGATAGCTTGTATTTAGTATTATTCACTTGGCCTGCTTCTATCCCCCTCTGGAAACTACATTAATATGCGGGACTCCGACCTTGGAGAATCGCGTTAAATAGTACCGATAGCTGCGGGGGTCACTAGGTCACATCACGACATATCCAAGAAGAGGTACCTTACCTAAAGAGAACCGAAAGGTATTCGTCTTAAAACACCATCTACAGAGACAAAAAGAACACTCTAAAAATGAGAAAGATAAAAAAGGTTAACGTGAGAGACATTAAATTCATTGTGCAATCATCCCTGTTGGGTCACTTTTTCCCTAGTCTACATGCAAATACGCCGCCAACCAGCCGATGGTGGTTGTTTTTCGTGAGGGGAAGGGGATATAGTGGGTAACAGGACCATGGAAGCGTAAGACCATCCTGGAAGACTTTTATGTTTTCCCTCGTGTCTCACCAAGCCGAATGAACCATCAAGTCCTATTTTCCCCCCTCTGGATGCCAATGTCAATCCAGCGCAGATGTGCATCAAAAACACCTATGGGAGACTCTAGGGACCCTAGCCAGCCGCCCATCTATAATCCATGACCTAATTCGCCAAATAATGAGAGACTCCTTTATCGGGAGGACATAGCCTTGGTCACAAGTCTCTTCAGAGCCAGCTCCTTCTTCTTTAGGTCATCAGCGGTGGACTCTTCAATCTCAAGCTGACCCATAGCATCGCTAAGAGACTGCTCGATCTTGTCCTTCTGGCCACGCTTGAACTTGAGGGACATGGTGGGGTCGGAGATAATCTCCTCAACGCGGCTGATGTAGGACTCAAGCTGCTGCTTAGCCTCGAATCGCTTACTGAAAGCCTCATCGCTGTTCTTGAACTTCTCGGCGTCTATTAAGTAGAGAGTTAGCTGCGCTCTAGCGGCTTAAGCGACAAAGGGATAAAACTTACCGGTGATCATGCTCTCGATCTCAGTCGACGAGAGCTTACCAACCGAGTTGGAGATGGTGATGTTGGCACTGCGACCAGAGGTTTTCTCAGTGGCGGTAACCTTCAGGATACCGTTAACATCGACCTCGAAGACGACCTCAAGAACGGCCTCTCCGGCACGCATGGGGGGAATGGGTGCCAATGTGAACTCTCCAAGGGAGGTGTTGTCCTCGCAGTTGACACGTTCGCCCTGGTAAACGGGGAACTGCACAGTCTGTTGGTTGTCGGCAACAGTGGTGAAAGTTCGCTTCTTGATCGTGGGGACGGTCTGACCACGGGTAACGACAGGGGCAAAGATGTTACCCTCCATGGCAACACCGAGGGATAGAGGGACAACATCCAAAAGGAGAAGGTCGGAGGTGTCAGCCGAGGTGGCCTTGCCGGAGAGGATACCGGCCTGGACGGCAGCACCGTACGCAACAGCCTCGTCAGGGTTGATACTCTTCTCGAGCTTCTTACCATCGAAGAAGTCGCTGAGGAGCTTCTGGATCTTAGGGATACGGGTAGAGCCACCAACAAGCACGATCTCGTCAACAGCGCTCTTCTCGACGGCAGCATCCTTTAGGACCTGGGCAACAGGCTCCAATGTGCCGTTGAAGGCCTTGGCGTTCAGGTCTTCGAAACGAGCACGGGTGATCTGAAGGAAGAAATCTTCGCCATCGAAAAGCGAGTCGATCTCAATGGTGGTCTGGGCACCGTTGGACAGGGTTCGCTTGGCACGCTCACAAGCAGTCCGAAGTCTTCGGAGGGCTCGCGGGTCACCAGAGATGTCCTTCTTGGTCTTACGCTGGAACTCCTTCTTACAGTGGTCAAGAAGGTTGGTATCGAAGTCCTGTCCACCAAGATGGGTGTCACCAGCGGTGGCCTTGACGGTGAAAACACCGCCCTGGATGTTAAGAAGCGACACATCGAAAGTACCACCACCAAGATCGTAGATAAGGACATTGCGCTCCTTGTTGGACTTGTTGGCACCTAAGCCGTACGCAATAGCAGCGGCAGTAGGCTCGTTGATGATACGGAGCACGTTAAGTCCAGAAATGGAACCAGCATCCTTGGTGGCTTGACGTTGGTTGTCATTGAAGTAAGCCGGGACGGTGACGACGGCCTTCTCAACCTTCTTTCCGAGCTTGACCTCGGCAATCTCCTTCATCTATAAAGATTGCATTAGAGTCTGTTATTCAGCACTATACATTGTGGTGTTGAATTACCTTGGTGAGGACCATGGCAGAGATTTCCTGAGGAGAGAAAGTCTTTGTCTCTCCCAGGTACTCAACCTGGACGAGAGGGTTGGTACCCTGCTCGACGACCTTGAAAGGCCATGATTCAATATCCTTCTTGACGATGGGGTCGTTGAAAGGTCGGCCAATCAGACGCCTGTCGCAAAACAAATTAGCTGCGTGGTCCTGCGAGAAAAAGAGAAATCCTGGGGCGCGGGGTCAAAACGTACTTGACATCGAAAACGGTGTTTCGCGGGTTCATAGCAGCCTGGTTCTTGGCAGCCTCACCAATCAAGCGCTCCTTCTCGTTGAAGGAGACATAAGAAGGGGTAGTAAAGCTACCCTGCTCGTTGGCAATGATCTCGACATTGTTGCCCTCGTAGACAGCGACACAGGAGTAGGTCGTGCCTGTTATTCACACAAAGGTGATAAATGTTAGTGGGTGCCCATCGCAGCATAAAATTTCCCAACAGGTCGTAATGCGACAGAATGACATGTCAAGGTGCGGGGTGAATGGTGAAGAAGAGATTGTGAAAACTTACCCAAATCAATGCCGATAGCACCGTCGTAGACTTCTTCCGCCATTGTGAAGGTTCTTTTCTCAACTGAACAAGTTCACAGATACAGTTGGTGTTGCGGGAAGAAATTGTTCTGGGGACGATGGACCAGAAGGTAAGGTATGGAGGGATGTTTATGGAGGGGGGATTTCACGAATTTTTATGCGGGCGGTAAAAATAATTACAATTCTCAAATTTTTTTTTCTGTTTTTCCCCATCCCACCTTTGCCGCCGGAACTAATATAATTCCGGTTTAGCGTCTTAGGGTACGTACTCGGAGGGACCGTTTAAGTTCAGGGTCCAGCCTTTTGGACTGGGCTGCCACTGGCTGAACTAATTGTCTAACCTATCTCCACCCCACCAAAAAAGGGTCCCTCAAATATGTTTTTCTAAAAGCTGCTGAAAATACTTGAGCAAGACATGTTCAACAGTTCCCAACGTACGGATGTAAACATATGTTATGTATGGTATGTTTATGTAGGCTTAGTTGCATATACTTTCTCTTGGATAACCCTTGTTTGCATTGACCCGTAGAGTAGTTGATTTGCAAGAATTGAGATTCATTCTTATAACTAAAACTAAGGCAACGCAATTAACTGACGAGTCATTCCCAAAATTGTTAGGGCGACTGCCACCAAGTTTCCACCACAATGAACCTCCTAGACGTACAAATATGTAGATTGCCTCATTGGCCAGAATGTACCTGACTAGTTTGAACCTATTCGTTCCGATTCCACCGAGTACAACTCCAAAAGCTAACCGTAAGAGGCGCAGACTAATAATTCCATGTAAGACAACGACTGAACTATATTCTAGTTGCCAGCACGTTCAATCAAAACGCCCGCTATCAATGTCTAAGTACATTAAGATGTACCACGAACTTCTCCATTTCCATAGTTAATCCGTTGGGTGCCTTCTGGCCTTTCGGAAGGGCTGCTACCAAAGATACTTCGAGGCGATTAAGGCCAAACTGTAGAGTAACGTCGAAAACCGGTTCGCCTGGTTTGTTAGGCTGACTTTGGGGAGGGTATAGACGCGCACCATTATGTATCACATTCAACTTCCATTCACGCTGTTGAGCCTCCAAGAATGGTGCCACCTCTGGCTTAAGTCGGAGGCGGTAATAACTGGTAGGGGCATTCAAAACAAGCTCTTGCTGGGTTTCAGTAAGACTAGCCGGAATCGTGATTGACATTCGATTCTCAATCTGGAGTTCAGGATGAGACATGATGATAAGCTTGGGCATGATAGCTTCCGATTCCTCTGTGATCTGGTCAATAATATACAAACATGGTATCGGAAGGAAAACTCTTACTAATTGGATGCGGTCGGTATTTCTGGGCTTCAAGGATTTCTGCAGCCGATAACTTTGGAGCTGGTGGTGGTGGCGGCGGTGGCGGCGGCGGCGTCGGCGTAGGAAGGGCACCATTTGGTATAACGTTAGGTAGGGAGTTCGGCAGAGCGCTAGGTAGAGCATTCGAAGCAGGTGGTATCACCGGGGGTGCGAATTGCTGATGGTTCGTGAACGCTGGGGACGGTCGAACGGCATCCTCGGACTTCGTTGGTCCTGCGGCCGACGGACTAGGAGGGCCTGCAGAAGCTGACATGCTTCTGGCCTTCTCGAGTTGGCTCAGGCTGACCGAAGTTGCCGTCGAACCGCCAAAGGGGTTTTTACTTATAGGTGTACCGTTACGAGTGATCTCCCCTTCGCCGGATTGGCCTGTCACCGGGGCCGGCGATCCTGTAGCGCTATTCTTACCGCCAACGTGAATGGTAATCTTCTTAGGATGTACAGGAGTCTCCGAGTTGGGCGGCATCTTCAGCTTGATCTTCGGCTGTGGCTGAGGCGGCTCTGGGACATGAAGCTTGGCCTCCCTCAGTTGCTCTTGAAACAGTTGCTGCAACAGTTAGTCAGTCAATCAAATTTTGATCAAATAGGATAGAAAACCCTACTTCAAGCTCCTGGGCCATGAGGGAGATTTCACTCCCATCTTCATTGTAATGGTAGGCATTCTTCCAGATTAAACTGGCCTGGTCCTCAAAAGTAGCCCAACTCTTGAAATCGGTCATGTACGTTGCCCCTCCTCTGCCATGTTGACCTCGGACTTGTTTCTGTAGCGCCTTGAGCGACAATGGCTCCTTGATGACCTCGTAATAGTCCCTAAGGGATCGAGGTGGTAGGTAGATGAACGGCTCGAAATACGGATATTCGCCACTCCAGGCTTATCAGTCAACTGCATACCAAAGAGTTAGGAAGATAGACCTACGTATCGTCTTTCTTTCGGAGTAGCTCCTCCACGATCTTCTCCTGTGCTTGTTGAAAGGTCAAGCCCTTGTATGAGACCTCTTCATAGTGAGTATCAGCTTTGCCTGGCGTCGGTCCGCGGGCTGCGACTTTTCGAGCGTGCGCAACAGGATTCTTCGGTGGTCGGCCAGGTCGTCGCCGTTTTCGGGCTGCCGGGCTTGGCTCGCCATCTTCATCTTCTCCATCTTCTCCATCTTCATCCTCTTCATCCTCTTCGTCTTCGTCATCCTCGTCGACCTCCTCATCCTCTTCATCAATTTCTTCATCTTCCTCACCCTCCTCACCTTCAACTTCTTCATTTTCGGCTTCTTCATCTTGGGCTACCTCTTCCGTATCGGTTTCCCGACTGGTCTGTAGATTCTGTACGCTGACGTCATTCTCTTCCTCTTCCTCTTCTTCACCCTCGGCATCCTCATCGCCTTCATTATCGTCTGGCTCGGGGGTTGGTGGTAGTGGAGTAGCAACAGCAGTATAGGTGCCGGTCTTATACGCAGGGTTGTGTTTTGTCATCAAGTTGCTAACAGCTTTACGCACTCGTTCGGCATCGCCAAAAGTCATAGACGTGCGCTCGCTGACCTCTTTTGAGTTTTGAACCATACGTTTGAGATCGCCCTCCAGTGCAGACAAGTTGGTATATTCGCCATTCTTCAACTTTTGTTCGATCGATTCTAAGGAGAGAGGAAGGCGTATTTTCTGGTAATATTCCGGATCCTTGCTTCGGGAAGGAAGCTTCTCAAAGTAAGGTGAAACTGGACGGCCACTGTAACAGACGAGGAGTCAGCTATGTTGTTTACAAAGTGCATTTTTGCTCTAAAAAGTAAAATGCAGGTTAAGAGCGAAGCTCAAGATGGGTGTCGGGGGGATATATTATTGCATGCAAGTAATAATAAAGGAGCTGCGCATACTTCTTGTCGGTAGTAGCTCTGATTGATTCCAAAATATTTAATCCGTACGCAGTAGTTGATTCTTTAGTCTCGCCATTCATGAGATCCCCGAATTCCTATAGTAGCAATCAAATTAGAAACAAGTAGATAGGAGGGATAGGGGAACAAGAGCCCCAAAACTGCAGAATTTGGAGGTTCGAGGTTGTGAGCATGCATAGAGGACAGACAGGGTGTTCGGCGGGAAAGGCGTTGCATCTGAATAGCATTCGTAGCTTTTGTCCTAAACCCCCGCCCCCCCTAGCTCTAACTCTCGTCTCTCATCTTTCAAAATAATCCACGACAGGTTCGCATCGCATCGCATCGCGGCTACAGTGCACAGGAACCCGATGTAGGCAATGTAGCCGTGCTGCGGCAAGGCTTACGCGCAAAATGCTGTGAAAGGTCAAATGGAGATTCGAAGTAGATAACATACCTCTACTAGTCTGCGACGCTTAGCAGCTCGGTCATTAGAGTCATTTGCCGACGAGTCGATGCCATTTGCACCGCTAGCCTTCCTCTTATTTTCCATTGCCGCGACGGAAAAAGGATCGCGGGCGCATCCAGAAGCGAACCGAGGTGTTGCAGCTTATAGCTTGCCGTATTGCGCGATCAATGGAAAAGTCAATAAGCTTTTAGCTGCTGGGATGATGGGGTTGCAGGGCCTTTGACGCGATGCGATGGTGGTTGATGATATGTGGGTTGTCCGACGCGGATTGTTGGTACCGCTACTAATAATGTAAGACGGATAGGAGAGGGAAACCTTTCTACCTATCCTCTTTGGTCAATAGGTAGGTACCTATCGATATAGAATAACCGAATTACCTCAGCAGACGAACATCCCGCACTGAAAAATCAACGCCAAGAAGAATGGAGTATTGTAGCCTAGAGTATTGTCGCAATGCAGAGAGTTGATACGATACGCATGTCTAGTCGTCCCGCGAAGGCGTCGATGCACAACAATATTATGGGGAAAGCTTCTGCGCAAAAGGTTCGTTGAAAGTAATAGGGCACCAGGTGCCAACTGCCAGCTGCCAACTTCCGTTGACACTCGATGTTGCCAGTCCAGCCAGCCCAGCCCACCGTGCCTAGCAACCAAAGAAGCCCAGATCTCTCCTTCCTCACCTGAGGTAACACAATTGTTACAGCACTAATGCGCCACAAGAAAAAAGATAGAGTGCACGGGCCTAAGTACCTATGTCATATGTACCTGTCTGTTGTCCATTCCTTACCTCAGCTTAGGCATCCCAGTGTCGTCCTGCCAGCCCCTGCCCCTCAGATAAGGTACGAATTTGCTACTACAGTGAAACCTGGCCATAACGAATTGAATAAAACATCGATTCGGATTCGTTATGGTAAATATTCGTTATAGAGTAGGTAAGTGCACAGACCATACTCCTACCCAAAACGGAAAAGTGGCAATCAAAATAGTAACTTAACGAAATTTACTAAAAGTCTAAGCCAAAATAGGCTTAATAATATTCTTAAACCGGTTTAACTTTATTTTTTCATAACGAATTAGGTGGTGACTAAGCCTCGAAGCTAACGAAATTCGTTATATAAAAAAGTTCGTTATTTCACATATAAAATTCAAAAAAACCCAATATCGATTCGTTAAGGAGAGTATTCGTTATAGAGTAGATTCGTTATGGACAGGTTTCACTGTATGTGGCTTATCCTCAACTAAAGCCCCCACTTCAAGCACTGTTTACTTCCACCTTCCATGCAACCAAAATTTAGGGACCGCAACTTCGACCTTTAAGAATCGCGCTCTTATCCTCCCAAAATACCAATAACCCTACAACCTTCAAGTTGTAACTTCTTCTTTTTATTCGTTTAGGCTACTTCAAAGTTTGCCTGTAACTCTTCAAACATTTTACCGTTTGATTATTCTGTTTCATCTGCGCGCACAGCAGTGTTGGAGGACGCATATCCACTCTAACAAGCAACAAGCGACAAGCGACAAGCGACGGGAGCGTCTTTACTCTTCCCCTCCTCCTCACGCGACAGCATACATTTTCGGCCAGCCGACACCTAATCTCACGCTCCCTTTTCATTTATTCTCGCACGCATAGCCTTCTGAAATCTGCGCCAGCTCCTCTACCTAATAAGCTGCACGATTAGAAGGCTACCGTTCCGAACCCTACCATAAGACTTAATTATTTCGCTAGCCATGCCGCCCATGAATATTGATGTCACGCGTCGCAACAAGGCGCCTCGCCCTCTGACCGACGATGAGCGCGCGCGTCTTGAAGAATTCATCGACTCGATCCACTACTCTGCTCGGTATGGTTGCAAGACAATTCGGTAGTGCAAGGATCTATAGTGCGTTACTAACTAAGAGGATTAGCTACTCGGACAGCGAATACGAATACCGTCATGTTCAGCTGCCGAAAGCTATGTTGAAGGCCATTCCCAAGGACTACCACGACCCATCCAAGGGCACATTGAAGCTACTGTGGGAAGATGAGTGGCGTGCGATCGGCATTACTCAGGTAGGTTGCTCTGGTGTTATTGATCATAGCGGTAGTCATGTGGACTAACAAGACGCGAAACTACAGAGCCTAGGCTGGGAGCACTATGAAGTCCACGAACCAGAGCCGCACATCTTACTATTCAAGTAAGCTTTTCAACGCCGAATCTACCTAGCCGAATAATGCTAACCCCGCCAAGGCGACCTCTCAATTATCAAGCACCTCAGTGATCTATGAGCAATCCAAATATGAACGCTGACCTGTTACCTCATGTGGGGTTCGACTATCGTTGTAAATTATTCTTGATACACCCATCCACTGCACAGCGACATCTGCATTTGTTAGAGGATAATGCTACGCGACGATTTATGGCCGTTCTTAATCAATTCGAGTCTATTCACCCATCTGGTTTCTTGCTCGACCCGCCGAGGCGCAAACGGGGCTGTTCTTCCCTGTCGATGTCGTTCATAAACTTAGAAGGCCATAAAACTATACGACAGCTCGCGGCGTGAAACACGTACAGATGAGAATGGTGGTTATTGGCATCTATTCCAGGGCACGAAGGAGACCTAAGCGGCTCGGTTGTGATGGCAGCGGATACTCAGTGATTATAAGGAATTAGATTCTCTACGAGCCCGCGCTCTATTCCTGTTGGGACATAAATAACCACACATTGGCCAGTTACCTTTGGGTTATAGAGATCCATAGGAACTTGAATGAATAGAGCATCATGCCATTGATTAGGAAAATTGTTAGTAGTTATGGTTTGATTATGATAAGCTACCTCTTAACAAACACGGCGAAGCCTGCATGACAGGGACATGGACATCACATAATACATAATAGAATATACCAGGAAGAGCTTTTAGCTTTACCAGATACAGTAACGATTTGAATATTTAAACATGCTAAGATCTTGGACAGCTTAACTTTATCTGTACTTGCTATTAGCGGACATTTATTTTTATCTGCATTTCTTACTGGTCTAGGTAGGCAGGGCTTTGAACCTTGGCTACGGGATCACTGGTAAGCCAACCAAGATCCTGCAGTATAACGGTTTGCTAATTAATAACAATACTCTTTTAATCTATTTAACGTACGACCAATACTCGCTGAGCCGACAAATTAAAGTGGCAAGTTGTCACAAAGGATACCAAGGCAATAATGTGAAGTAATATTGGAATTCCTGCATAAGATATAGATTAGTAAAGACTGTAGTGTCAATACATAGACGCAGGTGTCATCGCTCCACTCTATTCTCTGTGTGACCAGGTACGAGGTATGTATCGGCAGGTTGCAGATGAGTGGAAGCTTCCGGGCCACCGTTTCTAGAACCTCCCGTAATAGGCACCTCCACCCCGGGAGCTGCCAATTAGGTTAATATGCACATGCAGGGAGAGAAGACAGGTAGGTACGTCCCTAGGTACTATGTATGTAGGTATAATGTATCATCAGTGTACCTAATTCATGTAGGTATCACTCAACAAATGGATCCTGGGGCAATGCAAACTGGCAACATTACATTATCCGTAGTTCGAAAAAATTAATACGGGCTCGTCTACAGACCACAATCGTATGACGTTGAAAAGTGAACACGCTGGCAGGTTTATCAATAAAATATATTACGAGTATAATATTCTCCATTCTACTTTGTACGGTTTTCATAATTATTAAGTCTTGCTTTCCATCGAATTCCAACAAGAAATATTGAAAAGGTTAAAGGTTAGGTGGCTCTAAGGTTGTACTTCGTACTTGCATTATACATTAGGTACATGATATTATGTACCTATCCCTAGTTGCTACCTACCTACCTACTTGGAATTTAACCGTAGCAGCGTATCAGAGTTGCTCCTCCGAGTTCCTTACCACATTACCATCAAATACCGACAAGAGAAAAAAGGCCAGGCCTTGTCTTGTCTTCTCCTCACAATCTAATAATAATTAGGTATCATCCATTCCTCCACCTATATACCCGGCACGATTCCGCCGTTATGAAGTCGGCGAAACTCTTCTACCTGTCACTCTTTGCGCTTTGGGGGACACCTGGGCAATGTAAGAGCAGAGAAGCTCGAGATGATTCATGCGCAGTATGTCGCCTTCATTGAACAACGTAGTTGTCTATCTATGTCTTACCGCCAGTTCTCTGGCAGCGACGACATCGCAATATCAGTTTATTATTTCTAACGAAAATGAAACTGTCCAGATCTCGCCCCGCGCCATCGTATCCGATGCTTGTGCCTCTTATTCCACACTCGAGAGACTAAACCGTAAAGTCAAGCCAGCCTTAGACGAGCTAATCAGAGAAACCGACTTCTTCTCCTACTATCGCCTCAACCTGTTTAATAAAAAATGCCCCTTCTGGAACGACGAAAATGCCATGTGTGGCAATATAGCCTGTGCAGTGAACACAATAGATAACGAGGAAGATATACCCAAGATATGGAGGGCAAGCGAACTCAGCAAGTTAGAGGGACCGTCTGCGAAGCATCCCGGGAAGAAAGTCCAGAAAGAGCGACCGAAGAAGCCACTACAAGGTCTCTTGGGAGAGAACGTAGGCGAGAGTTGTGTAGTGGAGTACGACGATGAATGTGACGAGCGAGATTACTGCGTACCGGAGGACGAAAGCGCAACCGGCAAAGGCGACTACGTTAGTTTAGTCCACAACCCTGAGCGTTTCACTGGATACGCCGGCGAAGGTGCCAAGATGGTATGGGACGCCATCTACAGGGAGAACTGTTTCCAGAAGTCTTCGTTCCCGCATTCCGCCTCCCTTGGGACCAGCCCTGTGGCTAAAGGACCAGCCGCACAGGACTTCCGCAACGTGCTTCAGGATGCAGAACGACAGCAAATATTGCAACTGCATCATCAAAATCCAAGCACTACCTTCACGCAGACTGGGTTAGAGAACGAAGGAGAGTGTCTAGAGAAGCGCGTGTTCTACCGTGTCGTCTCCGGTATGCACGCGAGCATTAGTACGCATCTTTGCTGGGACTTCTTGAACCAGACTACTGGCGAGTGGCAACCCAATCTAGAATGTTACAAAGCAAGGTTACATGCCCACCCCGAACGTATTTCCAACCTATATTTCAACTATGCTCTCGTCACCCGTGCTGTTGCCAAGATTGGCCCGCACTTGCAGAACTACACGTTCTGCACTGGCGATGAAGAGCAGGATGCAGCTACAAAGGCCAAAGTCCTCGCTGTAACTCAGAGTGCCGCCTCAGTACCTCAGATTTTTGACGAGAGCCTCATGTTTAAGAATGGTGAGGGTCCGTCTCTAAAGGAGGATTTCAAGAACCGGTTCCGGAATGTCAGCCGCGTGATGGACTGCGTGGGTTGCGATAAATGTAGGCTATGGGGCAAATTGCAGACTGCAGGATACGGTGCAGCGCTGAAGGTGCTGTTCGAGTTTGATAACGACAGCGAGGATATCCCGGTGCTCAAGCGAACAGAACTCGTAGCGCTGTTCAACACCTATGCCAGACTAAGCAGTTCTATGGAAGCTCTTGTTAGATTTAGGAGCATGGTCGAGGCTGAAGAGAAGTCCACACAGGCAATACCTGACCGGGCCAAAAAGCCACATGCGGTGGGCATTTCAAAAAATACACCAGAAGCAACACCAGAAGCCGAGTCGGAGCTCGAGGAGGAGTGGGAGGAGGAAGACGATGTGTCACCTAAAAGGGAACGCCGCAACCCGGAGACGGCGAGTGAAGTATTCAATGAGGAGTTTTCCAGGGTATACAAGGCATTTAAGATTGTCCTAAAATCTTGGGTAACTTTCCCGAAGACAGTGTGAGTCGAAATTACCTTTGCTGTATTTCTCATACCAAAATGCTAATATGTTTTAGGTTCTATATCGTACTCTCAGAGTTAAAACGCCTCTGGGAGTTCTATATCGGTCTACCCATCTCACCCCGTTCCTGGGGGTTCGCGCGGCCTAGCCTCGATGAGCTGTAGAGCTGCGTTTGTATACTTGGGATTCGAATCAGCGGCACTTGTTCAGGGTTAGATAGTCACCAGGCGCTTTTGTATACGCGCTTACATTACTAACGATGGCATCAAGCTAGCATCCATAGGCGGAGTTTTGGCGTTTGATTTGTGGATAGAATGGTATTTGCAGACCGCAGAAAAGAAATAGGATTATATCATCATGTCTATAACAATTAAGGTCATATCACTATTCGTGAAGGCAGAATAGCATATTACATACCATTTATAAACATATATCCATGTCTCGTATCCTCCCTTGTTGCCGTACCAAGCAAGGGCTATCCATATCTCCTCTTCAATATCCGTAATCAAGTTCTTTACAATTCCCCATATTACCATAGTCCCCTTCCTGGTCCAGCTATCCCTCTCCGACCCCCCTCTTCCCACGCACCGGCAGCTCGACATGCGTAATCACGTTCCCGATCTTGGCCTTGACGCCGCGCACCGGAACCCGCATCGATAACACTTCGGCTTGCGGACCGGTCGCGAATACACGCTCGGTATGTCCCTTGACGTCGGATGAGGGCGCGGCAAAGGACCACGCTATGGAGATGTGGAAGGCGTCGTCGCTGCCGCCGGAGAAGGCGTAGAGGGGTGGTTGTTGGTGTTCTTGCACAAGAGCGTTGCATCGCTGGAGAAGGGCTGCTAGTTCTGGGTTATGCGGCTGCTGCGTTGGGGATGGGGATGGGTTATCTGAGGGGCCGGCGGTAGGTGCATCTGTCTCGGAACTACTTCCTTTCCCCTTTCCTGTCTTACCGACACGCTTCCTACTACTTCTTCCATCGGCCACCGGAGCCGAGGCAGTAGGAGCGGCAACAGCAGCGGGAGTAGGACGGGAACCAGCACTCCCCACCCTAAATACCAAGAATGAGCGCTCCGACTCGCTCGTGCGATGCCATTCCAAACCCCGTAGCGCGAGATCAAAGGGCCCGATACTGCTGCTCTTGATACGTGAGATTAGCTGCTCCAGAAAATCGTCCTTTTCCGCGGTGCTCAGCACGATGGGCCGCGACAGGCTGATGTGCAGCGGCTGCGGAGCGTCTAAGTCTGACGTCAGGAAGGACGTGATGTTCACGGATAGGGGCGTGAGTGCTGTCTGGAGATCCGAAAGCAGAGTAGACAAAACATTGCGCTGGGAAGTTGTGGGGTGCCCTGGAGTTCGTTAGCGACGTGTATGCAGTCCGGGATAAGTACCTGATAAGCAATAGGTATCCTCTCCATACGTGTTATTCGTACGGATATCTGAGGTCTGCGATACTGCGACTTACACTCGATATACAAGTGGCTCGGCCAGCTGCCGACTCTGTGCGGATTCACGCGTTTGCGGCCCTGGTGCAGCGTTGGGTCGTCGGATGTGCTCACCCGCACGGTGGACGCGTATAGGTCGTGAAACGCATCGGGGAGCGGCGGGAGCGCAGCTGAGTTCGCTGGTGTCTTGCCATGCGATGTCTTCTGCCTTTTAGTTGCAGATGCTGCTTCCCCAGCTTCAGACTCCGAGTCGGAGGAAGAGGGGTAGTCTACTAACGCCATCTAGCTATATGCTCAAGCTATCGCATTGCTGTATTTCCTTTTCTTAAAAAGTAAGACACTCGATGGTTTAGTGAATCTGTAAGTACTAGGTACCCAGGTGTACAATTATCGGACTTCGTTAGCTGCAACCAACGGATATTTGAAGCATGTTTTGAGATAGCGGTGCCCCTTCACATTAGCTCCTGCTTTTGGTGTTACCCGACCCGCATTAGCGGCGGCGGCAGCCCGTAGGGCTGAAGGGGCATATGCAGGTAGACAGGGTATCTCCGTAATATACCTTATCTTTAAAAAGTATAGAGGCGAGGTAGACAATTCCTATACACTTGTATAATGTTTTATATAATCTTCCTTGCTAAGTTCTATCTAATTAAAGTAGTTGTATATATTTATATCGACGTATACCTACATACTATACTAAGAGGTACCTATTCTTGTTTCAAATAAAAGAGTGGCATTAACACTCCTATCAATATACACTCTTTACAACTATATAAAACTATCTTTAAGTGCTTATAAGGTAGTTATATAAGCCTTGCGCGGTATATAGTATAAAGCAATCGTAGGTGTAATAGCAACTAATTGTTTGACTTAGAATTAGTAACACTTCAAGTCATATAGCCAGCTGTATAAGTTACTATTATGCAAGGCTCTGAAAAAAAAGGTATAGGTATAAGAAAAGGCTAGCATGTTAGCATTTTTACGTTCTCAATTTAGAAGCAATGGTATTAATGCTGGACATCAGCCAACAATTGTTAAATACCTGGCTAACGTTATATAACTGGTGAATATTTTTCATTTAACGATACACAATAACAGTATGTTTATTATAATTCAACTTTGCTTATGTTTATGGTTAATTACTAGAAAGTATTTGTGAAATGTAAAGACCCCTGAGATACACCATAGATCATGTGTGGGTTGAAATATTTCTTATTCATTAATCATAATTATAGCATTGTCCACTGTTTCTTCGAAGTGAGAGAAACTTGTAGTAGAGATTCTTGATGAAAAGCAAAAGTATAATTCTATCTAATCTAAACTATTCCTAGAAAGTTAATTAAGATTTGGTAACAGCACAACACAGCAGTATATAGGACAGGAGTGGCTCTAAAAAGTTCCTTAGTAGAATAATGATGGGTTTTGCCTACCTTGTAAAGTAGTGTCAGATGACTAGTATTGCGATAGGCGTATGACGTGATAAGGGTCTTAAGTTTTAGGCTAAAGCTATCTACCAGCTAGTCATTTGCTATTTTGTATATAAGGGAATCTTGGTGTCCTTGATATTCAAGAGGAGTAGCTGTTAAGATCTCGTCAATATATAATATATACTGGCTATTTACCAGCTAGCTACCTGTCACTCTGTAGTGGTATATATTACCAAGGGCTGCCCCTGACAAGTAGAAAGGATATAGAGAGAAAGACAGTACTTATATTAGCAGAAATACCTAGTATATGAAGGTCAAAATAATATATAAGGTATAGCTAAATATGGTTTGGGAAACCATGCGCTGATTAACCTTGAAGATATCCATAGGTCACAATATCCTAACTAAGGAGTTATGATAGGAGGACAAATTTTCAATGCTTTAGTCATCCAGTATTGTTCCTAGAAGTAATCAAGAATTAAGGATTGGAGGGTTACTTCTTTTGTAATAGCGTCTTCAAAGAAATAAGGTTACTTACCATAGCCGTAGTTGCCCTAAGAGAATTTGAGAGAGTTCAGTAGCAGGTGTTAATTCAATTACAGCGATATGGCGCCCCTACTTCGCTCCTTCTTATCATTCATATCGGCGCCTGCCTTCTTTCACCCCCTTCCAACTCTTGACCCTAGATCCCACAACATCCAAATTTCTTTCGCCGTCCCACAACCAAGTTACCTTTTCCTAAAAACATCACAGTTCATTTTTTTCCGGTCGGCGATTTTACTATACTCAACACTCCCCTTGCCTTGGCAACATCAAGACGATTTATTCACCTCTATCAACAATATTCTCTTCAGATATACCTTTCTGTATCAGTCGGCGCCATGGGTGACCATTCTTCGTGGGTAAGTATAACTGAGTGTATCCCCTCCCCCTACAAAATCTCTGCCATATAAAAATACACTTGATTCTTCGTGTATATGTGATGTGATGCGATGCTTTGTCTGTTATACTCTATCTGCTATATTGTGTCCGCTATACTGTGTCGCGATCTTGTGAACCAAACAATCACCCATGTGAATTGTCTCAAACACATGTGCTACCTATACCACGTTGATATACTATTTATCCGTGATATATACTGCCGAAGGGTGACATATTGACACGAGCATTTATACTGGAGTTATTGTACGACTTCAACAGCAAGTCGTCGTTCTTGCCGATCGTGATTGCCAACCGTTTTTGATGTTACCTTGAGCTACCCCTGTCACATACGTCATATCTTACGCTAGCATCGACGAGTGGGTCGAGCAGGGGTATGGTTCCATGCAAGAGCGGGAGATAGGCTTTGGATGTACTTTGGAAGGTTGGATGTATCTGTTCGGCTCTCGCCGGTTACATCATAGTCATGTCTTGAACGCGCGTGTTGCAGGATCCGGACTCTGACTTGGCATAAGAGCTTTTTACTAATCCTTCAAATTTATATCAGCCTAGTTACGAGGTTTTTGGTTTGCAATTTGAACGTGAACCTTATCAGCAATTTGCTACCGCACCAAGAGTTGCACCCAAACAATCTACTCACCCTTCTACTACAAAAGCTACCTCAAAAAAGACTCAGGTTTCAAGAAGAAATACTATTAAATCTACTAAGAAAGATAGTACACCCACAGACCCCAAGGACTCTTCTTCAACCTCAAACAACCTCAGTTCAGAGACAGAGACCCCAAGTCCGAAGCTTAAGCCTAAGCTACAACACTTCACTATCAAAAAGTTCAAGCTCCGTGTCCGAACCGCCTTCTCTCGCACTCGTGCTTATTTGAAGAAGATGTCTGAGCGACCTCTCGAAGCAATCAAGCGAGCCACAAAGGCCGCCGACCGTGCCCCTCATCTTCGCAAGAAGAACCGCACAGGTGCAGACACTGTCGATGCTCTCGACACTACCGGATTCGGCGGAATCTACCACCATGACGGCCCTTACGACGCCACGCTTGCCGCCCGAAACCGCGATAAGAGATACGCTCCCGTGGAAGCCGTGAAGTATGGCAACATGGAAGCTCTCAAAGCCACCCCCCGTGAGCATATCGTCGATTCCCTAGAACGCCATGTCCCTCTACAGGGCACTGCGACAATTCCGCCCGGTGAGCTAGACTACAGCGGTCGCGTCATGCACTACGAAGAGGGCGCCGATCTCATGCGTGAGGAAGACGCTCCAGGTGGCCCATACAAGCGATGGGATCACATTGTAAGTCCTTCCTCTTTCCAGACACTCCTCAGACAAAACCAGTCAACCCTGCTAACAACATGCCAATAGAAGTACCACCCAAATGACCTAAAGGGTAAGGGCGAACCCGCATACAGCATCGAGGAAGACCTCAAGCGCAAGAAGCATCTACAACGCAAATCGCTCGGTCAACCTAACACCTTCGAGATGCAGCCCACGGGCCGCAGCACTGCAATGGCCGGCAAGGGCGGCAACGTCACTGTTGTCCGACCACGAAGTACTAGTCTGGAATCGGCAGGTCCGTCTAGTAGTTCCAAAGGGAAGCGACTTAGCGACGGCATTAAGCGCCGTATTGGTAGCATTCGACGCAAGCACGACGACATCTAGATGCTCTCTATCCTAGTTTGATCATTTGGTTTAGGGCTGTCGCCGATATGAGTTACACCGATATTCACAGATTGGCCTGCGATCGGAAGGATTTCTTATGTCATCGATTTGATTTCTCGAGGCGTTACCATATAGGATTGGCACTACGCCGGGAATGATTTTCTCTTGCGTTTGGTTTATTCACAAGGAACGGAACTCCCCCTCATCCATATGAAAGAGTCCAGTGATTGATCTTGCACATGCGCAAGACATGGATCGAGAGGGATGGAAAGGGAATAGGGAAAGTTACGAGATGGTCACACCTCGGGGTTGAATTTGCGGCTCTAAACCGCTGCAAGAGGGCTGGATAAGAAGGTGTTTATTTACCAGTACTCGTCGTCATCTGCATGCATCACGGACAACGTGAAGACACAGATAGGGACAAGGCTCGAAGGAGTAACTAACTGGCGGTGGTTAGTTTGCCACTGCGGCATTTTGGGTTGTTTTAAGGGGGGACTACGGAAACGTCGCGTCTGGATTTCACTGGTACTGGCATCTGGGGCCTCAGGGAATATGAACGGCGGACTATAGAGTTGGCTTGGCTTGTTTGGTTTGTTTTTTCCTTAGGCATAGCAAGGCAGAGATGCGGAATGATTCCGATTTGGCAGATATGCACGCGGGTTAGGACGAGGGCTAACTAGCAGAATGAGTTCAATGGAGAAGGACGTTTGAATTATACAAACCCTTCAACAGGAACAATTCAAAAGCTACCTATTTCTAATGCAAACGTGAAGGGGAACACCTCGCAGACAACCAAATCATTCAAGCCATACAATCTGGTTTAGTCCTGCGTCAAATGAATTGATTCATCTCCTATTTGTACAAAGATTGTAAAGCTGATTGATTCTAAGCCAACTTGATAGCTACCTGATAGACAACTGCAACACCGCCGCCCAGAACTTCTGCGACGAAGTCTATCTAATGGTAAAGTGAATAGGTCCGTAGTATTATTACACACAGCCAATAGTCAGTCCAATTACTCAAAGATATCCCAATCCACTCGCGCCCAATACTTCCCTCAACACATCTCTCACCTCATCAACGCCTGCGAATCCAACACGTCCCGCGATCTCGGCGCGACGACCGACAGGGAGTTCGTTCCAGCGTGTGAGCAGGGCACCATCTACGACGCTGCGGCCCATACCCGCATCGACGCCGGGTGGTAGACGACCCACTACGCCCGTGGAAGTGGGAGCGCGGTAGTCCTTTGGGTTGAGGCCGGCATAGTGCGGTAGGGAGGAGAGGACCTGGCCGGTTAGGAGAGACAGGCGGCGGTACTGGGGCTCGGAGAGAGGCGCTAGGGTTGCTAAGGCGCCGGTGGGGGAGGCGAGGAGGAGGATAGAGGGTGGTGCCGGGGAAGAATAGTCGTCGTCGGCCGAGGTGCCATTGACGTGTTGAGAGAGATAGTCCGAGTCTGATGGGAGTGTGCGTGGGAGTAACATGCTACGCGTAGGAGGGTGCGCGCCGGTGGAGAATGTGGTGCGGTGGAGGAGCAAATGACCTTGTAGGGACTTGGGATCTGGTTACGTTGTTAGCTCTGGCCTATGGCACGGTTAGAGGGATATGAGGGGAAGACCTACGATCAGGATCAAACTGGAGAATATGAATGCCGCCATCAGAATCACAGGCCACAATGAGAAGTTCCTCCCCATCTGGTAAGAAGTCTACCGTTAACACTTCTAGCCTAGTAGAACTCTTTCCAAAGAGCACCATCCTATAAGGCTCTTCCGTGTAGCCCGTAAACCAAACTCCCTTGACCGCGTCGGCCATGAGGCAGAGACCGGTCCCTTTAAGTTCGCGAACCGCGGTTACGTAGCAGCTCATGTCCATGAATGCAACAGGCAGAAGGGTGCCGTCCTCCTTTAGACCGCGCACCATACACTTCTGCCCTTGGGCAACCAGCATCAGACCCTGAGTCCCTATCTCAGAGATGGCCGTGACCGCACCACGAGGGATGTCTTCCTTTGCTACAAATTTTAATTTCTTGTTTGTTTCGGGCTTTCCTGGCTCTGGAATGACTGTCACTACATCGTACACGAGAACTCTGCCCCTGATGGGAAGATCCTCGCCGCGGGATATAGCCGTGCCGATGGTAATAAGGTGCTTTCGCTCATTCGTAGACTCTGAGACTTCTAGATTGAGCGTTTCGATACACATTACTGTCTCGCATGGCTCCATCTCGATAGTGTCAACAACGGTCCAGCTGCTAGGATTTATTAGTTTGACCTGACCTCGTTCAACCATAGGCTTAAAAGCAAGATCTTTCTCATGTTGCCACTCTTTGTGGTAGTCATCTTCTTTTGGTAGTTCAAATGGTTCCAAGGTATCGCAACCAACGACGAAGGTACCTGACGGAGGGTGATATGAGATAGAGTGCATGTCGGCTTCTAAAGGTACTTTCTTGAGGGCCAGGCCTATCTCGGCATAGGTTCTGTTGCGAACCGGAATCTGAGAAACACGCGCAACGCCCTTCGAGTCTGCATAGATGAAGCCTCGCTCACAGCCCTCAGTATGGAACGGGCTCATTCCTCGAACTCCATCGCCCCGTAACCTCAGGACCTTAGGTAAAGTCTTTGATGATCTAAGAATAAAACTCGGAGAGCTGCCGGGGAGGAAAACAGTTTTATATCCGGCAATGTTGTCACATCGTCTCATCGGAGGTGCCTTTCTTATTTCGTCATCCTCATCATCTGCTGGCACAACTGGATCTTCTGCTAAGATAGGGTTAGGTAATTTTTGAAAGTGAAGCGTTGTAGAAAGCTCCTGCGTAGTAGCCGAAGGTGTACGGAAGGGTTGATATATCGTCACGTCGTCATTATCATGGCGAACCTAGACATAATAAGCAATGTTGAACCATGCATTGGAGAATTGTGCAAACTCACAATCAAGTACGGGTACGAGGAAGTCATGTCTCCAAGGTCAGCGACCAATATCTCCTTGATGATTTCCTTAGCGGTTCCTCGTCTAGCGGCGTAGTTTGCCGAAAGGAGTGGTGGCACAAAGGGCAAGCCTTCTGCAACATATATAGGTTTGGAGAGATCGGGCAATGCATACGCCTAGAGATATTAGCAACAAAATCGGGAATCTTGACACAACACATACATGTAGGGCACCAGTCTTGCTGAGTAAGAACATGACTATATTTTCATCTGATTTTGCGCCCTTATCCGTCTGGGCTCCAGAGAATACGCCGGATCTATCTTCGTATAAACAACCAGTTGCCCATTTTGTCGAGTTAAGGGCTGTGTCTTCCTTTTCAAGTTCTTCAAGCTCCAAGTTCTTATCTATCTTCGCAATGAATGCGCTTGCATCGTCTCGAACTAGGAATATAAAAGGATCGGCTATGCTAGCACAATCCACCCTGGGTTCTGCACCTGTCTCTTCGTCGAGCATTGGCAGGATTTGAGTAAGCCCGAAGTCTGTCTCCGTATTAGTAGTTGTTCAATTCGAGATAGGAGACGTCCATACCTCCGTCGTAGCAGTGGATAGCAGTCTTAAGAACTTGAATGATTCTCATATGATTACCCATAGTACCGGCTTCGATAGTAAAGCCAGCGGCTGGGTCAAACTCCGTTCCGGTCAACGCTTCGAATCCGGCACCCGTCAAAACATACACATCCGAAGTCTCATATCCATCCAAATCCACCTTGGGCACAATCATGAAACGGTCATACTGGACGGAAGTCTCGTATTCAGCACCCATGGACGTAGCTCCCTTGTCACCCTGTAATGACTTTGGTATTGGTTTCTGCGCGGCCATAGTCCAAAATCCCCTTGCTTCTGGGAACTCAAAACGTCCAATGACTTTCGGTTGTATTTCTCTATTGATTATAGCAACCGAGCCAGCATTGCCTCGGCCACAGACGCCGACAAAGCTGAGATCGCTGGTAACACCATTCTGATTATTCTGCTCTTCCTCATTAGATGATACCGCCTGTCCAAGTGCGAAATCCCTAATAGGCGCGATGCTGACAAGCCGATCGTGTATACGAAAGACGAGCTCGCCAGACTTGCCGCCTGGCGTACCAGCAGAATTCGATGACTGTCTAGCCGGTGCGGAATCGTCGCCATACAAATCATCGTCATCTTCTAGATCCTCCATGTCTTCGTCATCTAAGTCAAGGTCTAGAGAAGGGTCGTGTAGACGAGACTTTTTTCTTCCAGCCTGTGCCTGTTTACGTGTCCAACCGATAACTAACGAGTCAGCACCATCGCTGCCTGCAAATATACAGGCCTTGTTTAGTTTGCTCAATGTCGTAACACCAGTTGGTATGATAGCACCACCGGCCTCTGGAGCGATTAATCGAAGGCTTAGTCCCGATACGATTCTACCGTCGACTCTAAACGTGATAACCGCCATACGACCGTCACTAAGGACCATTAAAAATTCTCCATTTTCAGCAGATAATGCCTCAATTTCACAGCCCTCCAGCTTTAGTCCAAGCTCGGTTTGGTCGACCAAACTAAAAGAGGTAGTATGCTTTGCGAATGGGTTGACGCCCACGCCATGTGACTTTCCAGATTGGTCGATATGTATAAGCTCGTTCGTACCGACTAGAAGAGCACCACCAACCGGCACAGGGAGTGCGATTACCCGAAATAAATCTTGTGGGAGGCCTGTCACTGACAGAATGGTTGTGGAGGCCTTTTGCTGGATATCCAAGGTGAACACCATGTATGATAACTGATCTTTTCGACCGAGGACTAAAGATGGGGACGAAGTCGAGGACAGTATGCCAAACGTTGGTTCTCTATACTCGTGAAGGAAGGCAAGATGCACAGGGTGGATGAGGCTAGGATCAAGATTTGGCAGTCGAAGGACAAATGAGGTTGAATATGGTGTCTCTTCATTGCTGCTAGTTCCATTTGGGAGCGTAGTGGAAAGTTCCTTTACTGGGCGTGGCCCATCCAAGTCTTCGTCCCAGTCCTCCATATCTATATCTTCTTCTTGAACTTTGAATTGGATGATAGCAAGACTCCGCGCCCCAAACTTCAGAGCAGCACACCGGCTACCCGGGTCTGCTGCTAGGAAATTGACATAGTGGCTCAGAGGTGCAGCCCATGGACTTCCTTGAAGATCCTCTTGTTCATAGTAGTGTATCGAGGTGGTATTTATCGAATTCTTCTCTGGATCCCACTCGACCATGCTAAGCTTCGCATCCTTGAATGCCAACAAGAGGGCTTCTCCGCCCGACGCAGTTGTATCGGTCTTTATGCGCGCAAGTCCAGTGATAGTTCCAGCCAGCGGGAACTCGGCAACGAGCACCAATTTCGTATAGTTCGAACGGTCAGACCTGACTAGGACGGAATCGCCGCCAAGAAAGGAGGCTTCGAGGCCATCATCGTCATTACTTCGGGAATCGTAGTGGTCAGCTAATCTAGAAGATTGCAATTGGGAATTCTGGGCCTTGTCGAGTTCGGCAGATACTGATTTGGTCGTGAAGATTTGAAGGAGAGATGCTCTTGCGACAACAAGATTATTGCTCTGCGCCGTGATAAACGGGAGACATAAGGAATGTGTGACAGCCGTAGGCGGCGTCAGCTCCGTATAGCACTGCATCCTCGACCCTTTTTCCTCATTTCAGACGCGATGCTAAGGGGAGTAGCGTTGGCAAGGCGCAAACGTTATAAAAACAGTGGTAATAGAAATGGTTGATGGGAAAGTTGAAGCTCAAGCGCGCTACAAGGCCTAAGCTACGGTGCAACCTGCATGAAGCTAGCAGCCGGGATCTAGATAAGATAGTACATTATGGAGTATATGCATATTCACATAAACCTATATCCTCAGATCCTACATTCCATGCACGCGTATCTTGAATAACCCCCAGATATGCTATAACTACCTAACCTAATCAACATCTTAACCGCGTACTCAATGGGCAAAGGCCTAATGATGCAACTGTAACATCGTCATGTTTCCAGGACCGGTTACGGTACTTGGTGAACCTCGTCCCTAGTTCACTTCGAAATTCATACCTATTGTTAGCAATCTTACAAAGACTTAACTACGCTTAACCTGTCTTGAATCTTTAATAGTTACCACAAATTGGAAGCTAATTCAAGATAACCTTCCTTTGTCTTGGTAACGTTTATTCGTTCCGGTGGCATCTTCCCACTCGATGAATTACCGAGGGTCACGAAACCGTAGACCTTCAAATCATCTAATGATCAACGATCACAATACTTTTACAGTTAACAAAGAAATAACGAATGGATCTCACTATTAATATCGAAGATTTAACACCCTAACAAGAACTCTAGCAAGAGTTAAACATATACGTGGTGATTCTTTGGAAATACCCCCCCTGGTTTGATGAATACCAACGTCAACATCATCTACATAAGAGTCAGCTTCAGGACCGACTAAAACGATGGCGGCGGCGAGCAAGACCTTCCGCTTCCTCGACCTCCCACCTGAGTTGAGAGATGCTATTCTCTCTCACCTCCTCGTTTCAGACTTCCCCATTATACTTCATAACACAACTCTCTTCGCCCCATCGGCATCGGTCTCTGGTTCCGCATATTTCCTAGACGTATTCCTCGTCAATATGCAGATGTACCAAGAAGCATCTGCCATCTTCTACTCTCAAAACCGCTTCACTTTGAACGCGCAGAGTCACCGGCTACCCGTACATCTCACCAGTCGGGGAGGATTTCTCAGCGAAGAGGGACAGGATGCCCGGAGACGGGTGCGCAGCTTGACCCTTCACCTTACAAGGGTAGGTGGAGAGTTTGAGCGTGTCTTAGGGCCCGCTCTCTCTGATATGGTTCTTAGTGGAAGCTTGCGAGAGCTCAGATTACGTATGGGACCACCAAGTTGGCGTGGTCCAAATAGAATGCCTGACCCCGATATGGTACAACGGCCCCCTTTCCAAGCATTGCTGAGGCTTCTAGCCGACCCTTATTTGGAAAAAGTCGAGTTATTGGCCTGGAAGGTTCATCTCACCGTCTTCTGCCCGTTTCACCGGAAGACAAGTTCATCGATCAAGACAGATATCAGAATGGATATTAAATCAGATGCTGAATCGATCGATGACCAAGGTCTAGCCATTCTGAGGAACGGCCCTGATTGGGTTTCACTAAATTGGAGAGCTATGGCCGAGATGTATGGTGTCGGTCAGAAGATCGTGAGAGTTGGTGAACGAACCTATTGAGATGGCCTCGACTATGCGGGGCGAGCAATTTGAAACATCCGTGGGACAGATGCTTTACTACTGCTTGGCTTAAATAAATCGGAATATTTCCGCGTAAGTCGACAACCCATCTCTAAATCCAGTGGCATTACTAAGTTCCAGCCGAGAGGTCGCCAGCCAACAGACGCTAGGTCAAGTCAAATTAGTGCGCTTGTTAAGCACCCACCAGGAATTATAAGGTCTATTTACACCAACTATAACCGAGAAATATACCCCTTATCGGTGCTATTCCATCATCTATGTCTCTTAGTGAATGCTTGGCCATTATAGCTAAGCCCCTATTGACTTTTGAACTCTGTCTTCAGTCATCCGTGGACCAACGGCACACACATCGCTATGGCTATTGCAGGTTACACTTCGGACTTTTCTGCAACCTAATATGGTCAACAATATATGATCAGGAAACAGTGCAAAACTACAATTTTTTCAAATTTGCCAAGTAGATTCAGCGCAGATAGAACATGCAGCCAAGCTCGCCAAGCTACTCTCTAGTGTCGGCACTCCCTTGGTAGAAACTAGAGCAAGGCCCTGTCGATCACCCGCGCTCAGTATCTGTGAAACATGACTTCAGCTTGCCCCGGCACACCACCGCGCCAAGTCTCACCTACCTCGAAGCCTAGATGCTTGCCAGCTCTCCTACGTATCGACCGCAAGCGACCCGGGCTAGCTAGATATGTCACGCTCGGGGGAAGACAGTCGATGGATACTAAGGTCTAATCATACCTAAAGCATCTATTCTACCTACAGATACTCGGATTATCAGAGTAGATACAGACGAATCGAGACAAGCTACACCCACCAAAGTTTGTGCGACTTGCATAAACCCGTCTTGTGTACTCTTGGTATTCTTGGTATCAACTTGGCACATTGCTCCTCGAGCGGTGTATCGCGGACTCCGCCCCGCCGAGAGAAAGCCTCCTGCCGCCAGCCTGTCTTGCCGCTGCGGTAGTTCCATCGGCATGCCAGCCGCGGTGGGCGTCCACGTTCTTACCCCGTGCTTACATAGTACATGGCAAGATGTGTTGTTGTCTCTCGCACCATATTCTAGACCATTTACTTTATTTCGCCCTGTTGCGGGGACACGTAACACAACCGTCTAGGCATCTCAACAGAATCTCCGAGCATGGTAATACGGGCTTTTCTGTTAAGATGGTGTTTGCGTATGCCAAGAAGGGCTTAGAGATACGTTTAATCAAGGGGGGCGTAATAAGCCATCCGCATTGCACATCAACGTACCTTACCGATATCATTTCTTGATATCTTCAGCGGATGGCAAACATCGATGTGCAGATTAGATATCTATTCAAGATGTTAGTTACAAATACAAAATACCTAATGCTTATCGCTAGTAGCGTTAAAGCGTGCTTTTATTAGATTTTATTAGATTATATTAGATTTGGGGTCCGGGGAATGCCTGCCAATAACGCTCTATTAATAATCAGGAAGTCCTACGTCATGTCCCTCTACGCCTCTGCGCTACCTAAATGTATATATGTAGGGGACGAGTTACCATACCTGTCTTGGAATTGCATTCCTCCATCTCTCGTAGAGCTAACGTAGTCACACGAGCGCGGGTTTAAGCTAGCTAGCTGCGTCTATACATTGGTACATATAACTAGCATCATCTGGTGATATACTACATACATAACCTATTTGTCCTATTTGTCTTTCATTTCATCATTGCCCCGCGCGACGGGATCGAAAACCTATGTAGTGTAGAACTCCCCCAACTTAACAGAATTGCACTTACAGAGAGAAAAAAGCGAAGCGTTGGGATCGTCACGTTCTCATTCGCTACAAGCAAGGGCTGATTAAGTTCATGTTACCCTGCACTGCGCTCATCTTACAGCATTTCATATAAATCCCGCAGGGTCTCATTGAATAGATTGGTGAGTACATAGATCCCCGGTCTCATATTACATACGTGGGCGTATATACCCGGACTTAAGGTGGTTGTCCGTATAGTAGTGTATATCATCAATAAGAGGGATAGATAATATAATAGGTGCCGCTCATCATGTGCTCATGGTGAAAGAACTGAATAAGCTTAGTGAAGGCAAAATCCCCAAGGCGACAAACGCAAGGGACCTACAATATGAGCTCGTGTCAGAAGAAACGCACCAGTAGGCTACCATTTCCTTCCAACAATTACGTATGTGCGATTCAATCAATCGATCTATCGTAAGACAGAGTGCAGCCTAGACAGGTCTCGACGCGATCTCGCCCTAGAGTTGCACCACCCGCACGCATCGCCCCCTTTGCTCTCCCCCATCTCATCAGTTGCGCACGTGCAGGGTAAGACCTCTCCAAGCCGCTCGGTAGGCAGCCGAGGAAAACGTGCAAGATAAGCAATAGTGTAGGTGGGTGTAGGTGTGACTTGGGGCTCGATTGGATACCTCTTCTCGAGAAGGAGAGGAAGGGGCAGAAAGGGGGGGATAGACGCATTTGTTGCAATTGGACCGGAGGTCCTTTGACTTGCTCGTCACATTTGCCTCTGCTGCTGCTAGTACCGTCATCAAACCCTAATGTATGCGTGTATGTGCGTGTGGTTGTAGTAGTAGTAGGTAGTGTAAATTGGCAGTGTGGCAAAGCGCGTCGACGCGGGGGGATGGAGGGGTGGAGGGGTGGGAAGGGAAGAGGATAAGGCGAGCACCAAGACCGTGGATAAGGTAGCGAGACGGGACAAGTCCAGCCCGTTTTAACCTTGCGCTTGCCATGGTAGGGATCATGCCGGCATTAATTGTACAGCCTACATACATAAAAATTAGCGTATGCACATGTGTCGTAGCTGTATGAAGATTGAATAAAACACATGTGTTTGGATTGCCGGATTGATAAGCCCGTTTGTACGTAGTAACTATCTGTATACTGTTTTTGTGGTTTCGAAAGTCGGTGGGCTATTATATCTTAGCCTCTTATGACATGTTTTATTACACTGTGCGGTATCTATATTTACTAAGATATAATACGCTATACTATGCAGCGTAGTGTATACACTACTAACAATAGTAAGGATATCCTCATGTATATAGAAACGGGCTATCTTAACGGTTGAAACGTTTCGCCCCGTTTCCTCGGCCTTTCGGAAAGGAAAAGAAACAAGAGACGTCGCAGCGAGTAGCTAATGCTATGTAAAACAAAACATTCCCGCCAAGCGTCGCTCGGCAATCTTGGCAGCTTGGGATATTAGATTGTAGTGTAGATTTAGTTTCAAACTTGAGTGTTATCTTTAGAACGGAGACAAAGCTTGTGATACTCCTGGGCGATTTGGCTTTTTGTCCAAGCTTTTAAAGCTAGGGTTTTAAGGCATTCATATCAGATCGGCGGTGGGTCAGTCCATGATAGCGGATAAAGGGTCCGTCGAAATACGGTATTAGATCGACAATATCAACTCCGTATCCTAATAATACCTATGACATATTGCCTTGGCCTACCTAACCTACCCACGTAACCCTCCCCCCCCCCCCCGCCAAGCCTCTCAAATCCCGTCTTAGTTTTCGCTTGGCTGTGGTGTTTGCAAATTGTTCTGTAATAGGGGAGGAAGATCAGCCACCTGAAAATGCGGTCATCGTCGTGTATGGATGGATACTTGCGTCTAATGAAAAAGCATACATCAAATAACATTTCATCACAAGTCTGATTGTCTAGACTCTAGAAGCCCTGAGCTTATTTCGAAGAGCAAGGGATAGGCGGGCAAGCATGTGTCAGCTCGGACCAATTATGAGTTGCACTGAGGTTTTTTGGAGAAAAAATATGCGATGGGGAACGACCTACTCATCCTCTTACTGCTTGTGGATGGTATATGCGGCCTCCCCATCCTACTATTCTGTACAGAGCTAAAGCTAGAACACGTCAAAGGGGGGACCCATGTATGTGTATACGATTAATGCGACTGATACCTCGGACGTGGTCTAGCGCACATGGCAACATAGCTGGCTAATCCCCTGACTGGCCAGAATCTACGTATTCGTGCAGAGAACAAGGGTGACTGAATTTTCGGACATATGATTTCTTTCCCACATGTGAAAATCGAACCGGTTTGTTTAGGATTTTGGAAAATACTGTATTTTTTTTTATATCAAGCGCCAACTGCATACATAACACGATGCTAGTATAGAGAGATAAGGCATCAATTTGCCGCAAATAACCGCCAAGGGATCTGCCCTTTTATGATCCGCACCCATCAAGGTATCAAGGTGTGCGTGCGTACGGTTCGTAACACCAAGTATGCACTCTGGGCAATATTCTATCCAATCCCGTGTTAATCTTCAAAACCCGTCCCATCCCATCGCAAATTCCCATCCCAAAACGCCCCGCGGAAGACGAACGAAGAAATCAGAACCAGACGCAACCCTCCTTAATGAACCCTCCCTCCATCGGGTGTGCACGCTATAATGTAGATCGTAATAAATTTTCATGTCGTGAAGCTAAGCCATGATGTCGCCATGTGCCAATTTTCTCTAGTTTGCGAAAAACGAAACGGTGATGGAACAGAAAAGTTTCCCGGGGGGGAGCGACCCGTTTACTCGACGGCGACCTCGTGGAAGTCTTCCTTGTGCTCGCCGGGGTGCTCGCCGTAGTGGACGGGACCCAGCTTCAGGAAGCGCAGGCTGTTCACGCTTCCGACGCTGCTCTGGCTGGAGCTGCGGCGGGCGTGGAGGGCGGGCTTGATGCTCTGAGCAGTAGGGTACGAGGCAGAGGTCGTGGGAGCCAGAGATAGGAACATCTGGGGCTGGCTGTTGCGAACCTGCTGGGCCATGGTGTTGGTGTTGGAAGACATCTTGCTGTGGTTGTTGATAGAGTGTAGAAGTAGTTGGTAGAATATGTGGGGGGTATTCGTAGATAGTATAAATGCTAAGCAGATATATTCCTTAAGTCGATGGTGACGATAGAGTTTAGTCTGAGTAACTAGCGGGGAGCTATGAAGTGCTTTAGGATTCTGGCTTTGTCTGGGAGCTGTTTGTCTGTGTTAGAGAAAGAAGAACGATTGTGAGAGAGATCAGTAGCTCCTCGAGAGAATGGGATGCGTCCTTTATAGACAATAGCCACCCCTTAGACCCTTATTAGATAGGCAGAGCATAGTTCAAGGATGGTCCCAAGGTTCCGCCAAGGTTTTGTGTGTCCCCCCACATGTCTATGTCTATACACCGATAACCCAGACACACACACACACACACACTCTCAGGTAGTGTGTAAAGCATACCATGTAGTCTCTTGGTATGCGTTTCTAGTAATGAAATCGCCAAGACTTGCCATAACGGTTTACTTTTTCTTCTTCTTTTTATTTATGCCGCAACGTGCGTGAAGTTTCAGCAGTCAGCACACATCCCACTTCCCACTTCCCACTTCCACACCCTAGGAATCCTAAAGCATCATACCCTTGTTGGACAAGAGAATGTTGGCCGGGGTGACAGACTCGCTAGGCTCTATCTGCTCCTCCGTATTGCTGTGATTGGGCGCGGCGGTCATTGCCCGCGGACGTAGGGTGCACACCTCCGCGCCATCAGCGCATAGCACGAGAGAACGAGAGAAAACGCGCACTTCGCACGTGGGGTGCACAATTGGGCGACGAATTAGCCAAGCATAAGCATAAAAAAAAACGGCCTTTTGCTATCTTATATCCGAGGCCCAGAGAGGGAAATGATCCGATTCCGATTAGACATTGGTAAGCTTGGGTACATCCTCGGCTCCACGCGGTGGGCGGGCGAGCGGGTGGCAAACGGGTCGTGTGGGCTCGGAGTCGTTCGAGCATCGTTCTGAGGCTCAGGACTAACCGACGACGATCTGATATTGACGAGAAAGGTGTGGAGAAGCGCGATGCGGCTCCTTTTGACTTTAAATCAACAGCAAGACACCCGGTCCCCCGGGGCATCACGGCGAGAAGACACTGAGTTCGGGAGGTTAGACAGACTGCGATTGGGTGGGCCAAGCCGCTAACGGGATTGTCCGGAGAGGCCTTACGAGGGATCACAGGGAAGCCCCGGAGATATCGGGTTTCCTAAAACGGGGGTTTAAGGACTTGTGAGAGGTGATTTCTATTTCACGATGCGTTTAAGAAGCTGCTTCTATCGTAGCCGGGCAGTATCGGATATTGAAGGATAGGTGCTTGTACTTACGTATCTACACGGTAAGCCTCTGTTGAATAGAGGTATACATATCACGTAATGACACTCTCCTACTTCTAGTCCTTATAAGAACCTCAAGACTCGGTTGAATTTATTAATTCATGATGAGTAAAGTGCTGGGTTTCTTTCGAATAAGACAGTTTCATCCTACTGGTTAAGTTAGATGTCATTTATTCTTAAGTTCAAGCCACTCTACTAGGTCACATATCACATTTCATTCCTAGAGCTAGGAATTCTATTTGTACTACTAGAGTCCAAGGAAGCCCTAATCGAGGAGTTGGTTTAGAAAAATGGCATATAGGATTCTATAGAGTTAGTTTGCAGATACATAAATTCCACGACGGCGTATAGGGCAGCGACCTATCCTCCCTAAGGTTATAACGTGACGTAGTTACAGAGCCAGGTAAGTGTGGTCCGCATATATTTACCAAACAAAGCTTCCAAGTTATCATATAGCCCTAGTACTGTGGTACACATGACAATACTTTAGTTATTCTATTAGATCCTTTACATAAGCTCGTATATAGCAGGTGATAATTAGGTTAAGGGATCTAGACAATAAAAACCCCGTTTTAGAATATGACATGCTAGCCTCGTAGAGCTAATATATTTCCTCCACAACTCTCCTTTAAGTTCACCATCTATGTGAACAAGATGTTAGTACGTAAACCCGTTGAACTACATGGATATATATCTCTGAATATAATAGGCTCCACCGTATGGCAGTAGATAGATGCCAGGTCCAGATAAGGGGGGCACCCCTCCCCCTATTTTTGGAATGAGGCATTGGTCAATATAGTCACAAAAATACCTTGCTAGACCCTTGTCTTTCACTCTGCGCAACACGATCTTTCTCACTATTAACTTAAGAACGTTAAAAGACTGTGTTAGTCATATAGCTAAAATCTCTATCCCAGATACCTCAGTGATCCAGTAATCTGACACCATAATCAACTATGCGAGCTAAGAATTTTGTTGTGCTCCTGGCCATCCTCAAGTTTGAGCTTATAGATGTTGAATATTGCATGGTATTCCTTATATAATACGTACCACGTTCCTTAGAACTTCTGTAAAGCGGGCAAACGGAGGTCCTAAATACGTCGAGTCCGTTGATACTTGTCTAATTGATATATCCTTCCTCTTCCAGAGGTGTTTTATACCACTGACTTACAATGTATAGTAACGACCTAACCTAAGGTATATAATGGTCACACATCCTATTGCGTTTGGGGAGGGTTAAAAAGTCTACTAAATAAAGCCCTAATAAAATCCTTCATCCGCATACCACTCCTATCACTTGCCCCGCAATAGCTGACTTCAAGATAACTATCACCCATACCTAGTCTACTTCAACCTAAGCCTGTTTATAACAAATAAGCAGGTGAAAGTTACGGGGGTTAGCGGCTTATTAGGCCGGTAAACAGGTACACCAGAACCAATGATATACGGCGCAACGTCTCTAGCGAACACGCCCCTATTCGGTAAGAGCTGAGGTCAGTGCTGACTGCTAGGTTCGTGGACCACTGAGATGTCTGGGACAAGTGCACATGCAGCTATATGAGCAGCATAATCTTAGCTAAGTCCATAGCCTTTATACCTTGATATAGCCATGTTCCCACTTCTTGCTCGTGTCCCCATACTGATGGCTGTGTGTGTGATTGTGGTGATCGTAGATTCAAAGCAAGGACCATTCAATTCAGGAGAATTATGCATAGAGCCCGTTAACATGACAGCATTGTCCGGCTAGTTGGCATGTTATCCATAAAAGGGGATAAGGTGGCAATAAGACGTGGACAAAAATGAAAGTAGTTCTGAATACTAATGAAGTCCCAAAGGTTCGGCTTTGTAGCTGATAGCATGATGAGTTTCAATCTTGTAGTTATATCGTGTGTGTCAATCCAGGCTAGCCTAACGCAAAAGTGGTATACGGATGGAGAGTAACTAATATAGGAGTGACTCAATGTTGTGAAGGTGGTGCTTCTGCTACTCTTGTATACCAAGATATTGGTTTCTAAAAGGCTTGGGAAGAGGGAACGGGGGAGATCGTGTATTGCTTTGTCTAAGTATTCGTTTCTCATACCCCTATTGGAATATGGACGTACGGCTGAGCTTTCGGTCTTTGAGTGTATCGGTAGAAACTTAGGATTAGTAGGAGGCAATTCATACCTAACTCGAGTTAGCGATACTAGCGTTAAAGTTCCTTGGAGGTCTTTGGCTTCTGTCTGTCTAGTTTCCTTCGCCCCTTGAGCGACTGAGATATTGGTTTTATATGTGGTGGGTGATCCCAAGTGAAGAGATGGAGTTAATTACCTTCGTCGAAAGAGGCTTCGCTAGTGGCACTTGGTATAATTGAACTGGCTAGGACTATTTGGAAAGTGCGTTGTCTTTAGTTGGTACTGAGAAATAGATGCCTGTAGAGGCAGACCACTCGAGGTTTGCTGTAGTTGCTGTACTCTTTAGGAATTAGGTACCGTTCTCCAGTCAAGACTCCCCGTGAACTGGAATTCAGTTTACTTGGTATGCTGTGGTAACTTGTCCTTGGTCGTCTGTCTTGCGGCTTTCGACTTTGACACAGATAATCCAGGTAGAGCAGGCATGAATTACTAACATCCTCTTGACGGTAAAGGGGTCGGAGGATGTTGCTTACTCCTTAGATATCTTTTTGAGAGGATGGAAGGGCCGGGCTACGCGATGAATTTTCTGTGTCTTGGTCCAAAATAGAGTAGACGCGGCTTCCGGTGTAGCACTCAGGGGTTACTAAGAATCCATCCGCTAACGTTGGGCACCATACCCCCTAACCACCCTAACCCTTACCTATCCCGTCGACAAGTCCTGTACAATAGAAATTCATGGTTTTGGGCAGTCAACGCCATGCTGTCATTAATAGCGCACATTGGGGAGGCTACGCGTACCCAGGAGCTGTTAGCCTGATTTTGGCTTGGGTGTTATCGGCATCATTCGCAGGACGAGTGTGAGTAGACTAGACCAGGGAGAATCTTAAGTTGGTTGACCGGAGTTTCCGGGGCTTTTACTACGTGACGTTTATGAATGGCGTGTCCTTGGCCCTGCAGGGCCACGAGGGAGTAATGATGAACTTGGTGTTCACTCCTAAAGTGAAGTTTAGTTACATCACACGGAATCCCTTAGACACTAATCTTAGAGCCTTGGGGTCATCACAAGCTGCTGACCCCACGAGGGTGGGAGCGTGGTATGTAGGAACATAGGGGTGTCTGGAGGGGATGGTAGAGATGTTGGAGTACTTGCTACCATCAACTGCTTGGACTTGCATATGAAGGGGCGAGGTGTGATCGAGATGGTTTTATGAGTCGAAAGATACGCTATTTTTTTAACTAGTGACGAGTCGTAGGATCGCTGAACCCCCATCTCTGGGGCAGTCATTATCAGCGTAAATCTCTCCCTTGGCATTTCGAAGTTTTGTGTAAATTCAGTCAGCTCCGGCTTGGTCCTACATAGGTAACCAGTTAGTACTAGGCAGATCCTTAATATTGGGGTACATCGAGAAGAACCTTGTTGTCATCGGTTCAAGTCAGTGAGATGTGAAGATGGGCACGCTTGGAAATCGGAGGGGGTCCTCCATTACTGTTGAGACGAATGTGACGAGGATCAACTAACTGCATAGCGTGACACTAATCTAATGATGGGGAAGCTGCAAGCGACTGGCAATACTCTACCTATTTCTAGTTTTACCGTCCGTCTATGTCTGGTTCAGGCATCATACAGGTCCCGGTACCCTAGTCACTTCCTCTTTTACATGGAGAACTTGTTAGCAACACGGGATGGATATAGAGGAGGATCGGCCCGACATCGATAGTAAGGCTAAAAGCGGCCCACGAGCTCTAAGAAAG